CACCGCCTCGGCCGGCCATCCCGCCTCGCTCGCCACGCGGCGGAGGCTCTGGCGGCCAGGGTGAAGAACAAGCCGGGGATTCGAAGGATATGGGTCAGCTGGGCACGCCGCGCGTCGGATGGTGACAGAGAGCGAGGCCATACTCACCTTTGGGCAGCGTCCTAAAAGGGTTTCCATTGGCGCTCGTGGTGAGTGTGACGTTGACGCTCTTGCCCTGGAAGTTGTTGCTCTCGAACCACTGCTTAAGTTTCTTTGCCTCGTCCTCGCTGTCGGTTTCGACAAAGGCGACGCCCTTGGAACGTCCGTTGACCTTGTGCTCGGAGAAAGTCACGTCCTCGAGTGTGAGGGGGACACCGACGTCGTTGGCGGCCTGACGAAGGTCCTCGTCGGTGGTCCACCAGTGCAGATCGCCCACGTAGAGGGCATTTTGGATCGAGGGGTCCGAGACCTTGGGGATGCCTGCTAACGTGCCGCGCAGCGGAGCAGGCTGGGCGGGGAACGTGGACGGTGCGGGGAGCGGAGAGTGCTGCGCCGATGTTGGCTGCTGGTGTTGCTGCTGATGTTGCTGCTGGTGTTGCTGCGGCTGTTTCGCGACAAGTTTGTAGATGCAAATCGTCAGCTTCAGCAGCGGCATAGAGGCCCGCACCGGTCAGCGACCACATCAGACCCACCTTAACATCTTGGTCCTCGTCCTCGCGCTGCCGCTTGCCGGACGTAGACGCGCCTGTACCGCTTCCATTTGCAGATGCTGAAGCGGTAGCCGCGCCGCCGTTGGTCGCTGGCGATGCTCCGGTGGTATGGTCCGCCTCAGTCTTGACAGACGTGGAGGGCTGTGGGTTTTCTTCAGCCTTGATGGCCATCGAGTCCTCGTAGAGGTCATCCTGCGACAGTAAGGGCGGCGGCAGGGGCAGGTCAGAGCGATCCGTACTTGGTCAAGCATCCCCTTCCGCCCTCCGACCTCTGAGCGACGCTGGTACGATCGAACAAGACAGCCCGCCCACTCACGCCGTACAGGTCAAAGTCCTGGTCGGCGTCCGACATGGCCGCACGAGCTCGCTGTAGGCGTTCCGGGGGCGAATCAGATGGATGCGAAGTCTTCCTCCGGGGATGAGGGATGCGATTGCAACGTCGTTGTCGTCGGAGCCAAGGGGCGTTCCACTGTTTACACCGAAGACAGCAAGCATGGAGAAGACACAATGCGCGAGGGCGAGGTGGCGATGAGGAGGGGGTACAGTGATCGGCAGGAAGACAAGCTCCAAGGTCAACAAGGGTGCGTCCGCATGGACCAAGGTGGTACAATCTGAGGCGAGCGTCGTCGAGAGCTCCCCCCGGATCAGGGACAATCGAAAGGCGGATGCGTAGGTACAGGGGACCATCGTACTGGCAAGCCTGAAGAACGGGCTGGAACTCACAGAGTAAGGGTGCGGATCGGGGCGTCTATCGGAGGATATGGTGGAAGCGATGAGGTAGGGATGATGGGGCGCGCCTATGGCACAAGGTGACGCCACGGCCAGGCTCCAAGCTTAGCCAGGCCCCGCTGGCCCAGCGCCCTGCGCCCAAATTTTTTGGCCGTGTGGAGTGACCGAGAGCGAGGCGTTCGACCCGGAAGGCGGACAGGATCGAGGACAGGTTGGGCTGGACGGCGGGCGACGATCACAGCGCCCCTCGGATCCGCTCCCGGCAAGCTGGCCGGCCAGGCCAACGCCTCGCGCCTCGGTCTTTCGCCGAGCGCCCGGCTGGGCCCCGCCGCAAGCTGCCCACTCGCCATGGGCAAGGAGAGGCAGGCAGGCAGGCTAGGTCAAGCGCCCCTGGGTGACTCGCAGCAGCCAAGCCGTCCCACGGGCCATCGCCGCGACCGGAGCTCCCGAAGATGGGCGGCCAGCACCAACAAAAGGGGAGCGGGGAGGGGGGAGGCCATCCTCGCCGCTTCCACCATCCACGCTACTCGCACCCGTCCTCGTTCTCCCCTTCTCCATCTTTGTCGCCCTCGTCTCGGTCGCCGTACTCCTCTCACAGCACCGCCATCCAGCCCGTTCCGCACATCATGTCGTCCTCCCGGCAGCCACTCTACCTCCGCTGTGAGATGAAGCCGGCCGAGCACCGCGCCGCGCTCACGCCCAACACTGCAAAGGCCCTCATCGACGCCGGCTTTGACATCACCGTCGAGTCGGACCCGCAGCGCATCTTCCGCGACGAAGAGTACACGGCCGTCGGATGCAAGATTGCGCCCCACAACACCTTCCACTCGCTGCCCGCCGAGGTCCCCATCATCGGACTCAAGGAGCTCGAGGAGCCCGGCCCGGATCTGCCCCACACCCACATCCAGTTTGCCCACTGCTACAAGAAGCAGGCCGGCTGGGTCGACGTCCTGGGACGCTTCAAGCGCGGCGGCGGAAAGCTCTACGACCTCGAGTTCCTCGAAGACAAGAACGGCCGCCGCGTCGCCGCCTTTGGATGGCACGCGGGCTTCGCCGGCGCCGCCCTCGGTCTCCTCGCCCTCGCCGAGCAGGTCCAGGGCGCCGACCGCCGCCTCGGCGCGCAGAAGGCGTACCCCAACGAGCAGGAGCTCATCGCCCACGCAAAGCAGCAGATTCAGCACATCCGCTCCTCGCGCTCCGACGGCAAGGTCAAGGCACTCGTCGTCGGTGCCCTCGGCCGCTGCGGCCGCGGCGCCATCGACTTTTTCGAAAAGGCCGGTGTGGCGTCCGAGGACATTGTCCGCTGGGACATCCAGGAGACGTCGGCAAAGTCGGGCCCGTACCTCGAGCTGCTCGACGTCGACATCTTTGTCAACTGCATCTACCTCAACCAGAAGATCCCCCCTTTCCTCGACCAGCCCACCATTGCCCAGGCCGGCAGCCAGAGGAGGCTGGGCGTTGTCGTCGACGTGAGCTGCGACACGACCAACCCCAACAACCCGCTGCCCATCTACGACATCAACACCACCTTTGACAAGCCCACCGTCGACGTCGACACGGGCAGCGGCAACCCGCCGCTCACCGTCATCTCGATCGACCACCTGCCCACGCTGCTGCCGCGCGAGTCGTCCGAGGGCTTCAGCCAGGACCTCCTGCCCTCGCTCCTCCAGCTGCCCCACGTGCTCGGAAAGGACACGACCAAGGACGCCGACTACGAAGAGGGCAAGGGCGCCGTCTGGCAGCGCGCCGAGAAGCTCTTCCGCCACCACCTCGCCTTGGCCGAGAAGGAGGGCGCGTGAGGCGCAGCACCGCCGCGAGACCTAGAAGAAGGGATGTAGTCGATAGTCGATCCAGAGACGCAGGAGCAGCGTCGTGGTCTTGGCCTGCCTAGCGCACCTCGTTCCGAAAATTCACGCACGCTGCGATAAATGTGTGCGACTCGCAGTGCGCCATGCCGTATCGTTGACAATGCCGCCTGCCAGCTTTGCTCTGCTGCTCGGTCGTCGAGAGGGTGCACGAGACAGACCACGCCACGCTGCCATGCAATGTGGCTGAATCTACCCCCCCCTGGCGGTGCCTGCTGCGCCGTGGCCCGCGCGCCAACACGGGCCCGTGTGCGGGCTCGCTTCTCGGGTCCGAAGTCGGAATATTCTCGACCTGCCGCGCCGGGGGGAGTGTTCTTTGTGTGCTTCTCTGCTGGAGGGTTGTGCGCGCGCGGTCCCTTGCCCCTCGTCTTCCACCACCGCCGCCGCATCCCAGCCACTGCCCAAGATGATGCCCAACAACGCCCCCATCATCCTCCTCCGCGAGGACACCGACGTGTCCCAGGGAACCGGGCAGCTGCTCTCCAACATCGGCGCCTGCTCGTCGATTGTGTCATGCGTCGCGTCCACGCTCGGCCCGCGCGGCATGGACAAGCTCATCGTCGATGCCCGCGGCAAGGCCACCATCTCCAACGACGGCGCCACGATCCTCAAGCTTCTCGAGATCGTGCACCCTGCCGCCAAGACGCTCGTCGATATCGCTCGGGCGCAGGACGCCGAGGTGGGAGACGGCACGACCAGCGTCGTGCTCCTCGCCGGCGAGATGCTCAAGGAGGCCAAGCCGTTCATCGAGGAAGGTGTGGCGCCGCACGTCATCATTCGCGGCTACCGCAAGGCGGCCCAGCTGGCTGTCGAAAAGGTCAAGGAGATGGCTGTGACGATCGACAAGACCGACAAGGCCGCCTTCCACGACCTGCTGCTCAAGTGCGCCGGCACCTCGATGTCGTCCAAGCTGATCCACTCGCAGAAGCCCTTCTTCTCGCGGATGGTCGTCGATGCCGTCACGTCACTCGATGCAGAAGACCTCGACGAGAACCTGATCGGCGTCAAGAAGGTGCCCGGCGGCGGCATGCAGGACTCGCTTCTGATCAAGGGCGTGGCCTTCAAGAAGACGTTCGCCTACGCCGGCTTCGAGCAGCAGCCCAAATCGTTTGTCGACCCCAAGGTGCTCTGCCTCAACGTCGAGCTCGAGCTCAAGGCGGAGAAGGACAATGCCGAGGTGCGCATCAACGAGGTGTCCGAGTACCAGGCCGTCGTCGACGCCGAGTGGCAGATCATCTACAACAAGCTCGAGGCCATCGTCAAGACGGGCGCCAAGGTCGTCCTCTCGAAGCTGCCCATCGGCGACCTGGCCACCCAGTACTTTGCCGACCGCGACATCTTCTGCGCCGGCCGCGTGCCCGCCGACGACATGAAGCGCGTGGTCCAGGCTGTCGGCGGGTCGGTGCAGTCGACGTGCTCCGACATTGACCCGGCCAAGCACCTCGGCCAGTGCGGCAAGTTCGAGGAGCGCCAGATCGGCGGCGAGCGCTTCAACATCTTCGAGGGCTGCCCGCACGCCAAGACGAGCACCATGATCCTCCGCGGCGGCGCAGAGCAGTTCATCGCCGAGGTCGAGCGCAGCCTCCACGACGCCATCATGATCGTCAAGCGGGCCATCAAGAACAACCAGGTCGTGGCTGGCGGCGGTGCCACCGAGGTGAGCAGCGATGCCGTCTGCCCTGCCGTGGAGCCGGGCAGCACGCCGGTCGGACCATGACTGACGCTCCTACTATCCTCCTCCCTCTACCTTTCCACTCTTCCTGCACCGCTCGCAGATGGAGCTGAGCAAGTACCTTCGCGAGTACTCTCGGACGATCCACGGCAAGCAGCAGCTGATCATTGCCTCGTTCGCCAAGGCGCTCGAGTGCATCCCGCGTCAGCTCGCCGACAACGCCGGGTTCGACGCGACCGACCTGCTCAACCGCCTGCGCATGAAGCACGCCCAGGGCTCGCGGTGGGAGGGCATCGACATCGACGCCGAGGACACGGCCGACCTCATGGAGCGCTTCGTGTGGGAGCCAAGCATCGTGCGCATCAACGCGCTAAGCTCGGCAGCAGAGGCCGCCTGCCTCATCCTCAGCGTCGACGAGACCATTCGCAACTCGGCTTCGGACCAGAGCGGACCCGGCCCCAAGGCGCCGCCGGGCACCGCGCAACGCGCCCTGAGGGGCAGGGGAAGGGGTGGCATGCCCCGCCGCTAGGCCGCTAGGCAACGCCAGCGAGCCGCTGACAGTCTCTCCGCATTCCTCGGCGGTCCTCTCGGGGGATGCGAGCATGTAACATCATCCATCGACCTCATCTCGACACGTGCAGCAGACTCTACCCTCATTGCCGCGGCAACCAAAAAATCGATTCATTCTGGAGACGACCGCCGACATTGTGCAGCCGCTGACGGACCCCAGTCGGCAAGGTGGCGGCGCTCGAAGCGATGCGCTGCGCTGCGCTACTGCTCGACAAGAAGAAGGCCGTCGCTGATCCACTGTTCTCCAACGAGCGAGTCGCTCCTCGTGCGAGAATCAGATACCCTCAAACGCCTCGAACCCGCCTTTCAGCTCGGTCTTGACGTGCCTGCCCTGGCCGGCCTTCTCGTTCAAGAACAGATCGTCGAGCCGCCTTCATTGGCCCACGTGGACACCTGGCGTCGGCCCATGCGTGTCATCTCACGTGCAGTCGCCCTCGCCGCCGGTCGTAGCATGGAGCAGACGCTGCACGCTGCCACACGTGCTGGAGCGGCGCAGATGGCGGTCGATGATCGAGTGTACGTCGCTGACGAGTCAAAGAACGAGCGGTGCGCTGCACGGGCATTCGAGAGGACGTAACATGCCCACGTCGGTGTGGCGAAAGTGAGAGCTTGGCCAACACGTCGTCGTCGCGATCAAGGACCTCGCCGGCTCGAAGCAATGCTCGGCGGGGGACCTCCTTGGATCGACGTCGCCGGGCTGCCTCCGAGGCCACTGAGGTTGATGCCCAAGACGCGAGTGTGGCGGACCGCGCTCGCCGAGGTCGACGGTCCGCTTCACCCCTTGCCTGCCGCTGCGGTCGGTCGATCGAGGGTTGAGGTCGTCCGTAGGCACGGCGGTTCTAGGCTTGTCTGGGCTTTGGAAACGTAGCCCCTCAGGCACTTGTTCGCCGTGGCCGCCTACATCTCGCGAGCCCGACGGCGTCGGCCTGGGCGTGATCCGGTCCTCGGCCTGCGATCCTCGGACGACATTCGTCGGAGCCACACGACCGGCTCGCCGTTCTTGGTGCAGCGATCGATCCTCACGCAGCGCGGACCACCCTAAGGATCTCTTGAGGCGAGCGTCAGGCTCTGCCCCAGGCAGTGACCAGTGCCACAAACGGGGCCGGGGCGGCAGCCTAGGATGGACGCGCGGACAGAGTCTGGACGAAGGTTGTGCCGCATCCCGCCCAGATCGACACCGGCTGTGCCTCTCCTGGAGCAGGCATCGAGAGCGGGACGAGCCCATGGCGGTCGTCTTCGTCGCCCTGGGCGAGGTTGCCGTGCTCGTTCCAACCCGTACCCCACACCTCTTGGGCGGAGCCGCGGCCGACGAGAACGAGCGTGTGCTCGCTGCCCGACGCCAGAGCGATGAACCGGGCCCTGTCGCCTCCTCGTTGACGCATGAGCGGCGACGTGTCCATCTCCACGACCACGGATGGATCGGCGCCCGCCGAGGATGTGGGAGAGGCGCCGAGCTGACCCTTCTTGTTGTTGCCAGAGCTCAAGATGCGATCTTGCCCCTCGTCATGACCATCGCGGCAGCAGAGCAGGACAGACGTGCCGTTCCAGTTGCACGCCACCGACGCCACCACGCCCTGATCCAGCGCTGCGGAGCCAGCCAGCGCGCACTGCCCTTGTCGGTTGGAGCCCCAGAAGGCGAGCTTGCCCGCGACCAGGGCGACCGTGTGGTCACGGCCAGCAGCCAGTGCCAGGCCGTCGAGCACGCTTCCCGGCGACTGATGGGGCAGCGTCCATGTGCGCATCAGCTGCGGCGTCGATGCGATGGCGGGGACAGGACCCGGTCTTGTCCTCGAGCGGCTGGCCTCGGCCGGATCCTCGGAGCCTCTGGCCATCTCACCCACTTGTCCGTGGCGAGCCGATCCCCAGCCGACGAGCGATAGGCAAAGGGGGCCGCTGCTGCTCTCGTCTTCGGCACTGGAGGCGAGAAGTACGGCGGCGTGCCTCAACCCGGCAGCGATCCTGAGCACCGAGTAGGGGGCGGGCGCAAGCACATCGACGACGTGGACAGCCGAGTCTGGCGCAGGGCTGCGCACGCCCAGCTGGCCGAAGGTGTTGTCCTTGGGCAGACCGAGCGACACGATGAGATCGCTGGCCGTGGTGCCGTCGGTGTCGCGATGAGACGGGCCGAGGACGAGGTAGCTGACGTTCCAGCCGCAGGCCACCAGCTTGGGCGACTGGTAACCGGCCGACTGGACAGCGTCGAGCGTTCCCTCTGCCACGAGAGGGTCGAGCACCTCACGCCGCAGGTCGAGGCGGCGGAAGCTCAGCAGTGGTGGAGGCGGCAGCGATGAGCCCGTGGAACCGACCGCAAGGGCGCCGAGCTGGCCCTCTGCGCCCGTGCCAGCGACCCAGACCTGCCTTGCATCGGGTCCGGGTTCGTCTTTGTCGTCGAGGCCGGCTGGATGTCGAACTAGGATGGTGAGGGTATGGTTGGCGCCAGACGAGAGGGCAGCAACCTTCCAGCCGGGCGGCGGAAAGGGAGAAGGGGCGCTGCCGTGGCCTTTGTCCGAGGTCGTAGTCGCTATGGCCGTGGTGGTTGTGAGGGCATGGCAATCCCGATTGTGATTTAGGCCAAGCTGAGCGCCCGAGTTGCTACCGGCGGCCCACAGACGAAAGCGAGAGGGCTGGGGCGGCGGTGGCATGGTGGTGAAGGTAGGTGGATTGGGAGGCGCTTCGCAAAGGGGACAAGCAGGTGGAGGCCGAGCTCCTGCAGACACAGGCAAGGCCTGCTGCAATCCTAGCCTGCTTCATTCAACGGTTGTTGCTGCATCAGAGTGCCCACCAGGCAAGGCTATCTTGTACTCTTGACGGTGCAGCTGTGCCCAAGGTCTGCAGTTGCTGCTCAAACAGCTTAATGGTTCTGAGGCATGCTCACACATCCACAGGGGTCAGATAGGGCATTGCCAACCTGACCAAACTTGCCATTGGTCTTGGACAGGCCCTTGGCCACCTCAGCTACCTCAGATTGGGTGTTGGTAAGGGAGTCTGAGATGGCAGCCACGGAATTGGCAATGCTGGCGAGCTTGGATTGGTTCTTGCAGCGCTGGGCGCTTGCATCCTGGAACTTGGAGAGCACCTTGGCCAAAAACTTACGGTACTGGCGCATCTCGTTGTCCGTGCGCACCATGAATCCACGCATCTGGGCGTGTGTGATCCTGAACTTGGAGCAAATGAGGCCGCGGAGGTTGTCCTGTGAACTGAACAGCAGACTGACATCGCGAGCTACAGCTGGGCGGTAGAGTTTGGCCTGCTGACGCAGCACAGCAAAGAGGAAGCCAACAGCACAGAAGAGGAGGAGGCAGAAGATGGTGTCCATCAAGGGATATCCTCAGCAACCTTCCCTCCATAGCTTCCTCGCTTTCACGTCCCTCGGGCCTTGTGCCTTGCACTTCAATCTTGCACAGTCAAGAGGGGATAAGAGACAAGCATAAGCAGCCTGGTTGCAACAGCAACAGCTGCAGTGCAACAGCAGATGAAATTGCAGCAGCATTGAGATACATATCATGTAGCCCCAGCCCAAGCAAGGCCCGCATGCAACGCTCGAAGCAGGCAGGGCGGGCAGGCAGGGTCTTCCACGCTCTGTTTCAATGCAGGGTTCAAAGGCCTGCCTGCTGGCTGCCCTGCGCACACACACACACGCCCTCAGGCCCCTTATCTCACGTCTTGCGGGGCCGTCTGCTTGCCTGGAAGCCGGGCCAGCTCGACTTTCTGGGAGAGAGCTGCTAACCCAAGGTTGGCGGACGCCACCCTTCCAGCCGTCCGGACCTTGCCACAGACCGACCTTGCCACTGTCCTTCTCGCCACCACCGCCATCCCCTGCCAGCCCTGCACTCCTCGTCCGTTCGCCAACTTGGCTTGGCATCAATTCCAGCGTCACCGACCTGCTGCCGCTCCTCCTCTCTCTGCGCCCTATCCGTCGTCGCAGTCACTTTTCTCGTCCCACCAGGACCGCAATTTCACCACCTCGACGGAGCATCCCTCAGCTCGCGGCCCTGGAACATCATACCTTGCCGCACCGATCGCCTCTCCGACTCCGAGGCTGCCGCACCTGACGATGGACCCCGCACGGCAAACCTGGATCGTCGACATGGAAACGCAAGCTCAGCGCCAGCCCACGGCCGGCCCATCCTCTCGTCGTCACACCACGCCCCCTTTGCCTTTCCCCGTCTCTCACCCGTGCCACGATCCAGCCGATCCCAAGGGCAAGGGACGGCAGATGGAGCCGACGGACGGCCTCAGCGGAGATCATCTTGCGCAGGCCTCCGCCGCCAACGTCGACGTCGCACCAGAGAACTTGCCACTGCAGCAAACCGGTTCGGACCACCACCAAGGACGCGCAGACGGAATCTTCGGCAGTGTCGCCCCCAGGCCGGTCTTTCCCAACTCTCTCTACGCGCTCGAGGACGACAGCGGTGGCGACAGACATGACGGACAGCCCAGCTCTTCCTATCGGACGTCGTCGGCGGCACCAGCCTCAAGGACACTCTGCGGCTCTCGACCCATCGACTCCAGCCGCTCCGACTCAGACGTCCGTGGCATCCCGATTGCAGCGAACCGTCAGGCCACGGGCAAAGGCCGGCCGACGCACGTTCGAGCGAGTTCCTCGGCGGCCTCAGCCAATCTCTTCGACTTCTTCGGGCCAAGCTCGGTGGCGAGCGCGGGCACGGCAGTCACCGCGACCACCAGCTCACGCCCTTCGTCTTTGCATGGGGACTCATTGTCCAAGCTGCCGACGCCAGAGCCTTACCGCGCACCGTCTCGATGCGACCACGGGCCTGCGTCTGCTCCAGAGAGAATCGCCCAAGGTGCAGACGTCGACTTGCGAGCACCGCACCATCACCCTCTTTGCGACACGCTGCAGCGGAGCGATGGCCGATCGGCTGGCGTTGCCACCCATCGTGTTGAATCCCAAAGCCCTCCAACGTACCCAGACGAGGCGTTGCCAGGCTACGAAGATGCCCCGCCTTACACGCCCTCGCCCATGATCAGCGCCCAGATCGGAGGCTTACATGGCGAGAACGAAGATCTGCGCTTGACGTCGGGCAACTTCCGGGATCGCTTCCTGTCGAGCCGACTTGCGCGCAGGCTTCACATCTCTGGGGCGCGACAAGCAGGGGATGGGGATGTGGCGCCGAGGTCGAGCGACCCGTTGACGCTCCAAGGCAGTCCTGGCGACATTCGTCGACCGCACCAGCGCATCCCGTTTGTCAGGAGCGATAGCGCCCCGGAACCTCCTCGCCTGAACAGAAGGCGTGTCGAGGTGCGCTCATTCGCCGCCACAAACTATGTGCAGGGCGCCGTCATGGGACCGACCTCTGGACGTGCAAGATCACGGAGGCCATCGTCGTCCGCCAACGTACGCCGCGGGCCATCCACGCTAGACTCAGTCCCGATGCGATCAACTCGCGGACCGAGTTCCGCAACACCACCTACAACCTCAGTGCTGAGCGAGAGAAGCACCGCGGCTGCTGTCTCCACCGTCGATGGACGAGCCTCACAAGGGAACAGCCGGCCGCACAGCAGGGCTGCCTCGTACGCTGGCGGCAGCGGAGGCCTATTCACCTGCGGCTACACGTCCAGCGTTCGCAGCGGCGCTTCAACACCGATGCGACAGGCACGCAGCAACAAGAGCCGTAGCGTCAGCCTCCGTGATCTCTCGGACCGTCTCTTGCACCGCGACCGCGACCACAACCACGGTCACGACAGCGAGACCGACGGTGGACATCAGCGCGATGCGGCTGACTTGGGCAGTGCCGCCGAGCCGACGCACGCCTCCGAGGAGATGATCGCAACAACGGCGCCGGCGACGCCGCCTGATGCCGAGGCGTCGGTGCCTGCCTCTGCCAGCAATCACGAAAGGCCCGCCGGTGAGACCTCGGAGAGCCCGCCGCAATATCCTGTGGCTCACAATGAGCGGCCGAGCTGGCTCTATCCGGTCAACAGCGTTCCGCATGCATCCGTCGTCATCGAGGCTGCCGAGCCGTGCGGTCCGATATCGTTGCTGCCCAGCGCGACACCTTGTCACTTCGCCAAGCTACCGCGCGAACTGGCTCTGCTTTGCTTTGAATCCTTGATCGGCCTGCACATCAACGAGCATCTGCAACAGATTGAGGACGGGGCGTGGCGGGGATCAATCGCCTTCGGCCGCCGCTGGGTGGGCGTTCAGAGCGCCATGAGGGAGCTGATCAGGCTCCGCCGCGTATCACGCCAATGGCAAGACTACGTCCTCGACGGACAGCTCTGGCACTCGCTCGAGCTGCCTTCCTTTCCGCACATGAGCGCCGCTTGCCTGCACCGCATCGCCCGAGCGGCCGGCCCCTTTGTCAAGACGTTGGACCTTCGGGGCTCGTCTGGCCTGGCATCCCATCCCATGCCCTCGTTATCAGGGGCTGGACAGCATGGGGGCATGACGAGTGCAGGTGCGGGATCAACGCCGCCCTCGATAACCTGGTCAAGCCTCGTCGAGCTCAACCTCCAAGGATGCCGCAACCTGAGCAGCTCGTCGCTTGCCGACTTTCTGCGCTCTACGCCGGGCCTCAGGGCGCTCGATCTCGGTGGTCTCGACTGCGTCACGGACGGTACCTGCCGCACAATTTCCGAGACGTTGACGGCGCTCGAGCAGCTCGACATTAGTCGCTGTGCCAACGTCACTGACGCCGGCATCGCTGCACTGGTCGCAAGTCCGGGACCGAGCTCGCCACCTTTCGGAGGCTGCCCTCGCGATACCGCGTCGTCTTTCCGGATCTTCAGGGCTGCTGGAGTCACGACGCCTGCACCCGAGACAATGTCGTCGATCGGCAAGCGGTGGCCCAACCTCGAAGAGCTTGATCTCAGCCACACGGATCTGGACAACGCCTGCATCGCCAGCTGGGTATCCAGTTGGGGCGACTCGAGACGCGGCAAGGACGCCGACGTTACCCCCGTCGCCGCTACCGACAACGGCGATGTCAGGGACAGCGCGTATCACATCGCGCTTACGCCACGCCAAGCAGGCTCGCTCGAAGACGAAGGACCCATCCATCGCCGAACCTTCCCGCGCCTTGTCAAGCTCAAGCTCGGCTCGTGCCCCCGGCTGACGGACGTCGCTGCGTCACACCTGGCATGGGCCCTTCCGAGCCTCGAGGTGCTGGAGCTGTCGTCTGCTGGCGGCGCCCAGGATCAACGCATCAGGGATGCGGGTCTGTTGAGGCTGCTGCCGTCGGTGCCGCGGCTGCGGAGATTGGACCTCGAGGGCGCCTCGACCATCTCTGATCGCGTCCTAGCCGCCCTCACGCCGCCGCCCTCTTGTGTCGAGGTCAACGGCGCTGCTGTGCCTCCAGAAGGCGTGGCCGCTGCCTCCGGATCGCTCCGGTTGAACCGCCTTCGTCGGCAGCAAGGGAGGGGCGCTGTCTCGGATCCCGTCGAAGGCGCACTCCCAAGTCCGTCGTCCGACATCGCGGCCGGCGCGGCGCTAATCCCGGTCACTGGGACACAATTGACCCACCTCGTCCTCTCATCCGCCAAGCAGCTCAGCGTAGCGGCAATCATCTTGCTGATCCGGGGATGTCCCAACCTGCATCACCTCGAGCTCGACGACACGGAGGCCGGCGATGCGGTCGCACGCGAGTTCGTGCTACTAGCTCGGCGGCGCAAGGCTCAGGGCGCTCATCTCACCCTGATCGACTGCCGCGGACTGACGCGCAGCACCAACCTAGAGCTCGCCCACCTCGAGAGCGTCGAGGGATCTGCCGGCACACGGCCTCGCGCTGGCCGGCGAGGCTGGACGTTCCGACACTTTCGCTACGACGACGCGGATGCCGCTGCGATCGAGAGCTCGCGCGCAGCACGCGTGGTCCAGAGTGGCGCTGACATGGACACCGAGATTGCCGGCGTCGTCGATGCCAGCGGTCGACAGGACACCTTGACCTCCTCCGATCCACGACGCACGAACGGCACCGCCGCGCATACCAGCACCGCCGCTCTTCGCGCCGTGCTCGGCCAGGATGAGTGCAATGCCGACCGGGTCGTCCTGAAAAACTATTATGCGTGGGAGTCCGTCCAAACCCGCGCAAGAGCCCGAGATGCCGGACGCTCCTCGCGCGGGCGATCCTCGACCACGGCGGCCGCACCTCCTCGTGCCACCCGAACCGGATCGACGCGCACATGGTGGCTACGGATTCTCGCCGCCGTCATAGGTGACCCCAACGACGGCGGCGAGGACACGAACGTACGTTAGCGCCGAGAGCAATCAATCATCGTTCACAGAAAAGTGCGAGGTCAACAAACTAATCATATTGCAGCTACGTACAGGCGGTCTTCCCTCCCCGTATACGGGGAGAGGCGGGAGCGGGGATAAGTGGCATCCCTCCCCTTCCGAGGAGGTCCTCGGACGGGGAGGGGCGGGAAGGGGAAGGGAACGGGGAAGGGAAGGGGAAGGGGAAGGGAAGGGAGAGAGCCGAGAAGAGGTCTTCCCTCCCCGCGCAAAGGCAGGGAGAGGCGGGAGCTGGGAGCTAGTGGCATCCCTCCCCGTTCGAGGACGGGGAGAGGCGGGGGGATTATTTTCGCAGACACGTTACCGTGCCGCCTTGCCAGAGTACTTTAGGCGTACCGGCACGACCCTTCCGTGCAAGGTAGCGTACGCGAGCGCGGATGAGAGGGTGAGGGATCAGAATTGGGGAGGGGGGCGAGGGAAAGGCCCCTTCTTATCCCTTCTGATCCGGCCCTCCGACGTGCCAGCTGAGGCCAGCTCCCCCAGCGCCCTCGAACAGCGCTATTCAGATCACGGTAGGAATTGTATTGCCATTACAAGCCCTCTTCGCGCTTTGCCGGGACGCTGCCATCTGAAAAAAATTACGGGAGATGGTCGCGGATCCGAAAAAAATTACGGGAGACGGTCGCTGATCCGAAAAAAATCACGACAGACGGTCGCTGTTTCAGAAAATTACGGGATACGGCTCTGATCTTCAAAAAATTACGGGAGCCGGGCGCGTTTGGAAAATCAAGGGAGACTGTCGAGCGCGTCGGTTCCGAGCGCGACGGACGCGCGGCCCCTTGGCTGCCTGGCCGCCGAGGCCTCCACTCCTCGGCTCCTCTGCTTCCTTCATCTGCCTCTCCGCTGCCGCTGCCGCCGTCGCCCACGCTTTGGGTCTCCTGTGCTCGTCGCGCCTCGCCGCATTCGACTCGCTGTTCTCGTACGCCCTGCTCTTCCGAATCTGCGACGCTCACGTGGACACGACAGGATCCCTCTCGGCATGCAAATTGACCCTTCAAGGGCGGTCTCGAGTCGCGTCGCGCCTGGCCTCGCGGAACGGCACAAACGGGCTCGGCCGCTCCGAGAGCGTCGCGTGCCTTCAGATCAGCCCACCCCGTTGTTCTCGGCCGTCAGCGCGCGTGAGAGGCTCAGAAGGGACAGCGCGCGTCCCGTGGTCCTCAGAGAGAACAGCGCCTCAACAAGGCCGGCACCCCGCTGCAGGGTCCGTCCAAGCCTGTCGCGGCGGCGCCACGGTCAACAAAGCCAGCAGCATCACCACAGCAGGAGAACACCGACGCAGCGACCACAGCTTTCGCCAACTTGGCCACTACGACAACAGCGACATCATCCTCATCAGGAGTCGCAGCAGAGGACGGTCAGCCCACTGAAAAGACGCTCGAGGAGCGCATCAAGGAGTTGGGTGAACCGCCGCGCGTGCTCGCGAAGAGTCCCTGCTAGCGTCCACGACCGGTTGTGTGACGGAACGGCGCACACGCTCGTCCGCCTCTCCTCTTGCTCCTCCACAGGGGCGGATGGCTGCCCTTCCCTCGCCTCACCCCGTGCTCGCGTGGAGGGCTCCTTACGCACCCGCGTTCGACGCGACGGACGCTCTCTGCTGCTGGATTTTCAGTCAACATGCCGAACCAAGGGTCCGCCCCTTATCTGTGCACTGTACGCCCGCGTGTCGAGCGTGTGTGCTCGCATGGTCTGACAGTCCAGTCGTCTGCACACGTAATCATGCTGTATGTGCACGGACCGGATGGCACAGGCAAACCAGGCGACCCGGAGCCCGAACCGCTGCCAGCGGCCCAACGTGGCGTAGGGAACCCCGGGCTGCTGCCAGCTGCCCTGGGCGGGGGAAAAGTCTGCTGCCGCTGACTTGGGATTTATTTTGTGCTAGGGTCGATGCCGCTCGTTATCCTAGTGGGGGCCGCTGCCGCTTGCCCTGGGAGAAGAAAGAAGGGAAGGAAGGAAGGGAAAGGAGGGAGGGTAGGATTATATACCTTCGATCTGGTTCATGGGCGGGGGCGCTGGGTGGGTGGACGGGCAGGCGGCCCCTGCGGTCGCACTGCATTTCGCCAGTACGGGCGTAGGGCGCTAGCTCCGGGGTGAGGCCAGCCAATCTCCGGGTTTGCGAGGCGCTTATGTCCATGTGGGCCCCTAATGTCCGGGAAACGATTAAGTCCAGCAGCTCCCCGGAGCTACGGGACCCTTAAGTCCAGGCAGACATCGCTGGTAAGTCCGGAAAACGCTTATCTCCAGGTTAGCTCCGGCCGCGAGCACGTGGAAGCAAAAAATTCCGGCGGAACACGCGGCTTACCTCCGGCCAGCGGGACCCTTATGTCCACGTGGTTACCGATATGTCCGTATGGCCCCTTATCTCCAGAAGATCCCTCGCCGGGCGCGCCCCTTATCTCCATGTGGCCCTCGAAACCTCCGGGTGTACCCTAAGCTCCGGGAGGGTCACGGAGTTAGGCAGCGGGGCCCCACCCCCCTCGACCCCTATTCCCCGGAGTTTGAGCTCCTCGGCGGCCTCAGGGAAAGTGCCTCGGTCGATCCCCGCCCCGCCCCTGAGCCCTGCTGCCCTGCTGCCCGCCCGCCCTGCCGCCCGTCCGCCTGCCAGTCCCAGGCCCCCCATGGACCAGATCAAAGGTATATAATCCTACCCTTCCTCCTTTCCCTTCCTTCCTTCCCTTCTTTCTTCTCCCAGGGCAAGCGGCAGCGGCCCCCTAGGATAACGAGCGACATCGACCCTAGCAAGGCGGCGGCAGCCGACCAAAAATAAATCCCAAGTCAGCGGCAGCAGACTTCTCCTTCCCCGCCCTCGGGCAGCTGGCAGCAGCCCAGGGCAAAACGCGTTTGCGTCATTGGCAGCGGCCCAGAACTCGCGCCCTCGCCTTGCTTGGGGTTACCTTCTTGCTGGCCCCGCTCCGATGCACGCCGGCCTGTTCAATTCGTCCTGGTACGGGAGAAAGCAGGTTGACGCTCGTTCATCTACGCCGCGCTGTGTGCATCCCTGGTAAGACCTCGGTCAACCTGTACAGTCTGAAGTCTCGAACGGCCAATGAACAGCTAGGAGCTCAGGTGCAGCGGATCGCAACCGGGGAAGACCCAGTCCGTCCCAGGCGTGTGTTAGAGTCAAGGCGCCTTCGCTTCGAACCGGTTGTGGCGAGCGTGGGCTCCGACGCTTGCGGCCTTGGATCCGTGTACATACCGCGCGATGCCCCGGTACGACCACCTCAGACGCCACACGCGTTGGACCAGGGCAATGTCAGCTCGTCGCGTCGGACCAGGGCAATGCTACCCCGACGCGTCAGACCAGGGCAATGCTCTAGCTCGTCGCGTCAGACAGACCAGGGCATTCTAAAATTGCTAGCACTTCGCGTCGAACCAGGGCCTGGCCAGGCAATACTCTAGCTCGTCGCGTTGGACCAGGGCAGTGCTAGCACGTCGCGTCCTCTTGGCCCCCACTGCGTTGCGAGTCAGTGTGACCACTTCGCACCGCCAACACAACCTCGAGACGAGGGATGAAGTGCGTCCTCGGCTGTCAGCCACGCCTCCGGTTGAATGACGTGCCATGCCGCTCCAGTCCGCCCGTCCTCTTGCGCTCGACTTGCTCAAATACCTCTTGGTCGAGCATCGACCCGGACGGTGCGTCTCGTTCTTCGGGCTCGTCACCGTTCCTGCACCCTGGCTGCAGTACGCCGACCTCTGCCTCGTCCTCGTCCTCAGCGGACTCGGCCTGGTGATCCAGTCGGTCACAGGCGACATCTCAGCGCACCTCTACCGGCTCCTCAGAGAGATCTGACCGGTCACCAACGGAGCACGAGGGCCTCGGCTCCTCGGAATCCAGCATGACCTGGCTGTGCCCCATCGTTGTCATCCTAGAGCGAACTTTCAATGACAAAGCTGGAAGCGTCTCGGCACAAGGTATCGTTACGGCAAAGCGGGGCTCTGGGAAGGCTTGACTCGGAGACCACGGGCGATCGTGTACGGCCGCCGTGGTGCGAGTTGCTGGTACCGCCCCTCCGTTCAGATGTTGGCCATCAGTTTGCCTTGGTTCTTGAGCTCGCGCAGCTTGTTCATTGTGTCGACCTCGCCCTGTCCGCCGACCTTCTGCTGGACGGCGGGGTCAGCGACTCGCATAAAGACATTGTGCCTCTTCTCGTCGGCGATGGTGTACACGCCGGTAGTGACGCCGCCGTTCCTCTGGCGGCGCAGGTCCTCGACCAGCCTCTCGACGTGTTCGTCGGCGTCGAGGACACCCTTGGAGAAGGCGACGTTGCTCTTGGTGTACTCGTGGCCACAGAAGACGACCGTGTCGCCGGGCAGCGAGGCGAGGACGACGTTGAGCGCCTTGTGCATTTCGTCGGCCGAGCCTTCAAAGAAGCGACCACAGCCCGAGACAAAGAGAGTATCGCCGGTGAAGACGGCGCGCAGCTTCTCGCCGTCCTTGCCCTCGGGGCCCTGCGACAGGCCCTCGCGGCCGTCCTCGACGAAAAAGCAGATCGAGTCCTGGGTGTGGCAGGGAGTGGCGTGGCACGATACGTTGATCGACGGGAAGAGCGGGAAGCTGTCTCCGTGCTCGACCTTCTTGTTGAGCGCTGGAATCTGCTCAGAGCCGCCCCAGATGGGGAGCGAGGGGAATGCTTTGGCCTGAGGCACGACGTTGGCGGAAAAACAGGGGGACGAGCCCGTCGAGGGCCATGACATCGTCAGCAACCGGCGTCGTCGCACACACCTCTTACGAATGCCCGCACCGCCACAGTATCGCATCGATCGCGGATGGGCGCATGATAAACTCACAAAGGCCTCGTTTCCGCCGCTATGATCCGCATGGTGGTGGGTGGTCAGTAGGCCGATGACGTCCTCATCCTCGATGCCGTAGTCGTTGCGTGCGACCTCGCGGACCTTTGCAAAGTCGAAAGGGTCGACGAACGCGGCCTTTTGTCGGCCATCGCTCGCGGACTGGGGCGAAGAGAGGATGAGGTAGGCGTAGTTGTCCGAGCGGACAGGTACAGGGATGACCTTCATTCTTGCACTAGGCCAGCAGCCGTCGGAAGGGGCGAGCGCAAGACCGAAGGGAACCGGGGATGGATCAGCACGACGGACGGGCTAGAGGGCTAGCCGGCAAGGTGAGCAGCAGCAAGGTGCTGAGAAAGCGGGCGGGCTCGCTTTCGCGTGCAGCGGTGCACAGGGTGGCCACTCACGCTGGTGTGTTGGTGAAGTAGCGAGCGAGGGTGCGGGGTGGGAGCGTCGAGGGCTGGGAAAAGTGGCGGCAGGTTTGAGCTGCGCGTGTGAGCATCAAGGCGAAGGGGACAAGGCGAGTAGGTGCATTGGACGGTGTTGCTGACGTCGATGGAAGTGTGGCGTGCGGTACCAGTTGGATGGTGGTGCGCTAGCTTCCTGGCGTGCGATGGGACCAGTCAGCGCGCGGGAGTCGGGAGACTCTGAGCAGAGCGCCTGGTCACCTTTTTTCGGCCCCGGGCGCGACGCGACCTGCGTGCAACCGCGAGGCGCGGCCAGGCCTGGCCGACCTGAGGAAAACAGTCAGGGCAAGCCCGAGGGTGGGCATGACGAAAATTGTCGGGCGCGCGCGCGTCCATTCTCGCGTGGAGCGGTTGGACCTGCAGGCAGGTAGGGTCTGACCCGGCTTGCCTGCCAGCTGGCCTTCCCGCTGCACCCTGCAGTGGAGAGCCCCGCCTGATCGGACGACAGCATGATATGGCTTCATCACGAGACAAGGAAACTCCAAACTTCGCTGGTGCTTCGAAGGGATGCTGGGCCACATTCAGCTCGCTCGCTACAGAGCTCGCTACAGAGGTGTGACTGCCGTTTGCCGCCAGTATCGCAGGACGGCAACGACGGCCGATTCGTCGGTTTGGAAAAGCCAGGCGCGTCCGCGATCGAGTGTGGCGCGTGAAGGCTGGGAGGCAGGCAGAGCAGGGCCAGTCGCGCAACGCGGGCAGGACCGCGTCGCCTGCAGCGGTCTCGTAGCGTCATCCGCTCCCGCAAAGCACGCCCCTGCGATGCCTACCGCCATCCGGTCCTTCTGTCGCACACCCTGGATCAGGCAGAGGATCGTTCATCCCTGCCCGTGCTTACTCTCGGCGGTTTCCAGCCGCCGTGGCGCAGGCGACATGACGCCCACCCCGCCGGGCTGCTGCCAGCTGCCCTAAGGGCGGGGGGACTTGGGGAAAGAGAAGTCTGCTGCCGCTGACTTGGGGAAAGAGAAGTCTGCTGCCGCTGACTTGGGATTTATTTTTGGTCGGCTGCCGCCGCCTTGGTACTAGGGTCGATGCCGCTCGTTATCCTAGGGGGCCGCTGCCGCTTGCCCTGGGGGAAGAGAAGGAAGGAAGGGAAGGGGGGTAGGGCAGGATTATATACCTTCGATCTGGTTCGTGGGCGGGGCTTCTGTGGGCGGGCCGGCAGGCGGGCGGGCGGGCGGCAGGGCGCTATGCCTCAGGCAACTGCACTGCCCGCAGGGCACGGTAACCCCGGAAATAGGAGCGGGAACCACACGGGAACGGCCACGAGGCAAGGCCACGAGGCAAGGCTAAAATCCGGGCAACTCTGCCAACATGGGCAGGAGCCCAGCACGGAGAAAAGCGTGCCGGAGCTAAGAAAACCCTGCGCTCAAATTATCAAATTCCAGCGGATCACGGATTTTGCAAACAGCTTATCTCCAGCTAGCTCCGGGTCACGTAACATAGCTTACCTCCGAGAGATACAGAATCACGCAAAGACCCTAAAGTCCGGGTCTGGCGTGCGTCTAGCCTGGAGATAAGCACCGATTCCTCGGCGATACCGGCGTTACGGAGTTTACCGCTCCCCTGGTTCCGTTGGCTTCTCGCAGGTACGCCTGCAGGGCTCGCAGGAAAAGCCTCAGGCGAAGTGCCCGGATTTCTAGCCTCGCGGCCTGCCCGTCCGACCGCCTGGGGCCTCCCATGGACCGGATCGAAGGTATATAATCCTACCGTTTCCTCCTTTCCTTCCTTCCCTTCCTTCTTCTCCCAGGGCAAGCGGCAGCGGCCCCCTAGGATAACGAGCGGCATCGACCCTAGTACCAAGGCGGCGGCAGCCGACCAAAAATAAATCACTAAAGTCAGCGGCAGCAGACTTCCCCCGATCCCCCGCCCTTAGGGCAGCTGGCAGCAGCCCGGCGGGGTGGTCATCGTCAACGTATCGTTGAACAGACCCCTTGATTCTCTCCATCTTTCCCACACACAAAAGGTTTCTTGGCAGACGGCACAGTGAGATCATGGCCAACGCGGCGTGGATGCGAGGGCGAGGGCGAGTGCGAGTACGAGGGCGTGGATGCGAGTGCGAGGCCGAGGGTCAGGGCGCGAGGGTCAGGGCGTCAGGGTCAGGGCCCGAGGGCGCCAGGGCGCCAGGGTCAGGACGCGAGGGCGCCAGGGTCAGGACGCGAGGACGCGAGGGTCAGGACGCGAGGGTCAGGACGCGAGGGTCAGGACGCGAGGGTCAGGACGCCAGGGTCAGGACGCGAGGGCGCCAGGGTCAGGGCGCCAGGGTCAGGACGCGAGGGCGCCAGGGTCAGGGCGCCAGGGTCAGGGCGCCAGGGTCAGGGCGCCAGGGTCAGGGCGCCAGGGTCAGGGCGCCAGGGTCAGGGCGCCAGGGTCAGGGCGCCAGGGTCAGGGCGCCAGGGTCAGGGGAAAGACAGAAGGGTGGGCTGGTGCGGCGATTAAGAGCACGGAGTCAGCTACCTATTCGAGCAAGACGTCACAACATTGGCGCTAGAGCCGGGCGAGCTGACTCTGGCGCGTCAGCCTGCTCGGGCCAAGAAAGGATGCGGTCGCTCTGGCCCCTCTTCGGGCCGGCTGATGGCGGTGTGCGCGGCGAAGCCGGGCTCGAAGCGGGCAAACGCGCGCAGATTGCGTCGTAGATACGGAGGCCCTCTCGCGCTTGTGGTCTTGATCGTTGTCGTCTCTGGCGGGGGTGGCGTCCCTGGTTCGACGGCGACCGAGGTGTCGCCGATCGCTTGCCGCTGCTGCTGCTGCTGCTGCTGCTGCTGACGCCGCATCCAGTGCATCCACAGCTTACGATCGTCGAGAGGCTTCCGCTGTTTTAGGCGCCAAACCCTGGTATAGAGCCGGTGCATCTGCTTGCGCTGCTTTTGGTCCACCTCGGTGGCACGCTCCGTCTCGCTCGCAGTGAGGCCGGCTGACGGTGGCCACAAGGCAAACGACGTCGGGTTGGACCCCGCCGTTTTGGCAACAAAGGACGGTGGTCGAGCGTAGAGGTCATCGAGAGCGTCAAAGTCGACGAGAAAGTCGTGCTGACGGCGCGAGCGAAACTGGGAGCGCAGCAGAGCCGAGTACTCGAGGCCCTGTCGCGCGTCTTCGGTGAGAGAGATTGTGGCTGTCGCCAGCTCGAGCTGGTCTTCTCGTCGCCTTTCCGTGCTCATTGCGCCCGCCTCTTCAGGGTGACCCCTCCCAGACGCGGTCGAGCCGGCGGGCTCCATCGCGGTCACGATGGTGTCGGCCGTGGTGGACGTCCATCTTGCCCAGGAGCTTGCGAGGTGGGAAGCGCCGCCAACCCTCGGTGCAGTTCCGGCCTCGTTCGCCCGCGGCGAAGGCTTCGAGTTGGCCTGAGTCGCAGCAGCGGCCTCGTCGCTCTGCTGGCAGAGGCGAGAAAGCATCCATGCAACACGGCGCGCCTGATCGACGCAGAGGGTGTGGATGTCGGGGAAGCGTGGCTGCGGTTCAGAGAGTTCGAGCAGCTCGACTTCGGGCTCAGTCGGCGAGGCCGCAGGCGACGAGGGCGCTGGCGAATCGACAGGCTTGGACGGAGGCAGAGAGTCACGTCGAGGGTACTTGCGCGGGCGCCCTCTCCCTCTCTTGTGTACAGCGGGCGGGACAACGTCGACCGAAGCGGCTGGTCCGAGCGCGAGCAGAGAGGCACCGACACTGCGCGCGCGCTTCAGAGTGGCTGCCTTGGAGCGGCACACTGCGACGGACCGCGCGCGCGACATGCGATCTCGACGACTAGGTGTCCTTCTGTGTTCCTCGTCGATGTCGAGGCGAGGAGAGTCGGCATCTGCTGCAGACTTGGGCGCGATGGCGAGGTCAGTGTCGGCATCTGGTGCTGCGAGCTTGTCGTACGTCGGGCGCTGGTGATGTGTCGCCTCGCTGGGCCTGCCCTGGCCGCGCCGGAGCGTCTGTGGTAGGCTCTCGAGGCGCACGCCTGGTCTCTTGGAAAGCGACTGTGCGGCTGAACTGTAGCCGTCGCCCGCATGCTCCCTGCCCACCTCAGGCTCTTCGACTGCGATCCCGGCAGTCGGTCCGTACCAGCGCCAGTCCGTTTCTCTGCTCGGCCCAACGTAGGAGTACGGGAACTCCAGCAGCGCCGCCGAATGACCGAATGGAGGCAGTTCCGCGTCCATGTACCAAGGCGATTGGAGCGCGTGGAGGGCCGCGTGTGTCGAGCGAGGCGATGTCCCCTGAGCTGGCGAAAGAGGCATCTGCGGAGGGTAAGCCGGAAAGGGGGATGGCTCGGTACGAGGCAAGGGCCAGTAGTGCTCCGGCCTAGGCAGGAGATGGGCTGATGTAGTCGGGGCATGGTAGGCATGGGCAGGACGAGGATCGAGCGGCCATGGCGGATGGGCTAGACGTAGAGTATCGATTGGAGGGGAGTCGTGGTGGCGGATCTGATGCTCGAGTGCTTCTGCGGGCGCATATGGTGCCCAGCCGGGCGAGTCGTGGGCATCGCAAAAGGTTGTCGTGGCTGGAGCAGCCTTCAAGACACCAAGACTGCCATGGTCGGCGTCGGCGACCTCTCGACTGCGCTGCTTGCCCCTGGCCCGCTCCGACATCCCAGCGGGCGCCGCTGACCGCATGCAGCCGCTGTAGGACTGCGAAGTAGCGTCTGCGGCATGATCCAGCCGTGCGCCGGCGGCGGGAGCGCTCTCTGTGTGGTCCGACTCGAGCGCTGCGGTGGCGTGCCTCTCCCGCTTGACCGCTGGGACGTGGCCATACTGCACGACCTTGACCTTATACGGACGCAGTTCGGGATCGTCGTAGTCTGCGCGTGAGGCCGCGAAGCGCTGATAGGCCTCGTCGAAGTCGGAGTCGTCGCCGTCTTCCGAGTACGCTCCCGGGCAGTGCTGGTGATGGGCGTCCATCGGTGCCGGGACCGAAGGCAGGACGGCTAAAAAAGGGTGGTGGGCAGTAGTAGTGTGCCTGTGGTGGTGGTGATTGTGAAGACGGTGAGACCCTTGGCACCCTGCGCCTGGGCCACTTCGTTCCGCGCCAGCAGGCCTAGGCCGGCGATCACCCGGCCTAGCACGAGAGCTCGGCGGGTCAGGGTCCAAGCTGGCTGCGGATCAGGCACGCATCATGCACGGTCGAGCTACGCCGAACGCCCACATGCGTACCTAGTTTCCGGCTCGTTGTCGGCTCATGCATATGAATCTTGAATGTTATTCCTCCGGGCCAACTCTGTAATTAAGATCACATCCTCCGGAGAGTAAATTAAATTGCTCCTGCCCCGCCTGGTAACGCCATTCTGCAAGGAGGCCGGCGAGGAGATTGATGCTGGAACGAACGCGCGGCCTGGGGAGCGACGAAGGGTGGTCAGGTCTGGCGAGCAAGCTTGCCAGCTTGTTTGGACGAAGCAGGGGGCCCCACAGCGGTTCGGGCGGGTCGATCGATGGTATACATACCTTGCCTCCCGGTCTCGACGGAACCCAGTTTGATGTGTCACCCCCGCCAACCCCACCCAGGACCGTGACACCCCCCGACAGACCGGCAGCATGCACGACGCCGTCTTCATCCTTTGCCTCCTCGCCGCTGTGGCCTGGGTGACGCACCTCTTCCGCGCACACCGACAGTACGCCGAACTCCGCGCCCGCCACGACAGGGACTTCGTTCTGTCCGCCATCGACGTCTCGCACAAGCTGTTCGCCAAGGAGCTCGCGCGCATCCCGGTGGCCGAGCTCCGCAGCTTCATGGGCGAGGCCCGACACGAGCTCCGAACCATCCCCGACATCCGCGCGGCCCTCTACGACACCCGATCCTACACAGCCAAGATCCTCGCCCTCCTCACCTCGTCCCGATCCGATCTCGGCAAAGTGTTCGAGGCCCTCGCCCTCACCCGCTCCGGCCTTGTGTCCATGAGCGAGTCGCTGGACTACACCGGCGGCGAGCTCGACACGCTGCATGGGGTCGTGTACGATATGGCAGCCTTTCAACTCATCTTCAAGGACGAGATTAAGCACCTCGCCGAAATCATCAGGCGCGCGACGGCCACGCCCGTCCCTTCGCGCTCCCCCTCGCCCACCCCCGAATCCTCCGCCGGTCCGAGCCCCGTGGCCTCGCGCTCCTCCAGCCCGGTCCCGATGCGCGCCACCTCGCCGGTTCCCGTCCCCTCCTCGGACCACCTGCCGCCGCGCCCGGCTAGTGCGGCTGCGCAGGACAGGCCTCGGCAGATTTGCAGGGCCTACCAGAGGGGAACCTGCCGCCGCCCCGACGACCAGTGCCGTCACCTGCACATCTGCGCGGAGCCCGGCTGTGGCGGCCGCCACCCGGCGTCGGCTTGCCCGGGTCTTTCCTAAGGTGAGTGTCACTGACGTTCCTCCCCCGCCTCGGTCTTACCACGAGGCGCTTGCTGACAATCATCTCTCTCTCCCTCTCTCTCTCTCTCACACACACACAGAGGCATCCGGCCACAATCACGACTCGGAACAACACGATCCAGAACAGCATGACAGGACTCCGAGGCATCCGGCCACAATCACGACTCGGAACAACACGATCCAGAACAGCATGACAGGACTCCGAGGCATCCGGCCACAATCACGACTCGGAACAACACGATCCAGAACAGCATGACAGGACTCCGAGGCATCCGGCCACAATCACGACTCGGAACAACACGATCCAGAACAGCATGACAGGACTCCAAGACAAGACGACAACACGCTCGATTTCGGATGGCCAGAGGTGGAGAACAGAAGGGCGCGGCGGATCGTGGCGCTTTTGAGGGAGGCCGAGAGCTCTCGGATCCCCGATCATCTCTGGTAGGACGGGGTCGCGGCGGCGTTTAGCGGTTGGAGCGGGCGACTCGCTCCATCTCGTCGCGCTTCTTGATGGCGTACGAGTTCGACGATCCCTTGGCGGCATTGATGAGCTCATCTGCAAGGCACTCGGAAATCGACTTGACGTTGCGGAAGGCCGACTCGCGGGTACCCGTGGTGAGGAGGCTGATGGCCTGGTTGACACGACGCAGAGGCGAGACGTCGACGGCCTGTCGTCGGACGGTGCCGGCAGAGCCGATGCGGGTCGAGTCCTCGCGCGGGCCGGTGTTGATGATGGCGTCGACCAGGATCTGGATCGGGTTGGCGTCGGTGAGGAGGTGGATGATCTCAAAGGCGTGGGCGACGATGCGGACGGCCATGAGCTTCTTGCCGTTGTTGCGGCCGTGCATCATGAGCGAGTTGACGAGGCGCTCGACGATGGGCATCTGCGCCTTCTTGAAGGCCTTGTTGGCGTAGCGGCCGGCCGTGTGGGGCGTGTAGACGGCGTTTCGGAGGGCGATGTAGTCGGTCAGGGAGATGTCCTTGACCTCGACCTCCTGGGCGCTGCGGGGGTTGGCGGACGCAGGAGACAAGGGGAGAAGGCGAGCAGGCGTCAGCTCTCACGTCCATACCGCCGTCTCGTTGATCTCGGCGGATCCAGAACCGTCGTCCCGCCTCCAGCGACCTGCCTCGACTGCCGGCAGCCTTCCGCAGCGAGCGCCCCGGATGAGGCCTTGCCGGCGCTTCCGCTGATAGCGCCCAGAACGAGACCCTCGCCTACCACGACCGTGGCAGGGCCAAACGCCGGACAGGGCCATCCATCCGTCGACACTCCGTCGCCCTGAACCGTCCTTCCCTGGTCGACCTGGATCCGCCACCATCCTGACTCCGAGCCACGGCGCGGCATGGCTGCTCTGGTGTTCGGGTGACACTCACTCCCACTTGCCGAAGAGACGGACGCCGCCAACCTCCGGGGCAGCCACAGCGGCAACGTCCTCTGTTGGATGTCAGCCAGCGGACAAGTGCGAGAGAGGGCGATGAGGTGCATGGGCGAGGTCGATGTGAGGTTGCGCGGCGCACAGGGGCGTAGCAGGTGCGGCGATTGTGGATTGTCGAGAGAGTCGGACACGGAGAGGGCGACGGCGGAACGATCGGTAGGTTGGAGGTCGATGGAAGGTCGAGAATGTGGCACCAAGAGTCGAGCGGACGAAGGGAGAGCAGCCGACGACGAGAGCGACACGGGCGACACGGGAAGGTGAAAGAGAGGATGGGCAGAACGTCAGCAAGCCGTTCCATCGTGACCTTCCAGCTGATCCAGCGAGCGTTGTTTGGTGGTGGCGACGGGTCGTGGTCCTGCCAAGCCGGGCGGAGCAGACAGCTTCCAGCGATGGCCGAGCGGGTCGTGACTGTGCGAACATGGCAAGAGCCTCCCGGGCCGTCGGCCAGACCGCTGCGTATGTCGTTCCTCGTCGGTCGACCCTTTGAAGCGATCCGTCCTGGTGTGCGCCGCAGGGAGCCGCCGCCGCGTCCGCCGTGTGCCAGAGTCGTCGACACTCACTGGGGATTCCGACCTTGGCCATGTTGGGCTATGTGATGTTGCGACGGAGATTCTGTTCTTGACCAAGAACGGGAAAGTGATGGGAAGGGCGGCGGGGTAGGGACGAGGGTCTTGAGGGGGTGGTGCGGGTGACTTGGAGTGAGGATCAGCAACAACGACGACGACGACGGCCTCAACCACCGACGGCGGCAGCGCAGGCTCCCCTCGCTTCCCACGCGGCCCCGGGATGGGCTGGGCTGGCCACAGGGCTGGGCTGGCAGGATGGCCGATCCGTGCCGGGTGGCCCACCGAGGGGCCTTCCAAGCCCGCCTTCCGGTGCACCTGCAGGGTCGTTGAATCCAAATTTCGAGGTGGAATTGCACCGCCGCCACTGCGCGTAATGCAACTCGCAGGCAATTCAATTTTTGCGCATTTCGAGGCATAGGCGATGAGAAATTTCCAGCTTCTTGAGCCTCGGCCGAGGCTACTCGGATCCGCACGATTATGGCTCCAGGCTCGCGCAGCCAAGGCCAGCCGTCCAACCTTCCGCCACCAGCTTCCGTTCACCAGGCTGTGCCCGGCTGAATGTCCACATCGCAGCCGCGGCCCACTCCTACGCGCAGCGAGACGACCCTCGCCGCCGCCATGGCCCGCTCTTCAGAGCAAAGGGTCGCAATGCGAGCAGCCCAGGCGATGGACCAAGCACGACGTGAAGATCCCCTCCTGTCGAGGTGGACCGCTGGGCCAAGCGATGCCCTACTCAGCGGACTAGATGGCGAGCTCCGCTTCGAATGCTGCTTTTCGTACAAGAGGCCGGCGATAGTGCTACATCCACAGAGGGCAAAGGAGAGGAGAGGAGAGAGAAGAGAGACGATCGAGGCTGCGAGAGAGTACAACAGAGAGAGGGCATTGACGGCGTAGAGAGCAAGGGAGGCGGGGAGGGCAAGGCACGGCACGGCATGGCATGGCAAAGGGACGCGACCAAGACGTCGTCTGCACTCGGCAGAGAGAGGGGCGCAAACATCCGGGTCGCGGAAAGAGGAGAGTGGCGTCGGATTCGATCAGGGCCTGCAGTGGTGATGGACGGACCGGTTTGATCTCCACACGCGGGCGGGCACGCCGCGGTTCCAGGTTGGCGGCGACCATGAGAGAGACTGCACGCACATCTGCTGAGAGGGCAGACGAGGCAGCCGGCGCGAGTCGCGCCATGGGACGGAGCGACGGTAGATGCTGGCTCCTCTCGGGCCAAGGAATGCCCTCGACTGACAGATCATGCCTTCTTCTCCTTCTTGGCGGCGACGGAATCCGATACGGTGGAGGTCGAGGCAGCCTCGGCCATCTCGGGCTTGGAGGGAGCCCCAAAGAGCTTGTTTGCCGGCGCCTTGTCGAGGTCCCGCAGCCGCAGCACTACGAGCTTGCGATCGGCCTGCGAGATGGCGAGCTGATACTGCCCCGGGAGGGTGCCGTCTTTGGCAGCGACAGACGTCGATGAGTCGTGGGCGTCGGACGGCATCTTGGCTTCCGATCGCTTCGAGTCCGGATCGACGTCTTCGGCAGCAGCAAGGCCCTTCCAAGAGAGGCCGAAGATGGGTCCACCGCCAACATAGCGCTTGACGAGGGCGCCGTCCTGCACAGACAAAGGCGGGCAGCAGAGGGGATAAGAGGATCAGCAAAAGGGCAACCGGCACGACGACGTCGCGGCGATGCGACAGCTCCTGCTCAGTCAAGGGCGCTCACCTCGATCCGCGTGATGAGAACCCTCTTGTCGATCCCGCCAGTGGCGAGGAACCGCGCGCAGGAGCTGAAGCTGAGCGTGTAGACGTTGTCCTCGTGCTCGTCAATGACACGGATGCAGTCGCCGGTGTCGGCGTTCCACAGCCGCGCGGTCCAGTCGAACGACGTGGTGGCAAGCATGCGCGGCTGCTTGGGATGGCGCGTCCCTGGTCCCGTCGGACACCAAGCCACCGCGTACACCTCCTTGGTGTGACCAGAGAGCGTAAGCCGCAGGCCCTTGTTGGGTCCCTTGGCCGTCGTCGTCACCACACTGGACGTCGTCGACGGTGCAGCGGGTGCACCGGCACTAGCCGCAGTCGGTCCGCTGCCTGAAGCGGACGGGTCGGCCGATGGAACGTCCTTGCCGGCAGCAGCACCGCTGGACCCAGCGCCAGACGATGTGGAAGCGCCCGTGCCAGCGGGAGGCGCCGCAGTCGAGGCGCCTGCCGCCGAGGATGCGCCTCCGTCCTTCTCCTTCGACGGTCCGGACTCGTCCACCTCGCCCTCGCCGGTCGCGGCTGCAGATCCGGCCTCGGCCGTGCCGGCACCGCTGCCGCTGCCGCTTCCTGCGCCGGTCGGGTTGCGGTGGCCACGCTCGCGGTCCTCCTCTGCGTCCGTGCCTTCGACGTTCGCGCTCCCACCCCGACCCCGGGCGCCCCGCTTCCTCGAGCCCTCGCTGCCGGCACCGGGGGCGCCGCCTGACCAGGACCCGCTGCCATTGGACGACGAGCTGCCGAGATCGAGCGCCCAGATCTTGGCCGTGCAGTCGTCCGAGACACTCGCCAGCAGCGTTTGCGAGGGATCAAAGCGGATGGCGTTGACCTCGTCGGTGTGGCCCTTGAACGACTTGATTGGCCGCGCCTCGCCCAGCTTGCAGATATTGATGCTGTTGTCCGCCGAGCACGTGGCAAAGATGGAGTCGGCGACCGACTGGCTGAGACCGTGGGCCGGCGCGACGGCAGCAGATGAATCAACGCTGAGCGAGCCCTCGGCAGTGGAGAGCCATTCCACGTCGAGGACGCCGTCGCTGTGGAGAGGGAACTGCTGCCGCGTCTTGCCGCTGCCGAGGTCCCAGACGATGGCAGTGCCGTCGGCGCTTCCCGTCAGCAGCATGTTGCCCTTGCGGTTCCACCGCACGCTGATGACGGCGCCCTGATGCATCGACATGACCAGGTGCAGATCTCCCTGGGGCGTCCAGAGCCTGAGTATGCCGTCGTAGGACCCCGAGGCCAGCAGTGTGCCGTCCGGGTTCCAGTGCAGCGTCGAGATGTCCTTGCTCTGCGTCGCGGGCAGGTGTTTGCACACCGTCGGCGGGTCGACGGGGTCGCCGGACCGCGGCGGCAGATCCCAGATGCGCACCGTTGCGTCGCCGGCGCCACTTGCCAGCATGCCCGGCACCGTCGGGTTCCACGCCGAGCCGAACACCTCGCCCGTGTGTCCGGCCAGCACGGTGATCTCTTCGCGGGTGACGTATCCATCGCCCTCGGGCTGCTCGACTGTCGTGCTGGCCTGCTTGCCGTTGCCGGCGGCGCCCTTGTCGCCCTTGCCGCCGTCTTTCTTCCCTTCGGCGAGGCTGCCTTTGCCCGCCTTCTTCTTCTTGATGCCGTCCTTCTCCTTTGCCCTCGAACCCGTCCGATCCGCTGCGCCGGAGCCGCTCTCGTGGCCCCTGTCCGTCTGACCGGGCGTGGACGCTCGGGAGCTGCCGCCAACCTTGCCGTTCCTGGACGCCACGTCCTTCCTGTCCTCGTCCGCCATACCGTTGGCGAGCCGCTTCCTGTCCGCTGCCGATGCGGAAGCGGCGGCGAGGTCCTCCCGCTTGGCCCGTTTCTCCTGCCTCTCGGAGCCCGCCGATGCCGCGAGGGCGTGCGAGGCCTTGCGTTTCGCGTCCTTCATCTTTGCCGCGCGCGCCTGCTCCGCGTCCGTCATCTCGACGTCGTCTGCCGAGACTTGCTCGAGCTTCTTCTTGGACGCCGAGGCTGTCGTGCTGGACTCAGGCTGTCGGCCGTCCGAGTTGCGCCTCGAGCCGCTGGAGCTCGACGTCGCCGACTGCAACCCGTTCTGCAGCCTCCGCGTCGTATCCTGGACGGCGACGGCCACAGTCTGGGTCGTCGCTTCCTTGTGGAGGGCCCGCGGTGGCGCCAACGCTGGCGGCGGAGAAGCGGAGAGTCGAGTCGGGCTCGCTGGCGGTGGTGGCGGTCGAGGCTTGCCATCGCACACGTGCGGCGGTCCTACCAGCTTGAACGGCGCCGAGCAGGTCTTTTCGGTGCCATCCTGCGTTTTGCGGCGGGCACGGAAAAGGGGGGACCAACCATGTCGCATTGTTTCGTGAGCTGCTGAGCTGCGCCTGCCCGAAGCCTCGACGCTCTCGAGCAAGGCGTGGGACTCACCTCCTGGACATGTGCCTCGACGGCCGAGTAGACGAGGCCTCTCTGCAGGTAGCGGATCAGCTGACCAGGCTCGATAATGGCCTCGTGGGAGAGGGGCGAGTCGTCCAGCCTCGATTCATGTCGCAGCGCAAACGATGCGTGGTGGAACCCTTTGCCGATTTCACACACAGAGCGCCGCAGAGGTTGCGAGATTCCAGGTGTCAGTGTGGCGCTCGGAAGCTGCGCACCTTTGCGCCTCGACGCTGGCCGAGCAGACTCACCTGATTCTTTGAGGTAATGATAGACGAGAAGGTTGACTTCCACCGAGGTACAGAGGGGCGCCATAGCTGCTTCGTGGTCCGACTGCACGCAGAGGTTCGAGCCCCGCGAGCTTTCTCGGAAAGGGACGTCCCTGTCCTGCTCCTCGTTGGCAGCGGCCTCGCTTGAGCTTCCGCGGGCGGGGATGCGACACTGCGCGCCCCAGTCCAAGGCCAGTCAGAAGGGGCGTCTCTGTCCGCAATCGTTCGAGATTCGGCCTGGACTAGCGCAGCGCGGTCGAATGGGCCCGTTAGGACGGAGCAACCTCTGGTAAAGCTGCGTGTCGGATCTGCGGTCCCTGGTGAACGAGGCGCTTTGCACAGAGATGTCGGGCAGCAGGTGGCTGGAGGAGCGACAGCGGATGAAGCGGCCGTACGGACAAAGCCAGCGATGCACGTCTGGGCGGCGTCAGTCTGTGGCGCGGAGCGTAACGATCACAGTAGGGAGAGGGCGGCGGTGCTGCGATGGCGGAGGCGAGTCCAGTCGTGGATCCAAGAAGCCCCGACGTTCCGGGAGCGAGCTAGGCGAGGTTGGGAGAACGCCTAGTCGAGTGCTTCGGTGGCGCGGGTGAGTAGGTGGATGGATGGATGCCAGAAGGAGGCGGATGGATGGATGGCCGACTCTCTGCCTCCGATCGACGGTGTCGGAAAAGTGTGTGTCGACGCAAAGTCCAAGAGGAATGTTGGCTCTAGGTGCAGATGTGGTGCTGTAGAGCGGATGGTGCTAAAGAGCAGGCAGCGAGATGAGAGCCTGGCGGGTAAGGATGCGCACCGACACGAAAGAGAAGGATGGCGGATGTGTAGAGGGGATCGAGGTGTTGAGCCGACGTGGCGAGAGGAGGTGGCAGTCGAGGGGCCGAGGTGCGACGAAAACCTCGGCGCGCGCGCGACAAGCCTGCAATCGGGCAACGACCCAAGCCCAAAGCAAGGGCAACCGAGCAAAGGCACCTGCTGGCTTCCGTCTCCCGCCTGGGGCGAGGCTCCAAAAATCCAGCGAAAAAGCAGAGCGAAAATAAGGATGCGACCCGCCCTGCCTGCCCTCGGTCTGGCAGGGAGGGGAAAATGGGCGTGCGCAAGGTACCCATGCAGTCTGGGCACGGCCTGGCCAGTCAGGTCAACGGGCCGAACAGACAACGACGAGTCGAGGCACACACAGATGGGTGGACGCGTTCCACCTTCGCAAGGCCAGGCCAGGCCAGGCCGGGCCAGGCCGGGCCAGGCTGCCCAGCAGGGACGGGTGCTAATTTCCCGACCCTGGCCCTCCCTCGCACCACGACCACCACAGCAGCTCCTCGAACATCCTCGCCCGCGCACCGCTCACCATCCTAGGCGGCATCACGGCGTCAGCGGCACACAAGCGTCCAACCACCGACCCGGCCCATCCCTGACCGACGCACCGATCGGGCGAGAGACGATTACCAAGACTTCCCAGGAGCGCCTACCTCCGCGAGACCAACACCAACACCACTACGTCGCCGTCGACGGGCGTCTTCTGACCTCGCCACGATGGCCGTCTTCTCGGCCTCGACGTTTGTCCAGTCGATCCCTCCGGGCACGCGTATCCTGACGGCATCGCTGCTCGCCTTCACCCTCCTCCTCGCCTTCCTCCGCCTCACCCGGACCGAAGAGGGGCTTCACTTTATCACGTTTTCCTCAAAGGACTCGGCCCTCGCCTTTCCCTGGCTCGTCATCGTACCGGGCGCAAGCTGGTACTACCCATGGACCCTCCTCACCGCCGGCCTGTGCGAGACGTCGTTCTTCGAGTTCCTCATCTCGCTCTTTTCCCTCCCGCTCGCCGGGAGGTACCTCGAGAGGCAGTGGGGCGCAACCGAGCTCCTCAGGTTCTCGGCCATCGTCATTGTCGGGAGCAACATCATCGCCTGGGGGCTCGCCTTCATCATGTTCGCCGTGCTCCGCTTCGACGTCCTCATCTACGGCACCCAGTACCACGGCCTCGAGGCCCTACAGGTCGCCTTTCTCGTCGCTTTCACCCAGCTCATACCAGAGCACCAGGTGCAGCTCTTCCGTGGCGCACTCAAGCTGAGGGTCAAGGTATGTTGGGATCGTCGGCGACCCACCCTTCGTTGCTGCCGGACGTCCTCATCCTCTGCCGTTGTCCTTTGTCTCTGCTTCCATCGATGCCCCACACACAGGACCTGCCCATGCTCTACGTGACCTTTAGCAACATTGCCTGCATCGTCGGCTATACGTCGCCCTTTATCCTGATCCAGGTGAGCAGCGGGTATTGCCGGGCGGCTTCGAGGTCGGACCAAGCTTGTGCCGAAGTGCTCACGTCGACTCCTCTCTCCCTTCCGTATCGCGCAGTTCGGCTGGCTCATCTCATGGGCCTATCTGCGATATTTCCAGGCCAACGAGAGCGGCTACAAGGGCGACCGGAGCGAGGCTTTCGCATTCGTCAACTGGTTCCCGCCCATCGCCCACCGGCCGGTTCAGTTCATCTCGGACACGCTCTTTGCCCTGTTCGTCAAACTCAAGATCGTGCAGCCCTGGAGCGGGGGCGACTATGCCGACCTCGAGATGGCCGCTGCCTCGGTCGGAGGCGGACCGGCCGTACCGGCGGGGGCAGGTGGCGCCCGCGCCGAAGCCGAGAGGCGCAGAGCCATGGCTCTCAAGGCGCTGGACCAGCGGTTGGCGGGAGGCGGATCTGGTGGCGGCGGTAGCGGGTCGAGACCGGGTTCTGGAGCGGGCCGATCATCGGCGGGCCACCCGAACCTGCAGAGGAGCGACTCGGCCAGCTCGCAGCCGCAGCAGGCCAAGAAGGCGGGACGGGAGCAGGCCGCGGCGCCGGTACCATCGGTCGTCTTTGAGGCGCCCAGGGACGACGACGACGAGGCCAAGTTCGAGGAAGAGGACAGCGGCGACATCTCGCAGCAGGGGAAGAAGCCGGCTCCCAGCAAGGAACTCACCTGAGCTGACGGGCACCGGAGCCAAGTCGAGCCCTAACCTCCTGCTGCAGCCGGTGAGAGCTGTCTCGCCCCCGTCCGGCGCCATCGTCCCGGCGCTCTAGCGGCGGCAGCGGTGGCGCAGCGCATCGTCGAGTGCGCCTCTGCGACGTCCAGATTGCGCCTCAGACAACCATAGAAAGTCCGAGCAGTTCAGTGGCTCGAGGACCTGCAGACTTCGCAGGCCCCTCGCCGGGTCTTAGGATCGCTGAAAACCAAAATCGGATGCACTGGAAACAAGACTGAGAGGATGGGCTGTGAACAGATGAGCGTCGAGACAAGGATGCAAGGTAGGATAGGTATGAATCGGACAGCCGGCAGTCGAGGGCGGGCGCCGTCGCCGTGGCCGTCGCCTTGGCCGTTGACCGAGGGCTGGGAAGGGGCCGCGGGGCGTGGCGCGCGGCGCGCATCACCTGCCGCCGTAGCCGTTGGGCGTGCGGGGCTTGTTGGACGTGTTCATCTTCTTGCCCATCTTCTTGTTGAGCCTCTTCTGGGCGCGCATCTCCTTCTTCATGCGCGGGTCGACCATCTTGTACCGCCCCTTTACGCCCTTGGGTCGGCCCTGGACTCCGCGGTTGACGCCCTTGGCCACGACGAGCGCCGCCTGCTTGCGCTGCTTGGCTTTGACGCTGCTGGCCAGCAGCTTGTTGATCGTCGAGGCCTTCTCCTTCTCCGAGATGTCCTCGTTGTCGTTGATGGCCTCGGCCTTCTTCTGCGCCTTTTCCAGCCGCTGCGCCGCCTTCATCTTCTTTCTCGCCTTGGCCTCGGCAATCTTCTTGATCGGCCGCGCGTCGAGCGCCCGCTGCTTCTCCCGCAGCGCCTCGACGGCCTCCTTGGTGATGGGGATGTTGGCCTTGTAGAATTTGCGCTCGTCGTCGAGGAACCACGCCGGCAGGTCCGACTTGTCGTGGAAGCTCGTCTTGTTGAAGCCTCGGTCGATGAGCTCCTGCTTCGTCACGCGCTTGTTGACCAGCGCCTGGGCCAGCGCCACGGCCTCGGCCGTGTGAAGGCCGTGCTCCTTGATGTAGCGCTGCTTGGCCGCCTCCTCGTCTGAGCCGTAGTCGTCCCACTCGTCTTCGGGGATGTCGGCCGTCTCGTGCTGCTCCTGCGGCACGATCTCGAAGTCGTCGTCGTCGTCGTCCTCCTCCTCCTCTTCGTCATCATCGACAGCCTCGGCCTCCGCTCCGCTGTCCTGGTCATCTTCATCCTCCTCCTCCGCCTCGTCGTCGTCGTCTTCATCGTCCTGCGCCTGCGGGGAGACGTCGACGGGCTGCAGGTCCTTGAAGAGCGGGTTGTCGAACCAGATGGCGGCCTCGCGGCTTTGCCGTGCGGCAAGGGCATCCTTGCCCTCGAGCGTGTTGAGCAGGACACGCTTCTGCTCTGCCGAGCCGTCGGCCGACTCGTCGATGCCGAAGCGAGCACGCTTGCGCGTCTTGGACGACCCGGACCCGGCAGCAGAACGCTTCGACGCCATCCGTGCGGCCCGTTCCGCTCGCTCGTCCTCCTCGTCCTCCTCGTCGTCGGTGTCGAACGTCTCCTCCTGCTGCTTGCGTCGCTCGACGATGTCGTAGCCTCCCTCGCTGTCGTCGCTGCCCTCTTCGTCGTCGTCGTCGCCGTCGCCGCCCTTTCTGTCGCGGATGCCGTGCCACTCGTCGCGGGCAGGGTCCATGCGCCTCGCCTCCTTGACGCGGTACTTGGCGTCGCGCTCCTGCATCTTTTGCTGGTACTGCTCGTACATCTGGTCCATCTCGCCCTCCAGCCGACGCAGCCGCGCCTCCTCGTCATCGTCGTCCTCGTCGTCGTCGGTGTCGGCCGAGCCGACGACGGTGACGCTGCTCTCCTCCTCGTCTTCGGGCATGTCGCCGAAGTCGTCGTCGAGGCCAGCAGCTCCCGTCTTGGAGCGCTTCTCGGTTTCTCCGAGGTCAAAGAAGTCGTCGGTGCCCTTGGCGAGCTGGTCGTCGGTGAGCTCCATGCCGATGTCCATCGGCGTCGTCATCTGGAGCTGGAGCTGCATGATGCGCTTCTGCCTCGCCTCGTTGCGCTTCCGCCTCTCCTTTCGCGCCTTCTTGGCGGCCTCTTCGTTGAGGCGAGCCAGCTCGTCGTCGATCTGTTCGTCCTCGTCCATCTCCTCGACCTCGACGGTCTCGGTCGCCTCGGTCAGATCCTTCTTGGCGCGCTCGAGGCCCATGTCGATGCGCAGATCCTTGCGCCACTTCATCAGGGTCTTGAACTCCCTGCGGCCGAGCACTTTGAGGTCCTCACAGCTGGCCTTGATCTCGTCGGTGGTGGCCTCCTTCTTGAGCAGCTCGCGGCTTTCGTCGCTCTTGAACGTGATCTGGTTGTTGCTGCCGAGCATGCCGATCACGTCGATGCCCCGGATAAAGTCGATGGCGTCGAGGGAGCGGAAGAGGATGTAGTCGCCATCGGCATAGCCCTCGCGGTTCTTGCGGTGCTTCTTGGGGTCGAGCACGTTGGCGGCGGCGTTACCCATCGACGTGCCCTTGAGGCTGTCCGGGACGGCGGTACCATCGGTGGTCATGGCGGTCGGGTCGAGGTCCTTGAAGACATGGTGCGGGTCGAGGAACTTGGGGTCGATGCGGGCCGGGTTCTTGTACTCCTGGCACACGACGAAGATCTCGGCGGAGACGTTACGCGACGACGCGGGCTTGGTGGCCTCGACCTTCTTGAAGAGCTGGTTGAAGACCCAGAGGAGGTTGTTGTAGTCCTTGGAGCGGAAGACCTTGGTGACAAAGGTGCCGCCGGCGCGGAGGAACTCGACGGCGAGGCGGAGCGACTGGAGGGTGAGCTCGGACTGGGCGTAGGCGTCCTGGACCCAGGCGGTGCCGACGTTGGGCGCGCCGTCGTGGATGACGACGTCGGCCTTCCAGTCCTTGAGGTGCTGGCGGAGCTGGTCTCGGCACTTGTACGAGTTGATGTCCTCGGCAAAGGTGATGCAGCGCGGGATGGGCTTGATGGGGTCGAGGTCGACGCCGACGATGAGCGAGTTGGGGGGCATAAACTTGGAGGCCACCTGCAGCCATCCTCCTGGAGCGGCGCAGAGGTCGATGCAGCATCGAGCGTTTTCGAGGAAGTTGTACTTTTTGTTGAGCTGAACCAGCTTGAAGGCGGCACGCGAGCGGTAGCCCTGCTCCTTTGCCAGCCAGTAGAACTTGTCCAGACGGCCCTTGGCCGTCTTCTTCTCCTGCTTCTTTCCCATGCCGGGCGAGACGGGGCGGCGCTAGGAAGGTGGGCCGATGTGGTCAGGAGCCGGAGCGCAGGGAGGGTTCGGGGTTCGGTCGAGATGGTGGAGACGAGGTTAGCGGCAAGGGCGGTGGCGGACCAGGCCATGCCCTGCCCTCTTCTCGCGCTCGGGGATGGCGGTGGGGCCGGGCAGCGCGGGAGAGCAGAGAGAGGGGGCGGCCCCCCGCCCCGCCCAGTTTTCTGCATTCCCACAAAAATTTCCAGCTGGGGGGCGTGGGCCCTGGACTGCTGGCCAACGTCGGATTTCGGGACACATCGGCGCTCTGGCCAACTCGTGCGAGTAGTGTCGTCCGGGTGTCCAGAGAAGACTGCGGGAAGGCCTGCCACCACCACAGGCAGGGAGAAGAGAGGGCCAGAGCAGAGGGCGAAAAATTCGACGTGCTTGCGGGTCGCGCCAGGCCCACGCCGCCGTCCAGCAGAGAGAGGTCAGTGTCGAGCGAGCGCTCGAAGAGAAGAGCACACCGACGACAGAAGGAAGCCAGCCAGCCCTGCGGCAGCGCGCACCAGAGAGGCTCGTCTGCCACGACTGCCGCTTCCAGCTGGATATCGACCGACCACACCATCTCTACCACTCTCAGACATCAGAACCCACCCGGCCGCAGTGCACATTCCACGCTCGCCACTCACCACCTTCCCTGCGCTTCCGGACTCCGGCGCCTCTTGCTTTGCCCCGCCCACGACCATCGCCAGCAGATTCATCACCACCGTAACCCCCCACCCGACACCATCTGCCCGGCATGCCGTCTGCGGACGTCGACGCCATCACCAACGGCGTCTCCGAGTTCGACGTCCACGATGATGAGATCGACTTCACCGACATCGAGCAAAAGTACTCGGTCAAGTTCGACGAGGGCCTCGACGATGTCATTGTAGTCGACGGCGTCCCCGTCATCACCGAGGCGAGGCAGCAGAAGCTGTTCGAGACCATCCAGAAGCGCTTCAAGAGCCACGCCGGCATCGACATCGAGCTCGAGGGCATGCACATCCCCTACGGCGACAATGGTGACTCGAAAGGGTGAGTCCTCCCGCGATGCGAACTTCGCCTGAGCTCCCCTCTCCTCTCGTCTCCTCTTTGCACTCGACCAAGCTGACACCCGAACCTGCCCGATGCCTCCCTCTTGACCTCCGTCGCCGCGCGCCGCAGCTACATGTTCATCGAGATGGCGTCTCCCGAGGACGCGGCCCAGGCGATCCGACTGATGGACGGCTACGCCTTTGACAAGAAGCACCGCTTCGCCGTCAACCGCTTCACCGACATCGAGAAGCTGGCCAACCTGTCCGAGGAGTACGTCGAGCCCGAGGAAGAGGAGTACCAGCCCAAGGAGCACCTCCGCTCCTGGCTCGCCGACCACGCCGGCCGCGACCAGCTCGTCATCTGCCGCGGCGACGACGTCGAGATCGCATGGCACAACAAGTCGTCGGACCCGCAGGTGGCCCACAGCCGGCAGAGATGGACCGAGACCTACGTCCAATGGTCGCCCCTCGGCACCTTCCTCATCACCTTCCACCGCCAGGGCATCGCGCTCTGGGGCGGCCCATCGCTGGAGCGCTTCATGCGCTTCCCGCACCCGGGTGTCCGGCTGGTCGACTTCTCGCCCAACGAAAAGTACCTCGTCACCTGGTCCCACGAGCCCATCCAGGTGCCCGAGAACGCTCCCGTCGGGCCGCAGCACTTTGGACCCGAGGACGAGGGCAACCGCATCGCCGTTTGGGAGGTCCGCACCGGCCACCTCCTCCGCACCTTCCCCGTGCAGCAGGACGAGCAGCCGGGCCAGCTCAAGGGCTTCACCTGGCCCTACCTCAAGTGGTCTGGCGACGACAAGTACTGCGCCCGCCTCACCCCGGGGCAGGCCATCAGCGTCTACGAGACGCCGTCGATGGGCCTGCTCGACAAGAAGTCGATCAAGGTCGAGGGCGTCGTCGACTTCGAGTGGTGCCCCCTCTCGGACAAGGACAAGGACGCAATCGCCGCGTACGAGGAGAGCCAGGCGCAGGGCTCGTCGGGCGGCGCGGCCAAGGGTGGCGCCAAGAAGCCCAAGGACAACATGCTCGTCTTCTGGCAGCCCGAGGTGCAGAACCAGCCGGCGCGCGTGACGGTCATGAGCGTGCCGACGCGGGAGATTCTGCGATCCAAGAATCTCTTCAACGTCTCGGACTGCAAGCTCCACTGGCACCCGCAGGGCGACTTCCTCTGCGTCAAGGTCGACCGCCACACCAAGACAAAGAAGTCGATGTTCTGCAACCTCGAGATCTTCCGCATGCGCGAGAAGGACTTCCCGGTCGAGGTCATCGAGCTCAAGGACCCCGTCACCGCGTTTGCCTGGGAGCCGCAAGGCACCCACTTTGCCGTCATCTCGTCCAACGACCCGCAGCTCGGCGCCCCCGCGCCCGGCATCACGATCAAGACGCAGCTCAACTTCTTCCACCTGCACCCCAAGGGCGACTTCCGCCTGCTCAAGCTGCTCGACAACAAGACGTGCAACACCCTCTTCTGGTCGCCGCGCGGCCGCCACATTGTCGTCGCCACCATGGGCTCGAGCCAGAAGTTCGACCTCGAGTTCTACGACGTCGACTTCTCCCACGAGATCCGCCAGGGCTCCGTCTCGCAGGACCCCGCCGAGGATGTCAAGCTGATCGGCTCCGGCGAGCACTACGGCATCACCGATCTCGAGTGGGATCCCTCTGGCCGTTTCGTCGCCACCTCGGCTTCGGTCTGGCGCCACTCGCTCGAGAACGGCTACGCAATCTTCGACTTCAAGGGCCAGGAGCTGCAGAAGCACGTCCAGGACCGCTTCAAGCAGATCCTCTGGCGCCCGCGCCCCCGCTCGCTGCTCAGCAAGGACGACCAGAAGCGCGTCAGGAAGAACCTGCGCGAGATCGGCCGCACCTTTGAGGAGGAGGACGCCGCCGAGGAGAGCAACCTCGCCCTCGCCCACCGCGAGCTCTACGAGCGCGCGCTCGACGAGTGGAAGGCGTGGCGCTCGCGCGCCCGCAAGGAGCTCGCCGAGCTCCGCCGCGAGCTCGGACGCGACGAGGGACAGGGCGAGATCGAGCTCGCCAAGAAGCTCGAAGAGGCCGCGACGGAGGAGGTCGAGGAGTGGGTCGAGGAGGTCATGGAGGAGAGGGAGGAGGTCATCGGTGCGTAGGTCTGTATGTACCATAGTCAATCGGCACCACGCGCCCCATCCCCGGACAACCTCGAAAACTTTTACAGTTACCCCACCGCCCTTTTTTCCTGTGCGTTGTGCTCGGCGGACATGTATCGTGCCTCTCCTATAGGACTGCAGCAGCAAAGCAGACTGATGCGAGACATGTATCAAGGTCTTGACCCTTGTTGTCGCAGTCAAAGAAGGTCAACCTGCTGGTTTTGTGGGTTGCTGATGGCAAAGAGCATGGCACTGGTCAAGCTTGTGGGACCAGCAGTTGGAATCCTCAACACACAGAGTGTGCAATGTGCAAGGACAGTAAGCCAGGGGCTGAGACTGTAGCAGAGGAAGGTCAAGCAAAGGAATCCTGATGATCCTGATGACAACAACAGTGTTGGAAGGAGGCAGATCATGCAGCATGTTGACAGCACCAAACCACAGTCCTCTCTAGGCCCTGCTTGATGCAGACAAGACAGACGACCACCAGTCAGAAAGGTACACCAACATGGGCAACAGCAGAGGCCAGGGCAGCATTGCAGTGGCTCCAAGGAGTTTGCTGTGCGTGCGTGCACTTGCCCTTGCACCCGGCGCCGTTAAAGCGCTCACACAGCATGGTGATGCTGGCGAGCGCCTGACAGAGTTGGTCGACCTCGGCCTCCAGCTTGCGGCGGTGCTGCGCTTCGTGAGCAAGTGCCGCCTCCACACTCAAAATGGTCGCGGTGGATGGGGGAGGCGCGGCCATAGCTGTGGCGGGGGGCGCGGCAGAGGCCTCGAGGGTGAAGATGACCCTGGCCAACAAGCCAGGGGCGGCGGAGGCCGCTCAATGCCTAGATGCCTCTTGTATGGCTTCGATGGCGCCCAGGGACCTGGTCAGCCTACATGTGCAAAGGGCAGACTGAACGCAGTCCTCAGTGGACATGCTGTCAGGGGTAAAAGCAGACAACACGGGCGTCAGCGTCAAAGAGGAACAAGAGGGAGGGTGTTCAAGAGGAAGCTTACCTGGTGTACTTGTCCAAGGTGCTGTGCCCTGGATGGTGGCAGGTGCAAAGATGAACTTGTCTGTTGCTTGCTTCCTTGAACTAGCAACTAATGCGCCCTGGCTCTTCTGGGGTGTACCAGACAAGGTGTTGGTGCTGATGTCTGTTGGCATTAAAGGCTCTGGGCACTCATGACTTGTCAGTTTGAAGATGTTGCTTCAGTGCTTGTGGGCCTCTGATGGCATCATGGTCATGATGCCATTCTTGCCCCTTCCTGCTTGCTGGGCCAGTCTGGCTCACACACATCCACCACAAGCAAGGCAGGGCCTCTGCTGTGCTGTTCCTGGGCCTGCACACTGGCCTGCACTCGTGTTGACCCTGTGCCTGGCAGACAGAGGCAGGGCGCCATCTGGCGTGACGGGCGCCCGGACCAGCCAGCAGCAGGTCAGCCAACAGGCGGCCCTGTTCAGCCAGGCGACAGGGCGCGCGTCGTCGCGTCCAACTCCACTACTGCAGCCGCACCCTCCGCCACCAGCATCAACCACCACCACCACCACCACCACCACCATCACCACCACCACCACCACCATCGTCAAGCACCGAACAGCGCCACCCGCATCATCACCGGTCGTTGCCCGCCTTACCATGGCCGACACCGACCCGTGCCAGCACCCCGTGCAGGTCGCCGGCATGTGCGCCGTCTGCGGCAAGGCGCTCGACGGCGACGCCCTGTCCAACACCTCGCTCCCACTCATGCACTTTCACGCCGGCGTAAAGGTGTCCGAACAAGAAGCACGCCGGCTCGACTCTGAGACCACCACCCACCTCCTCGCGCACAGGAAGCTCGCACTCGTCGTCGACCTCGACCAGACCATCATCCACGCCACCGTAGACCCGACCGTGGGCGACTGGATGCGCGACGAGAGCAACCCAAACTTCCACGCCCTCAGCGACGTCGGCATCTTCAAACTCGGCATCGACGGCAAGGCCGCTTCCGGCGTCGCAGTCGGAGACGCCGTACGCCAGACCATCCACGCTGCCGCCGCCGACGACGACGCCGCTGGCTGCTGGTACTACGTCAAGCCACGGCCGGGCCTCGACTCGTTCCTCCGCTCCCTCTCGCAGCGCTACGAACTCCACGTCTACACGATGGGCACCCGCTCCTACGCTGACTGCGTCTGCAGGCTCGTCGACCCGGACGGCTCCTTTTTCGGCAACCGCATCCTTTCCCGCGACGAAAACGGATCCCTCGTCCAAAAGAGCCTCAGCCGCCTCTTCCCCGTCGACACCAGCATGGTCGTCATTATCGACGACCGCGCCGACGTCTGGAAGTGGAGCCCCAACCTGGTCAAGGTGGTACCCTGTAGGTACCGACGACGTCGCTCCTCTTGCGCGGCCGCCGAGACGGCCTCGTCGCACCCGAAGCTGACCTCCTTCCGCACCCCCTGCTCCCTGGCCCTCCCGTCCGATAGATGATTTCTTCGTCGGCATCGGCGACATCAATGCCACCTTCCTTCCGCCCGCTCCTGCCTTGCCGGGGACAGCGGCTGCCGCCTCCATTGAGCCGCCGACTGCCTCTGCAGCAGCAAAGACACCCTCTCCCGACTCCTGGCCAACGTCCTCGTCCTCGTCTTCGCCGTCGTCCTCAACCGCATCTCCTTCCTCCACAGCACCGACGCCGGGTGCAGCAGCCACCTCTGCCCCGGCGGGGGAGTTGCCCAAGCCGACCGAGAGCGCGAGCAAGGACGAGACCGCCGACGACGAGGCGAAGCCGTCCAAGGAGGCCGTGGCACTGCTCGCCGCCCAGTCACAGAAGCTGGAAGAGATCCTCTCCGAGCAGCGGCAAGAGCGGCCGCTGGCCAAGATGCAAGAGGCGCTCAACGAGAAGATCGGCGCGACGACCTCGACCGACCTCGACGCTGGCCACAGTCAGGCCAACGGAGAGGGCCAGCAGAGCAGCCCGCCCGTAGCAGCAGAGGCCAAAGCCCAGCCAGCCGCTCCGCAAGAAGGCAACCTTGCCACCTCATCCGCATCCACGCCGAGTAATCCCCTGCCTGGGGCCGAGGGCACGGCGAGCGCACAGGTGCACCAGACCGGTACGGCCGATAGCGCCGCTTCCAACGCCGGCGCTGGAACGGCTGTCCCCCCGACGGCAGTACCGCAGGCGGCGGTCTTGAGAGACGACGACACGGAGTTGCAGCGGATCCAGACGATCCTCGACGATCTTCACTCCCAGTGGTACGCGCGCTACGACTCGGCCAAGGGCGATGCATCCGGGAGGCCGAGCCACGAGAGCAAGAAGCCAACTGTCACGGACCTGATCGCCGCGCGCAAGGCCGAGGTGCTCAAGGGCTGCTACGTCTCGTTTTCAGGCATGATCCCGAGCAATGTCCCGCCCAAGACGGCCGACATCTGGCGGGTGGCGGAAGAGTACGGCGCAAGGTGTATCACCAACCTCACCGCGAGCGTCACCCACGTCGTCGCCGCGCGGCCGGGCACCGTCAAGGCGATGCGGGCGCTTTCGCGGCCGGGCATCTCGGTCGTGTGGCCTGGCTGGCTGCACGACTCGATCGCGCAGTGGAAGCGGCGACCAGAGTCGTGGTACCTTTTGCCGGCGCTCGACGGCGATGCCAAGGAAGCTCATGCTAGAGATGGCTGGGATGACCCGCTAGAAGGCGAGCCCGGCAGCGCCAACTTGGTCTCCGAGCCAGAATCAGGCGATGTCGATGGCGAGGATCAAGAGGACGAGACAGGAACGATGCCGGGCTTCGCCGAGATGGACTGGGCAGAGGCGGCAGACGAGGTGGACCAGTTCCTCGACGACGACGACAGCGAGGCCGACATGGACAGCGAGCTCGACAGCGAAGTCGACGACGACCGGAATCGTGCCAACGACTCGGGCCCCTCGACGCCGCGCAAGGACAAGCGGCAGCGCCCCGACTTTGCGCTCGATAATGGCTCTGTCGGCGACGACGATGGCGACGACAACGACGAAAACGAGGCGTCCGGCTCGAGCCTGCTCCTGCGCTCTCCGCTCTCGAAGCGGCGCAAGCGCGCCGAGGACCGGATGGGCAAGTCGAAGCTCAAGCAGAGCCTGACTGGCGACGAGCTGGCTGGTAGTGCCGGTGGCGCGAACGACGACGACGGCGCTGGCGGCGGCAGCGGCAGCGGCACGGCGGACGAAGGCGAGCACAAGGACGGCGGGCCGAGGCAGGCCCGGGCGACGAACGGAGGGAGACGGAGTCGAGACGGCGACGAGGAAGGGGCCACCGATACGGGCAGCATCGACGAGAGTTTCCTCGACGATTTGGCCAACGAGATTGATCTCCAGATGGACGAGGACGCCGATGGCGAGGCTGCCAGCCACAGCGACGACGACTGAGCCCAACGCGCTCCATCCCCGCCACCGCGCGATTGCATCGCCCCGACCACCAGAGCTCCGTCCCGATACCCCGCCGTTTCAGCTAGAGAGGAAGGAAGGGCCGCCTTTCACCGACACCGACGTCATCGCTCTGTCCCCATCCGAACCGGTCTCCATCGTGTATTTGTACCCTTTCGCTGCGATGTCATCCAAGCCGCTGCTATCATTCGCATTCGGCATGATGGCGGGCGAACTGTCGGCCCGCCTGCCGTAACACTGACTGGTCATTCTCGACCCGCGACCCGCCATCCGGCCTCTCCGCTACATACATTGGCGCCGGCATGCGCGCCGACACGCTGGCCCCTGCGACCGACAGGCCCCCTTGGCGAAGCGACCTGGCCGGACGACGTAGCTTGCTCGATGCTGGAGCGACCAGCGCCGTGCACAATCGGGTTTGATACTGTCCCCTTGTTTCCGACCGATGCTGCTTGCCGGTGAGCGTGGCTCCTCACTGCGTCCAGCCGGGCTGGATCCAAAAGTCGGGCGTGAGGAGGAAGCTCTTGTCGAGAAAGGTGAGGAAGCGGGTTCGGTACTGTCGCGGCGTAATGATGGTCGGTTCGCCCTTGCCCGCTCCGCCGAGGAGGGCGGTTTCCTTGACGAAGCTCTCTACGCGCTTGTCCCAGGTAAACGTGCGGACAAAGTCGATGATGCCCACGACGAGCTCGCCGCGCCTCCTGTCGACGCCGACGACGAGCGAGTAGTCCATGACGTTCACGTCGGCGAGAAAGAGGCTGTCGTTATAGAGGGCCGAGCGGAGGAGGCGCTTCGAGTGCTCGCGCACAAAGAGCGGGGACTGGTGCGCCACCTCGACCAGGTTCTCGTCGAGCAGCACCTCGTTGGCCCGCCCCGTCTCCTGGATGTGCCGATTGCGCATGCTCCCCTTGAGGTCGTAGATGCGCGCCACGTCGCGCTGGTAAAACAGGTTCTCCATCACCAGGCAGTCCATCTTGAGCGACCGCCCCGTCTGCGGATTGCGGAAACCGATGCGGAAGCACCCAAAGATCTTGGCCAGCGTCGACCTCCGCCCGCGCCCAAAGCACTGCGCCATGTAGCCAAAGTACTGGGGCGCAAACTTGCTAAACGCGTCCATCTCAAAGCGCGACAGCTGCTTGACCACCAGCCGGTCGTCGCGCGTCTTGAGAAACGCCGAGCCAGACTTGCCCCCCGACGAGTCCCACTTGACGCACCGCGACAGCGACTCGACAAACGAATCCTCGCACGAGCACGACCGCCGCAGCGCATCAAACTGCTCGGCGAAGAGGATCTTGCACCACAGCCGCGTCGAGCCAGACTCAAACTCGCAGCGAAAGTGGGTGCCCTCCTTCTGCAGCACCGACTCGAGAGCCGCACCCTCGACCTCGATGACGCGCCAGCCGCCGTCGTCGTCGTCGTCGCGGGCGCCTGTGCCGTCGGTCCGTCCGGGTTGATCGCCGCCACCGTGCTCGCGCTCGCCGCCGCCCTCGTCGGCGCTGCCGGGCATGAAGGTCTCCTCGCGCGTCTCTCGCACTCGCGTCCCCTCGGCCTGCAGCGTGCGGAGGCGATCGTTGTACTGCCTCGAGCTCAGCGTGAAGGCGATGATCGAGCTGGGCTCGTCCTCGCGGAAGATGATCTCCGAATCGCCAAAGACGTGCTCCGAGTTGAGCATCGGATACTCGAGCGGCACCATCTCCCCCGTTCGGAAGGCCCAGAAGCCCGAGAGCGTCTTGAGGAAGCTGCGCTCCAGGCTGATGGTCGAGTCCGAGTCAGCAAAGCCGCCGTTGCGCAGGTACGACGGCAGCGTGCTCGAGATCTGGCTCGACGAGCCGGCCAGAGTGGAGGGCGCCAGCGAGGGAGCGTCCGACTCGAGCTCGCTGCCAGCCGCCGCGGTGGCCGCCGCCAGTGTCGACGGCGTCATGGCAGCAGCCGCCAGTTGGCCGAGCTGACGCCGTGCGACGGCGTTGTCTGGTGTGACGTCTCCCGCACATCGACCATCACCCTCGCCCTCGCCCCCGCCAAGCGTATCGCCCGTGCGTGCTCCGGACGCGGAAGGGTCGGCGGTCGAGGAAGCCTTGATCGTCATCTGCGAGTCCTCGCGACGGCCGCGATGGGACAGCGGCAGGTCGTGAGCCGAGCTGGGCTCAAGCGGATCCTGGTTCGAACCCAGAGCGGCGCTTGGGCCTGAGTGACCTTCGGTGCTCGCACGCGACGACGGTGGTTGCGGCTGTCCTTTGCCGGATGGCCCGATAGCGCCACGGCGATCGTACGACGAGGCAGCAGAACCGAGCCCGCGCTTGCGGTTGGCAAGTGCGTCGTGGTCGGCATCGTCGCCGTCGCCGTCGAGGTCGTCTTCGCCCTCATCTTCGTTGTCGGCGGCGGACGCCCCGTCGTCACCGCTTTCGGCCGTGTCGTGGTCGCTCTCATCATCCCGAACCGCCTCCTTGATGCTGCTGAACACCTCGACCTTGGCCCGCGTCATAGCCACTGGCCTCGCGCGCTTGGCCCGCTGGGCGAGCAGCAGGCGGTGCTGCCGTTCGCGCTCGCGCTCGGCCTCGCGGCTGATGCGGTCAAAGTGCTTGGCGATCGTCGAGACGCGGCTGCGGGTCCCAGGCCCGTTCTCGCCGCGCCGAGGCACTGGTACGCGGCTTCCAATGCCGCCGCCACCGCCGCCATCGCCAGACCCTGCTCCCCCGCCGCCGCCATAGTAGGCCGATCCCCGTCCGGACGCTGCTGTTCCTGACGCATCCTGCCTGCCAGAGGCGTGGACGGCACGATCCCCGTCTGGCCCTCGCTGCTTTGCCGCCATCGATGCACTTGTGCGGCCAATGATGGGCCTCGGCCCCGCCTTCAAGCCCTCGCCCCTAGGCGGCCGAAAGCTGCTTGGCGGACCCGCACCAGACCCGGTCGGAGTCGTCTGCCCGCTTGTTTGCGCGAAACCCGGGACAGAGGCAGAGCTGTATCCGCGCTTGATCCGCGGCACTCGGCTCTGCGAAGCTTGGCCTGCGCCGCCGCCGCCGCTGCCGCCTTGGCCCAGGGGCGACGCTGCCCGGCTGCTTGCCTCTTCGCCCTTGTCCGACCCGTGTGGCGTCTTGGCGGCGCTCGGGCCAAGATGCGAAGGAGCGCCGGCTACAGCGCCCGCGGCACCACCCTTGACTGTCCTGCTCTGACTCGAGAGAGCCTCCTCGGTCTTGCCACGCCGCATGCTAGGGCGACGTACCTCGCCTCCCAGGCGAGAGACGTGCGCGCCCGCTGAGCTGGTGTGCATCGCTGCAGGCCGGCGGGGTCCGTCGAAGCGCCTGACTAGATTGGTCACCGATCTGGCCAGCTCGTTTTCGGTGCAGGAGCTCTCATCAGCGCGTGAAAAGTTGCTGGAGCGGGAGAGACCAGTGCGGCTGTGCGGACTGGCCAAGAAGGTCGGAGAGGCAGGCGCAGCCGCCGACGTGGTCTGACGCCGTTGCTGATGCCGCGGCAGCAGGGCGCTGCTCTGGTCGGTGCGTGACTCGGCTGGCGAGAGATCCACGGTGGCATCGGTGCTGTTGCCATCCGCCTGGCTCGGCATGCCGAATCGAGAGCGGTCGATGAGCGAGATGGGCGATACGGGCGAAGCTGGCGCCGATTCCGGTACGACGTCGCTGATGCTGCTGATGGTCAATGCATCGTCTGGTCGCTTAGCTTGCACCGACTCGTGAGTGGGCGCGTTCGCCGGGGCCTCGGAGGGTTCTGTGACCGCGGCCAGCAAGGCACTTGATGTCTCTTCCGCGGAGGCGGCGGCGGCGGTCGCTGCGGCTGCCCGCTCCTGCTCATCAGTGTCGGCGGCCGACTCGTCGAGCTCCGCTGCAGTCGCTAGCGGGCCTTGGCCAGCCGCGGCCATCGCAGGATCCGGGCTGGAACTCTTGTCGGTGGTGTTGTCCTTTTCGGCGAACAGGCGCTTGAGGTGGCTGGTCGTGATGCGGCGGATGTCGCGCTCGGTCGGGATGAGGCTCTTTTCAAACTCGATAAAGTCGAGGTCCCACTTGACGACCTTTTCCTGGAGCGAGCGCTGGACGCGGTTGAGGCAAAGGACGTCGGTCGGTGCCGAGTCGCGGTAGGTTCGAACAATCTCGCGTTCGACTTCGCGCCGGTCGGCCTCGCACTTCTTGATGTACTCGTTGAGCAGCAGCCGGTTGCGCTCGCGGTTGGCGGCCGACGAGGCGTCTGAGCAGGCGTCTGCGCTGAGAGCCTTTATCCGCGCCAGCACACTGTCCCAGTAGGCCGAGTTCTTGCGCGAGAAGAGGATCGACTCTTCGTTCTTGATGTTGCTCTGCATCGACGGGCAGATGAATAGCCGCGTCGGGGGCACGGCCACCTCGTAGAGCTCGACGTCCTCCGAGTGGAAGCGGATGGCAAGGTTCTGATAGGCAAAGTAGCGCACCTGGTCGCGGCAGAAGTCGTGGTCGCAAAGCTTGGTCCGGCAGCCGTCGTGGCGGTAGAAGTAGAGCTCGAGGTACTTTGCGAAGCTGAAGCTCCAGCTCTCTGGCGTGACGATGGCGACTGGCGTCGCGTTCTCGCACACCTTGCAGTAGCTCCAGCTGAGCAGGCGGTTTTCCTCGCCGGGAATGGGGCAAACGAAGCGCTCCAGCACCACCTGGACTCGGACGCCTGCGTGGACGTACGAGCGGTAGTGGACGACGTTGGCGCGGCCACAATTCTTGGCCGAGCACGACCTAGAGCTGCTGCGCGCCAGCTCCTCGAGGTGATGGCCGAGCGTCTCGTCGTTGGCACCATAAAAGTCGACAGTGACCAGTCGGGGCTCATCGCACGGCCTCTGGGTGACTGCGCACATGGTGGTGGTGAGCATGCACAGTCGCTGATGGTCGAACGGCGAGAGGCCGGTCGAGGGTATCTCGAGGTACTCTGTCCAGCGTCGCAGCATGGCCGCGTGGCGCTGCTTGACGATGCCGTACTCGAACTCCTTGGCCACATCCGAGGGTGCCCGAAGCGAGGCCAGCAGCTCCGAGTTGAACGTGTGAGCGTTGCCGGGTTGCGAGGCCAACGTACTCGCGACAAAGGTGGACCGAGAGCCGCCCGAGACGGTTGAAGACAACATCGAGGCTGGTGCTGCGGGCGAAGCTGTGCGTGTCGGGAGTTCCGAGATCGAGCTCACGGGCATGTCGGGCTGGACGAGGAAAGATGCTGGGCCGGGAGTGGTGGGTGCGGATTCACTGGTGCCGAAGTCGACGGACGATGTTGCTGCCGAGGCCAAGTCGGGAGGTCCCTGGACTTTCTGAGCAGCTCCTTTGGTCGCTTCGCCGGCTTCGATCGTCCCCGTCTTGAGGCTGGCCACGTCGAGCTCGCCTGTCGCGCCGGAAGTATGGGGTTGAACCCCGTCCATGCCTCGGAATGGTCCGGATCTGTCGCCCAGGTCAGCGCTGGCGCACGCGGCGCGTGTACTCTCCTTGTCGGCCTCTGCTGTGCTCGGTACGGTCGCCGTCGGCGTCGCTTCGCCTTCCTCGGCGTCTGCGATGGTGCCCGAGCTGGTTGCCGACGGCGCCGCGTTCCCGTTGGCGGTCTCCTGCAGCTTGCCCTCGTCCTTGAGGATCCGCTCGAGCTCCTCGGCCTCTGCGCGTCGCTTGAGTTGCAGGAGGAGATCGTTCTCCTCTTTGAGGCGCGATATCGGATACGGCGGGGGCAGCCGGATGCAGGCCGAGGAATTGACCAACGTGTCGCTGTACAGTCGAAGCGCGCGGTCGATCCGCTGCGTTGCGGCGAGAATCGCCAGGCCCTCTGCATCGCCACGCACGCCGTGCTCCGCCTCGAGCGCCTCGAGCGAGAAGGTGCTCAACGAGGGGTCGGCAAGGTCCGATGCACGCCCGGGTGCGCTTCGATCCCAGCTGTTGCCGGCGCGCTCTTCATCTGGCCTCTGGAAGTGGATGGTCTCCATGGCGGCGCCCTCGTCCCGCATGACGTGCTCCTCGAGCCGCAAGTTGTAGGCGACAAAGATCATGAGCTCGAGGATGCGCTTGATGCGGCTGAGCATCTCGCCGTTGGCGCCGCGGAGCACGATGGTGCAGCCAAGGTCCTTGGGCGTGCCCTCGAAGCGCATGAAGCTTTTGCGCAGTTCCGGGAACGAGGCGTGCTCAAACGTCTCGACGCGGAACGAGTGGCAGCGGCCAAGCTTCGGATCGAGCGCCAGCCTGTCAATCGAGGTGATGATGTCGGCCTGCGTGCACCGACTGATGGCCTCGATCGCGCTGGGCTTGAGGCTCCACACGACGACAACCCCTGCGCGCTCCAGCAGGTCGAGAGCCAGGCGCGACACCGTCTTCTCGACGACGACGAGCTGGGGCCGCAGCGCCACGATGCGAGCCACGAGGATGCGGATAAACTCGTGCTCCTGGGCCATCAGGGGCTCGAGCGACATGAACTGGTTCGGCCCGCGATGGTAGTCGAGCGGGAAGCGCACGACCATGACGCGGGCATTGGTCAGAGGCAGGCTCTTGGCCATCTGCTTGGTGGCCACGTTCTTGCTGCAGACGAAGCCGTGGACGTACTCGCACTCGGTCGCCTTGCCGCCCGGGATCCGCTTGATCTTGATAAAGTGGCGCACGTCCATCGAGCTCGACTCGCGCGGGTTGGGTCTGACCTTGGACACGGCCGTCAGCACGACGGGCAGCAGCACGTCGAGCCACGCTCGGGCGTGCGGCACGCGCTGCCGGATCAGCGTCTGCTCCATCATCGTCGTCAGGTGGTGCAGTGCGTGCATCGAGATGGAAGCGGCCAGCAAAGCCGGCGTCACGTTGGGCAAAGAGACCCGCGGAGGCTCCCGGCCCGAGTCGGAGCTGACGGCAGTAGGGGCCGCGAACGCCCCATCGACACTGCCATCGCTCTTTTCGCCGCCGAGACCAGGTGAGCCGGTGGCCGAGGATGAGGCCACGGTGGCGGCAGCAGCATCGCTTGACGGAACGGGCTCCAAGGGCAGCGCCGCGCGCGAACGTAGTCGGGTCCGATAGGCAGGCCGCTTTGACGCGGCATCGCTGATCAGCCGCAGCCGCGGGGTGTCGGTCGTCTGGACGATGGCCTGAGTGGCCGAGCCGACTGATCCGTCGATGACGTGGGCTCCGAGTCCGGCCACTCGTGCCGTGGACGGGAAAGCTATACGATCTGGCGCCGCGGCGGCGGGCAGGTTCTGCCCGCTCAGTCCGCCGGCGGCTGGATCCGCCTTTGAGCCTGCGCCTTGCGGCGGCAGGCTTACCACGCGATCGATCAGACCGGAGCTGGCCTCGTCCGCTGATGGCCCCACCGTCATTTCGTCATCCGCAAGGGCCTTGCGAAAAGGAGCTGCCGTTGTAGCGTTGCCGCCGAGGGCCGGTTCCTGACGAGCTTTCGCTGGCCGAGTCGGCGATGCTTGCACCGAAGGTGGCACCGTCTCGAGACCAAAGCTCCGCAAGGTGTGGTCGAAGTCGTGGGCGTTGGGCTGGTGCGAGCCGACCGAGAAGACGGCGGGCATGGCCGTTGCACTGGTGAAGAGGTTGTTTGCTGCGAACTGAGACTGGGGGCTCTGCACCTGGGCCTCGAGCGGCGCCGAGATGAGCTGCTTGTCGCGCAGAGCGGGGTGCGGGCCGTTGCGGAGCCCCTTCGACCTAGAGACGGAATGGAGGGCGGCGTCGGCGGCGAAGCCGGAAGCAGAGTTGGAGGAGGCTATAGGTCCGGCGAGAGGGCGGTGAGCGTCGTCGCGGCGGTTGTACTCTTCGAGCGTCCGCATGCAAAAGTTGCACACGCGCACCAGGCCGTCGTAGCCAAAGCGGTGACCCTTGATGATGTGTGCGGCGCAGCGGCCGCAAAAAATCTGCCCGCAGATGCGGCAGTGGTGCTTGCGACGGAAAGGCGTGAAGACGGTCAGGCACTCGCGGCACTCCTTTGCGTTTTCGTCGGCCATCCAGAACTTTTTGCTGAGGCCCTCGCCGCGCATCCGGCGTATGATGGCGTCGGCGCTGGTCTGGAATCCGGTGCGGCTAGGAGTCGAGGCGACGTGCAGCTCCTCGAGCGTGTCTGAGCGCGGGAATCGCGACGAGCTGCTGTGGACGGAACGGGCGTCGTCGGCGAGGATGTCCTTGGAGAGAGGGAAGCCGGGGATGGCGGACCAGCCGTGGGCAGCCCAGTGGGAACGGTCGATGGCGCGGCTGTGAAGGCTGCCGAGCTGGTCGCGCGATGCGTCGCCATCGAGGTCGCCATCATCGGCGGCCACCGAGTCGAGATCATCGACCGAGCTGGCGGCGTGACCGATCGATCCGTGCGTGACGGCGTGGGCCGAGGTGGTGAAGCTGATTGTCGATGCCGGCGCAACAGTGCGTAGGGTCACGGGCAGCCTTGGATGCGCTCTGGACCTGGTGCGCGAGGCGGCATTTCCCTGTCCGTTTCCCTGTCCGGCACCCGACGACGACGAGGGTCCAAAGGAGGGGGCACCGTTGCTCGCGCTGGCGGTGGCGGTGGCGGCGGCGGCGGCGGCGCCTTTTTGGCCCGCGATAGCATCTTCGACATGCGGCCGGTGCGATGCGCAGGATGCAGAGTCGGCGGTTCGAGAGCGTGTGGGGCTGACGTGGCGGGCTTGCTTCTGGGCGGCTTCGGAGGACCTGTGTGCGAAGTCGGCGGTGCCTGTGCGGAGTTCGGGAGAGGTGCGGGGGTGCTGGCTAGCGGGATACTCGGAGGATTCGTCCAGGGTGGAGAGGGCTGATGTGCTCGGAGTGAGCGAGATCTTGCGGGCGTGGGTGAGGTTGCGAGTGTCGGACGGGCTAGCGCGGCGAGGCCTGGGGGCGAGGATGGAAGGACTGGCAGAGGTGGCCGGGTAGGATGTGGATGGGGATGCGTTGTGAGAGGCGGGAGAGGGTTGGTGGGGTGGTGGCGGTGGGGCGGTTGCTGTGCCGATGACTGACTTTACACGGTTGAGGATGGCGTTTAGGGCAAAGGGCGAGTGGTGCTGCTCGTCTGCATCTTGGAAGAAGCCAAACGAGGTGAGCTGGTCGTGCTGGTCCGAGGGCAGGGTGGTGGACGCCATGGTGAAGCGGGGGCGGCCTGGACGATGGACGGGAGGCTGCGTTTGATAGCCCGGTACGAATCGAAGTTGTTGCGCTGTGGTTTGCGCCGTTGCGGGAGGGGGCCGCGTTGGCAGAGGGCGAGACTAGCGGTGCGGCATTGAAGAGGAGATGGGTGGCGGCCGAGGGGGGCGCTACCGGAGGCGAAGCTGGGTTCGAGAGGGATTAAAAGAGGAGCGAGATGGCAGCCAGCTGGTAGAGGGAATGGAGAGAGAGGGTCCGATGAGATGTGGTGTCGCGGGTGATGATGATGGTGAGGGGGGTGGGTGATGGTGAAAGAGAGAGGAGCGGAGGAGCGAGGGTCGTCGTTGGGGCAAGTGGCCGGTGCGGACCCTGACCTGCACCTGTACGCTGCTGGACCCAGCGGCGAGGCAGAGAGGCGGGCAGGCAGGCAACAGCCAGCGAGAGGGACCCTGAATGGCCCTTGGGGCCTGTCCGGGCAGCGGCAGCCTCGCCAGCCCCGTGGCCCTTCTCCCGAGGCAGCCTTGCTTGGCCCAAGCCAGCCAACAACCACAAACGACGATGGATCGGGACACGGCCCAAGGCGACATCAGATCATGTGGAGGCGGATGGCCAGAAGAAACACCAGCCACGCCAAACCAACCAGCCACAACAGGCAGAGAGCCAAGCAAGCAACAACGACGCTTGCTTCCTCCCTCCCTCACCTCCGTCATCCCCTTCTCCTCGCTCTCCGCTCTACCTCGGGTCAGACACCGTATGACAACACGGCGCTGCACCTTATCCTCACCGTCCTCCTCCTCCTCCTTCAGGCGCAACATCCCCGCCACCCATCCCGCCCCCCATGGGCAGGAAGCCCTCAAAGGCCGAAAAGTCGCGCCAGCGCAAGGCCGCACAGTCCAACGCAGCCACCGCGAACGCCAGGGCACAGGCGAAAGGACATCTTCGCTCAGCACTCGCCACCCTCGCTCCGCAAGACCGCTACGCCGCCATACAGGCAAAGCGGCGCGCAGTACAGCTCGAAGAATCGGCCTTTGCAAAGCTATCCCCACCCGTCCTCGAAAAGCTAAACATCCTCGCATCCTACGCCGTCCTCGTCCGACCCATCCAGCCAAAGACGGCCCGCTTCGGCTGGCAACGCTTCGGCAAGGCAAGGTCAGACCACCACCAGCAATCCGCAACCGACCCCCAACACGCCCAGCACTACCTCGACCACGCACAGAACCATCCCCTCTCCCAATGGCTCGCCTCTTCGCTCAGCGCCGATGCTCCGAGCCAAGCCACCGACCCGCTCGATGACGGCAGCAGCCCCATCTCTGGCCTCTCGTCTGCATCGAGTCTCCCATGCAACGGCCCAGAGCAGGCGCATGAGCTGCGCCTGCCCAAGCGGCCCCGCTGGCGCAGCGACATGGACACAAAGACAGTCCAGTCAAACGAAGACGAAGTCTTCCGTGCCTGGCTCCGACAGACCGACGCCACGGTCGAGCACGCCTTCTTCACCTCGTCGCCCCTCTTTCGCGATCTGCAGTCGCCCGCAACGCGCTCCCAAGCCCACTCGGACCCAGCGCCAGCCGCCGGCACCGAGCACCGCCGCATGGGCGGCGCTCGCATGACGGCCAACCTTGTATCCGTCGACGAGATCCGCGCGCAGCAACCGCAGCCCGACACTGCCATCATCGGCAGCCTCTACGAGCGCAACGTCGAAGTCTTCCGCCAGCTTTGGCGCGTGTGCGAGCGCTCCGACCTCGTCTGCGTCCTGGCCGATGCGCGCTGCCCTCCGCTTCACCTGCCGCCCTCGCTCACCGCCTTCCTCGAGCGCTACATGCGCCTCAAGGTCGTCATCGTCCTCACCAAGGCCGACATTGTGCCGGCGCCGATCGTCGAGGCGTGGAAGGCGTGGCTCCAGCGTCGCTTTCCAGCATGGTCCGTCGTGGCCACGGAGAGCTACGCCAAGCTGGAGCGCATGGAGGGGCAGGGCGCCCGGACCAGGTTCGCTCCCTACCTCTCGCCGTCGTCCCGCTCCGCCCTCTTTGCCGCCTTGAGAAGGGCTCACGCCGACCTCATCAAGCCGCCGCCCGCCGTGCGCGATGACCTGCAGAGGCTCACCCAATGGTCTCCGCCGTGCGCCACCGACGTCGACTGGGAGGGAATCGAGCAGAGGGTGTCGCAGCATTCGGATCCGGCCAACGACGATGGCAGTGACGAAGACGAATCGCTCCGGCCCGCTCGAGCGGCCGACTCAGAGGACGAGCAGGATCCAGCGCAAGCACGGCCACCGCCTTCCGCTAAGCAGGCGCCGCCGCCGTTTCTGACTGTCGGGCTCATCGGTCAGCCCAACGTGGGCAAGTCTTCGCTGCTCAATGCCCTGTTCGGGGCCAAGGTGGTGCGGGCGTCCAAGACGCCAGGCAAGACAAAACACTTCCAGACGCACTTTCTCTCGCCCTCGGCCAAGCCTCGACCTGGCCGGCGCGGCGAGATCCGCCTCTGCGACTCGCCCGGACTCGTCTTTCCGAGCCTGATTGGCATGGAGATGCAGGTGATGGGCGCCATCCTGCCCATCAGCCAGGTCCAAGCCCTCACCAGCGTCGTCCGCTTCGTCGGTCAGCACATGCCTCTGGAGCAGGTAACGCGCGTCTGCGAAGGCGATGTCGACGACGAGGGCAGCGCGACGAAGGAGTGGACCTCGGTGGCCATCCTTGAACGGGTGGCAGAGAGATACGGCTGGAGGACAGCCAAGGCGAATCGGTGGGACGTCAACCGGGCAGGCAACGCCGTGATGCGTGCGGTGGCCGAGGGCCGAGTCCGCTGGGCATTCAGGCCGCCTGCCGACGAAGGGCAAGATCCTCAGACAAGCCCCAGCGTCGGACCGGCTGCGCTCCTCGACGAGGCGCTGCACAAGGGAGACGGCGTCTGGCTCGATGGTCACGCCAAGGGATTCTGGGACGAGGCGAGAGAGGAAGATGTCCTCCTACAAGACCGCGACGGCGGCGATGCGGCAGAGGCGCCCGAATCGCCCAGCGAGGCAGAAGACGAGGCGGCCAAGAGGGTTCGGTTCGAGGGAGGCGAGGGCCACGGCAGCGAGGGTGATCCCGGCGATGTCGACGAGTCGGAAGAGGAAGAGGATGAGGGTGCGGCTGCCCAGATAGCCTCCAGCACGAGTCGCTTCGCCGCCCTCATGGTCGAGGACGATGCTGACGAGGAGACAGACAGCGAATGCGAGGACGGCGACGACAACGACGACGACGATGCCGATGGCGGAAGCGGCGAGATGCCCTGACCATACATACCTGCTCGTCGAGCTTTGCCGCCCAGTCAATGACATCCGACATGCCGACAGCCTCCCGCCGAACGGAGCGTCGAGACACGCCGAGCCACAAACTTCTCGTCTCTCTGGCATCGCATCCGACTAACTACCGACTGGTCGCCTCTCGGAGATCGTTTGCCAGATGCCATGGCGGCGGCAACGACGGCAAGCGGGATCGACAGGGGACGCAGTCGTAGGTTTCAGTCGGCTCCCCATGTCGGCTCTGCGAGGCCCGTTCGCTTCCTTCAGGTTGGCGACGTGCGTGCTGCTTGCCGATCCATGAGCGCGCGGCAATCTCTTCTGTCGGCATTCTCTCGACTCCGATGCCAGGTAGTGCAATCTGCCAGCACCCGACCGTCACCGCCTGCTCTGTGGGTGTAAGGCAGGCCAGTCAGGATCCCCGCAGTCGACCTGCGGTGGGGACGCAACCTTTGCCAAGCCCTCCGACGCCTTGCCTAAGCGTGTCAATGCGGAGCTTGATCGGCATTGTTGCTCGAGCGGCGCTGTGAAGCGACGACGCAGCGGAGCAACACCACTGGTGCCGCCAGCACCACCTCGATGATCCCACGGCAAAGAGGGGTCACGGGCGGCCGTGTTACTGACTCCCGCCATTCTGGTGCTCGACGTTAGTTGCGCGCGGGAGCAGTCGGCGTGGCCGGCTCGGTCCAGCTTGACATGTCAACGTCGCAATACGCTCGGCGCTGAAAAGGATCGTCCGGCGTATCTCTGCCCGCCGCTTGATTCGGTGGTTCAACCGCCGTCCCCACCGTCGAGGTGCTGTATGTGTGTACCTGGCGAGCACGCAGCGCCTGTTGTCGGCGACGGGATCAGGTTGCACGACCCACTCTGCAACGCCAGGCGAGGAGGATATCGGCCCCTGATCAACGCAGCCAGTCTCGTCGCCTTGCGGGAGCAGACCGAGGACCGCAACGGCGTGAATCGAGGCGGAAAGACGACGGGGCGCGCGGCCTTGCCATCCGACGAGTGCTGTATCACGAGGCTTCGTGCTGTGCCGTGTGCGCAAGGGCCGTGCCATCGTGCACAAGCCGAGATGGCCAACCTTGCTTGCTTCGCCGGTCCGGTCCCGGGAATCTCGAGCTGCACGCGCGCTACCAACAACAACACCGGCGACAGCCCACCACCATCAGCTGCATGGTAAAGGGCAAGAGTGCAACAACGGCCGGCAACGAGATTCCCTTCCATCGACACAAAGACAGCGGAGCCCCACAACGCACACAGATCCCCGCCCGCCGATTGTGGCCCGTACACGCCCTGCTACGGGGTGTCTGCTGCTCGCTTGGACCCATGCCGTTCGGTGCGACTTGCTGGCGCTTAGCACACTCCTCGAGCCACGGGTGCCGCACAAGCTGCTGCTCCTCGTCTCATCTGTTGCCGCCGTTCTGGACTCGCGGGGATCGAGTGCCCACCATGTGGGGCGCCACGCGCTACCTCAGTGCCACCAGCGCGGAGGTCGTTGAGGAAGCAGGACGGTCGTCGAGGGCTATAAAGGCATGCCTCCTCCCTCCGTCGTTCCATCCTTTCACACCAACACTCCCCTCCCCGACCCTTCCGAGGTCCCTCTCCCCTCCCTTTTCCCCCTCGCCTCGTCCGGGCTGTGGCTGGCCCACTTGATCCGCTCCTCGGCCCCCATAGACGTTCGCCCCTGCCCTCTCCTCTCCCCTGCCCACCTTCCGCAATGAGATCGTCCAGTTTTGCTCTGGCGACTCTGGCCCTTACCCTGGGCCAGTCGCTGCTCGGCGTCGACGCTGCTGCCCTGGACACCCGTGCCTCCGGTCAGCAGCTCACGGTCAACGCGACTCCCTCCAAAAAGAGCCAGTTCGGTGTTGACCTCTTCATCGAGGTGAGTGGTGGCCCTCTGTCCAACCGTCCCGACTGCGCGATGGGCGACTGCTGACCCTCCTCGATGCCCCACCCCTCCGCTCCGGTCCTGCATCGTCGCCCTCTCCCGCAGACGAACATCAACTCGGGCACTGATGGCGGCCTGTACGCCGAGCTCATCAACAACCGCGCGTTTCAGGTACCCGCGGGCGCACCTACCGGCAACAACGCGCTCGGACAGGGCACCTTGGCGTCCTGGTCCAAGGTCGGCGCCTCGACCTCGCTCGATCTGACGCTTCAGAACCCGCTCTCCCATGCGCTACCCAAGAGCGTCGCCGTCACCTCGTCTGCCAAGAACGAGGCGTGCGGCCTCACCAACTCGGGCTACGGCGGCTTCTCGGTCAAGCCGCAAAAGTACGACCTCAGCTTCTACGCGCGCTCGGTCGACGGCAAGCCGACGACGGTCAAGGTCAAGGCGGGCCTCTACAGCGCCGACCGCTCGCGCACCTGGACCGAGCAGACGCTGACGCTCCAGCTCACGTCGGAGTGGAAGCAGTTCAAGGCCAGCATGACGCCGACGGCGTCGGCGCCCGACACCAACAACGTCTTTTCGATCAAGACGGCGGCGGGATGCGGCAGCGGCATGCAGCTCAACCTCGTCAGCCTCTTCCCGCCCACCTGGAAGGGCACCGTGGCGCGCGCCGACCTGGCCCAGGCGCTGGCCGACACCAAGCCCGTACTGGTGCGCGTGCCCGGCGGCAACGACCTCGAGGGCAACTCGATCTCGGCGTGGTTCAACTGGACCAACGCCGTCGGCGACGTCAAGAACCGCCCGGGCCGCATCGGCACGTGGATCGGGTGGAACACTGAGGGTTTCGGCCTGCTCGAGATGATGGACATGATTGAGAAGATGGGCGCGCAGGCCGTGCTGGGCATCTACGCCGGCTACTCGCTCGACAAGAAGGCGGTGCCCAAGGACCAGCTGGGCCCCTACATCGAGAGCGCCCTCAACCAGCTCCACTTCCTCCTCGACACGTCGGGCAAGTGGGCCGACCTTCGCGCCAGCTACGGCCGCGCGGCGCCCTACAAGCTCGAGCACGTCGAGATTGGCAACGAGGACTGGATCTACAATGCGCCCGACTCGTGGCCCTACCGCTACCCGCCGTTCCGCGACGCCATCGCCAAGGCCTTCCCTCAGCTGGAGCTGATCGCGTCGAGCCCGTACAGCTTCCAGGGCCAGCAGGCCATCGACCAGCACGACTACAACACGCCGAGCTGGTTCATCGACGCCTACGACAAGATGGACAGCTGGCCGCGCAACGGCACCAAGATCTACGAGCTCGAGTACGCCGTCATCAACAGCGGCCTGACCAACGACGCCGACATCTATAGCGGCAAGTCGCGCCTGCAGCACCCGACGCTGATTGCGGCGCTGGCCGAGGCCACGTTCCTGCTGGGCGCCGAGCGCAACGGCGACCTGTGCCACGGCGCCGCCTACGCGCCCATCTTTATGAACGAGGTGCCCGGCCTGACGCAGTGGACGCCCGACCTCATCTCGTTTGACGCCGGGCGCAGCGTCAAGTCGATCTCGTACTACGTCCAGCAGGCGTTTGGCATGCACCGCATCGACAACATCCACGACGTCAAGGCCAGCACGCCGCCCAAGCAGGCGGGCCTGTTCCACTCGGTCGGCAGCGACGCCGCGGGCAGCCGCATCACTGTCAAGCTCGTCAACACCAAGTCGTCGGCCCAGTCGGCCAGCGTCAGGCTCTCGGGCGGCGGCGGCAAAAAGGTCAGCGCGGCAGGCGCGCAGCAGTGGCAGCTGAGCGGCAGCAATGCCCAGGCTTCCAACACCATGGGCCAGCCCAACACTGTGGTGCCCAAGTCGGGCGCGCTGCCCGCCGGCGCACTGCAGAACGACGGAAGCCTCCAGATGACGCTGCCTCCCTACTCGTTCACCATTGTCACCCTCCCGCTCGCCTGAGCGCCAGCTGCTCCCCAGCAACGGCCGGGACTCTTTCGTAGTCGGCAGTGTGGGCCGGGTCCAACTGACATGATCCTCGCTCCTCATTCACCCCGCTCTGCTTTCCGCACCATGCACCCGCCTCCCTTCGTTTAGGCGTCCACGACGCTCCTTTGTTCCTGCGTCCGGCGAGGCGTTCCTGGGCTCTTGATCCTTGCTGTAGACCCAGTCGAGCGAGGCCGTAGTACGTGTTAGAAGAAGATGAAACTTGCCTGTCACAGATACACGCAGATCAGCTTGTGTTGTGTGGTCCCCGAAGGCATGCTCAGCGCCGAGTCGCCGCAAGCCAGGGCCGATGCGCAGGGCGTGCTGAAAGCTGTCGTCGATGCAGCAGCGCAGCGCAGACGGAGCGGCTGGATCGCATCGTCGGCGTTGCTTTTTTGTTGTGTGCATCCCCCTGCGGGTCGGCAGGCGGGCGAGCGGCAGACCAGCAAGCAAGCAGCCAGTCGAGACAGAGCGAAAAGGCCTGCCTGCCAGCTGGCCGAGCTGGCCTGGCCTGGCGGTGGTTGAAGAGCGGGGCAGCTGCTGGCCGTACGCTTGTATGTGATGATCGACGGCGCGGTGTATGTACGTGAGTCCGTGTTTCGATCTGGACCGGCGGCTGCTGCCAGATCTGTGGCCCCTAAACCCTAGCCTAGCCTGCCTGGCGTGGCCTGGCCTAGTGCCTGGCGTACGTGCCTATGTACCTGCTGCCTCTCTGGCTGGCCGTTCTGCTTCGTGCGTGGATGGGTGTGGGGGCCGAGAGCCGGCGACGGCAGCTGTGTTTTTCCCTGTCGCTGCTGTGGTGCCGCCTTCCGCTGTGGCTTGCTGCCGTGTGCCGATCCTCTGTCGCTTTTGCCTGGTCTGGCCCTCGGTTCGGGGCCCGCCGCCAGGCTAGGCGGGCCAGGCTTCGCTGTGCCTGCCTGCTTTGGGCGACGGCGGCAGCGGCAGCGGCGGCGGCGGCGGTGGCCGTTTGCTCCGCCCAATCCATCCATCCAAGCCATCTGTTGTTCTCGCCTCACCCTCTTCGGCTGGGCTGAAGGCACCAACCCCGCGCCCAACGGCTCTCCCCCCATCCCCTGCTTCGCGTCCAAACTTTCAACTTCGCCCCTCCCGGCGGCTCTCTCGCCTCGCTCCCTCGCCCTCCTCTTCGTTGTCCCCCCTCGCCCTCGTCCATTGCTACTCCACCACCACCACCACCTCCTCCTCCTCCTCCTGGATATCACCCCTCGCCCCACTCTCTAGACGCTTCTCAAGGCCGCTTCTCCCATCCCCCACGCTCCTTGTGCACACCCCGTGGAACACTCTCTTCCTCCCCGGCCACTCGACTCAGCGCAGGCCGTTCCGAGTCGATCGACCAAAACACTCTCGACCCTCCTTGATCCTGTCATCTCCAGCTGCCACTCCTCCCTCTTGGCCCACCATGTCGCCCACACCTTACACCTTTACGCGCCTCGTCTCGCTGCTGCTGCTCGGCCTCGCACTCACGACCGCTGCCGGTGCCGTCGCTTCCGATCACGCCGACCCTGGCGCTGCACCCGCCCAGCTCCGCAGACATGCTGCTGGCAAGTCGCGCCGCCACGCCGCCGCCGACGACGACGGCAGCAGCAGCCTCGCCCTCGCCAAGCGCGGACAGACCTTCCACGGCCAGGCCACCTTCTACGACGCCGGCCTCGGTGCCTGCGGCGGCTACAACTCCGGCAGCGACTTTATCGTCGCCCTCAACGCCGCCCAGTACGGCGACATGGGCCAGCGCTCGTCGTGGTGCGGCAAGCAGATCACCATCACCTACCCCGTCCTCGGAATCACGCAGCACGCCACCGTCGTCGACGTCTGCCCCGGCTGCGCCTACGGCAGCCTCGACATGAGCCGCGGCCTCTTTGGCGCCCTCTCCAACCAGAACTTTGACCTCGGCGTCTTCCAGATGAGCTGGACCGCCGACGACGGCTCAGGCGGCGAACAAAAGCCCAAGCCCAAGCCCACGCCCACGTCGACCTCGACGACGCCAAAGTGGACGCCGCCCGCCACGACCAAGAAGGCGCCCCGCACCAGCTCGACGCCCAGCTCGACGCCCGAGCCCACCACGTCGTCGCACACGCCCGTCCAGCACACGCCGAGCCCCACGCTGTCTTCGTCGTTGTCTTCGTCGACCTCGTCGAGCCAGCAGCCCGCACCGACGCCCAAGACCGACGACGAGGAGCCGCCGCTGCAGAATCTCGCCAACCTCGAGGCCCTCTTTGACGGCCTCTCGGGCATGGCCGTCGCAGCGGCCAGCTGAGCGCGCGCGCCAGTTTTCTCCTGGATAGCCCTCCTCTCCACTCTCCCTCCCTCTCTCCACTCTCCCTCAACATCCCCTGCTCTGTTTCCCTCGCTCTTCCGGTCTTGTCGTCACGGTCCTTAACCGCCACCTCTGTCGTAGTGTTGTCTTTACGGGCTCGATTCGTTCCTTTCCTCTATCTAGTCTTCTCTGGCCTTCGTCGGACGTGCGGGTTCGCATCATCCTGTACCCGCCGTCCGCCGATGGTGCTGTCGAGATGCTAGGTGCTCGATCCTCTGCTGTATACCTCGCGGCCTGCTCCACTGTCCCCTTACCCGGCCTCGTCTATAGCGACTTGAGCCCAGGTACGGCGGCCCTCTTCGTTCCCCCTCTTCGAGACGCTTTAGCCTCTCTTCCTGGATGGATGGATCGATGGAATGCTATGGGAAGAGAGACACGCAAAGTGTGATGGACGTTGCAGCGACGCCGGTGCCGGTTTCGGTGGTGTCCGAGGGGCTGTCCTGCCCGCCGGGTATGGATCGTGGCAACGTGGCTGGCTGCCCGCGTCGTGGCAGCTGCCCGGCAGTGACCCTCGACGAAGATGCCAGGGGCGGTGATATCAACGACCGACGTCGAAGATTGGTTGCGCTCGGAGCTAAACGTGGTGGCCGGCCGGCCGTGAGTGAGGTGGACGTCACCAGAGACATCGATAGGCTGGCAGGCCGCCGCCGGCATCAGAGCAACGAGTGGAAGGCCAGGTAGGCGGCGCCTTAACTCCTCGCCTGGCGGTTTAGCTCGACTCTTCTTGTCTCCGTCTTGTCTCCGTAATCTCCGGAACGGGCGGGCAGCCGTAGCGCTAAAGCTTGCTCCTTCTTCGCGCCCACACACCATCTTCTTCTCTGGCCCTCCCTTGCTCAAATACCTACCGTAGCATCGTCGACGGGGCAAAGATGCCTCCGGACATGAGACACCACCGCCTACCAGACTAGACTCGCCGCGGCCAGACAGGCTTGCATCGCTAGATCCCACCACCACCACCACCACCACCGCCGCCTACTACTCTGTTGCCTACCATCGACGAGCGCTCGACCCCTGCCCTTGCTGCCCCTAGGCGCCATCCAGCCAGCACCCTTGAGTGACAGCCTCTGCAAAGAATGGCCTCCCCGGGTGATACAAGCACGGCCAACCTCGCCGCTCCTGGCAGCGCTCCAGTTCCTGCACCACCATCCGCCACAATGCCCGCCGACGACACAGACTGTTCAACCCCAAGCGGTGCCATCGCCACGACGGGCCCCGCGCCGCCATCGCACGAGCTGCCGGGTTCGACGCCGAAGCAGGGGCAGCCTGCGCCGACCAGCATCTTCCACGGCTCGGCCGGCGCCGTGCGTCAGGCCGTCTGCTCCGTCTCCCTCTGCATGGTCATGCTCCTCACCCAGGCGGCCCTCGGCGCCACCATCTTTGGCGGCTCCTACATCGCCGACACCTTCGGCCTCGCAGACGACCCGGAACAGCAGTCGTGGTTCGCCGCCGCCTTCTCTCTCACCGTCGGCACGTTTGTGCTCCCCGCTGGCCGCCTGGGCGACCTCTACGGCAACAGGATCATGGTCCTCGTCGGCTACGCCTGGGTCGGCGCTTGGTCCCTCGTCGCCGGCCTCTCGCACTACACGCGCTCGGCCATCTTCTTCGACGTCTGCAGAGGCCTCCAGGGCCTGGGCTTCGCCGTCCTCCTGCCCAACTCGCTTGCCGTCCTGGCCCGCATCTTTCCGCCGCAGAGCCGCGCAAAGCGCCTCACCTTCTGCCTGTACGCGGCTACGGCGCCGAGCGGAGCAGTGCTCGGAGGCACCTTCACCTGCCTGCTCGGAGCTACTGTGGGCTGGTGGTGGGGCTTCTACCTGCTCGCCATCGTCTGCGCCGCGCTCGTCGTCATCTGCACCGCCGTCGTGCCGTCCGACCGGCAGCTCCACGACCTCGGCCGCGCCTTCCTGGCGCAGGACGACGAAAAGCACCAGCACGACGCGGCGTTCAAGGACGAAGAGGTCGCCGACGTCGATGAGGCACGGTCGATTTCGCCTTCGCACCAAGATCAACCAGGGCAGCGCGCCGCGCACCGCCCGCTCTGGGAGCGCCTCGACCTGCTCGGCATGGTGCTCGGCGTGAGCGGCCTGGTCCTCTTCAACTTTGCCTGGAACCAAGCCCTGCTGGTGGGCTGGTCGACCGTCTACGTCTACGTGCTCCTCATCGTCGGCGTGATGCTGCTGTGCGCCTTCGTGGTGTGGGAGAGCCGTGCGTCGCTGCCGCTGCTGCCGACTTCGATCTTCAACCTACAGGGCTGTCTGATCCTCGGCGCCCTCGCCCTGGGCTGGTCGGCCTTTAGCATCTGGCTCTTCTACATCACGCAGTTCGTCATCCGGCAGCGGGGCTACTCGCCCCTCGGCTCCGTCGCAGCCCTCTCGCCCGCCGCCATCGCCGGCGTCGTGGCCGCGTTTTCGTCGGAGCGCATCCTGGCGCGCTTCGGGAGCAAGGTCGTCATGCTCCTCGCCCTGATCGCCTTCACCACGGGCATCTCGATCGCCGGCACCGCGCCCGTCGAGCAGACCTACTGGGCCCAGACGTTTGTCGCGTCGTTTGTGATGCCGTTCGGCATGGACATGAGCTTCCCCTCGGCCTCGATCATCCTCAGCGACATGCTGCCGCACCACCGCCAGGGCGAGGCGAGCAGCTTGGTCAACACGGTCGTCAACTAGTGAGTACGCGCGGCCGCGTCCGGGCGGTGCGGGAGGAGGAATACCGAGACCCGATCTGACCCATCTTGCCTTCCCCCTCTCCGCCTCTGTGTCTTTCCGGCAGCTCGGTGGCTCTGGGACTAGGCATCGCCGGAACGGTGGAGTCGCAAGTCAACCGGCAGGGGACCGACGAGCTCCGCGGTTACCGAGGCGCCTTTTACCTCGGGATCGGCCTTGGCGCCCTGGGCGTCCTGATGTCCGTCATCAACCTCGCCATTTCCACGCAACGCCGGTCGGCATAGGGGCATTTGGTTACGCAGTCTGTCACGTTGGCTGCCTGCAAGCCGAGGCGCGAGCCGTTTTTAACGTACAGCCAGACGATGACGAGCTAGCATGACTACAAGATGGCAATGTAGACGCCGCACAGGCGGCTGAACCTGTTTTCCGCCTTGGTCGCCGACACGACCGAGGTGAGGCCGGACCGTGTCCAGCTGGGCACGTTGATCTCGACGCCGACCTTGGTGTTGGGCGTGTCGATGAGGCTGAGGCCGTACCACAGGTAGCGTGGCCGCTTGACAAAGGGCGAGTCGAACGTGTGGTCGGCCGAGTGCTGCAGCTGCAGGCCGGTGCCGGGACGGTCGAGCGATCCGGACCGGAAGGTGTCGTCGTCGGCCGGGTAGGCGAGCCAGGAGGCCATGATGTTGAAGCTGCTCGTGTCGGCCCAGGTCTCGAGGTGGATCTTGAAGCCCGTCGGCGTGATGTCGGTGGCGTACACCTTGGCGCGCACCGTTGAGTCGCGGTTGATGTCGAAGCCCGTCAGGCTGACGACGACCTTGGGCGGCCTGGCAAAGGGCGCGGCGAACTTGATCTCCTGGTCGAGCGACTCGCCCGTGACGGCGCTGCCCGGGCGGATATCCTGGGAAGCCTTGGTGCCCGTCTGGATGCGCGCGTCGGCGGGCGGGAACGAGAGCCACCTGGCCGTCGAGTCCGGGCCCAGGTCGGAAGGAGGGCCGCCCCAGGCGAGCATCTTGAACTCGTAGCTCTTGCCCGGCTTGACCAGGTCAGGCTGGGCAAAGCAGTTGAAGCGGAACTGCGCGTTGGCCGCCAGGTCGAGCCTGCAGACGCCGGGGAGGATGTTGGACGTCATCGAGGTGGAGTGCTCCTTGCCCCACCTCGCAGCGTCCATGTCGGCACGCTTGCAGATGGCGACTTCGACGTCGGGGCTGGTCGGGTAGAGCGACTTGAGGAGTGCGACGGTGGGAGCATCGACCGCGTCGCTCAAGGTCGACATTGAGCGGCCGCCGCCGACTGGGGCATCGACGAGCTCAGCGGGCCGGTCGAAGCGCATAATCGAGCCCGCCGCGGCCGTCCAGGACGACAGGCCCGGCTGGTCGAGCAGCTGTCCAGCCTCGTCCTGGGCGAGGTACCGCTTGACGGCGTCGGGCTTCCACTTTGCCGCGTCGTCGAGCGGGTGTGCAAGGCCGTAGATGTGCCCGCACATGTGGCGGGCGACGCGCCCGACCTCCTGGGGCGTCCAGATGGCGCCGACGCCGCGTTTCCAGCCGCCGATGCCGAACCACGCCGTCGGCCTGTCCTGCTCGCGCACGTCGAGCGCATCGGCGCCGTAGACGCACCAGCTGATGCCGCTCCCCTCTGCGATGCGCACGTCGGCCGTCTTGTCGTCGGGCGAGGCCATCTTGATATCGATCGGGACGGGCGAGGTGCCGACGATTCGCTGCCACTCTGCCAGCGCGCTGTCCATCGCGCCCCTGACGACGGGAGACACTTGGCCGACGTAGGCCACCCTGACGGTGGCGCCCGTCGGCCAGGCCTTGTGGTCCTCTGCGCCCTTGCGCTGGATGCAGAGGAAGCCTGGCTGGACGTCGTATGGTATGGGTCCGGCGGCTGACATGATGAGGCGGAGGGGGTGCGAGGCTTCGTTGAGAAGGGCGGTGCACTTCTTTGAGAGAATGCGCGTAGAGGTGCTTGAGTCAGCGATGACCTATAAGAGAGCGCGGAACGATGCGGCGTCGCGGTGCCTCACGATCCTCGACTCCAGGCAGGCAGGACGTGGAGTGGTGTGTTGCTCGACGCTCCCGAAGGGCGGCGACCCGCCGGATTAGTCGCTGAGACGAGGTCCGCCCAGCTTGAGCGCTCGAAGCAGAAGCACGATCATCGCTAGAGCCTTGACGGCGGTGGGAAAGGAGGGACAAGGTTTGACACTCCGGAAGTCGACGAGGTCCCAAAAGGGCAACATACGCCATCTCGCTCGCTCCGAGTGCGCTGGGAGCGGACGAGGATGCAGGCGGGCTACACGAAGGCTGCCAGACGAGGGCAGACTGCAAGCAGCAGGCGTCTACGCAAGCAGCAGGTACGTACGGGTAGGAAGGCGGTGGGCGTTTTCATGGGCACGGGAAGGACAGTGCATACGCTCGTCGGTCACCTCTATCTATTCTCTGTTGGACGACGCGGGGAAGGTGTGCGGTGGCGGGGTGGCATCCGCCGAGTCGGTTCCTGCCTTGTGCCTGCTTGCCCGCCCGGCCGCTGCAGGCACGAACGCAGGCCTGCCAGCAGGCTATGTAGGCCAAGGCTTCGCTCAGGACCCTGGGGGGGCCTGGCTTGCCCTGGCTTGCCCTGGCGGGAGAAGCCACCGTGCGTGGTAAAGGCTTGCCCACCTGTCAGTTTCCGCATGGCCGCAGCCTCTCGTTTGTCGTCGGCCGGCGGGTGACTGCCAGCCGCTGGCCAACGACGTTCGCACCTTTCCCTCCCTCCTTTCCGTGCATCCATCGCCCGGCCTGCCTTCCTTCCTTCCCCGCTCCTCTGCCACTCTCGCTGTTGTGGTACAGACAGCTGAAAGGCTCAAGCAGGCGCAGCCCTCGACCCTCACCACCAGGCTGCACCCACGTCGTCTCTCCCGCTCCCACCGAGGCCGCTCCGTTTCGATCCCGCGTCGGACATCCAACCTTGCCGGCCAGCCGGTCTCGCTCCGGCACCTCGCTGATGCTCTTCCTGCTCGGATCTCGCCACAATGCCAGCAGGATGCTCGAGACCCGTGCCCGTCCGCGCACGTCCTTGCCGCCCGTCCCGATGAGCCCGAGCCAGGCGACTGGTTCCCATGTCCACGCTACCGCGCATGGCACGCGTTGCGCCGCGGTCAACGACCTCTCCATGGACTCGGGCCACAGCTGCGTATCTGCAACCGCAATGCCAGCCGCAGCCTCGCGGCCAGCAGCCGGCTCCCCAATCGCCTCGACCCGGCGCACACTGTGAACTCACATGCAGCAGCGACCACAAACGCACCGCTTCGTTGCTCCCATACGAGCAAACCCTGTCCTCCCGTCCTCTATCGCGTCCGCCTATATACTTGATCATCTCGGAGCTGCCCAGGAAGCCTCCCTAGCTAGCGCCCTCGAGCAATCCTCTTACCTCCGCCATCGCTGCCGAGCGCAGACTCCCCTAAGTCACCTTCACATCAAGCTCTCCCGGGCTCCACCCCAGGTCTTCTGTAGACATTGCATCGCCGCAGGACGCTCTCCGCTGTCCCCACTCCGGTCCGGACTGCGACATGCCTCAGACCACCCTCAACGGCGCAGGCGGCCACGCAACGATCCCCTCGAACCTCTACGGAGGCCGCTTGGCTGCCCATGTGCCCGACGTCAAGGCGACGCTGCTCTACGCCGTCCTCAGCTCTGGCCGCATCGCTGAAGCAATCATCAAGACCGACTGGGCCACGAACGCGCTCGTCTACGACACCGTCCCCGGCACGCTCGATGCCTCCTGCCACAGCAGCTCCCGCATCTCTGTCCTTGGAGACAGCACGGCGTGGACCCTCGTCTACCAGGCCCAGGATGGCGCCATTGTCAAACGCCAATTTGCAGGCACACCGCAGCCGGCCTGGAGCGGCCAGGAAGTCGTCGTGCCCATCGACCAGCCCGACAAGCCCCTCGTCGGCTCCATGCTCGAGCTCTACTCCACGGCAGCTGGCGCCGTGCTCATCTGGCAGTCCGAAAGCGGCAAGCTCTTGCGCACCGCGCTCCGCAGCAAGGCAACAACGCCCGTAGCTGGCTTACGCCTGTTTCCCGGCAATCGCGTCGTGGCCCAGACCGCTTCACACGACGACGCCACACTGTGCCTACTCTACTACAATGCGATGCCGAGCAGGGCAATGGCGCTTCGCGGCCCCAGCGACCCGGCGTCGAGCTCGCCGTTTACCCCCGACGACAAGTTCTATCCCGGCTTCAAGGCACCGACCGTCGATTTTGCCATGGTCAAAGGAACCCAACTCGGAACGGGTCCTAGGCTCGTCTACAATATCGAGGCCGACGGCCGGGTCGCCGAATGGACCGAGCAAGTCACCCAGCCCTCTGAGATCTCCGCTGCCGGTTCGGCCACGATCGATCGATACTACGGCATGGCCGTGGCCTCTCTGCAGGGAAGAGCCGCTGATCGCGTCTTCGTCGTGGACCTCGGACCCGGGCCCGGCGGCGCAGCGATGCTGTGCAAGACGCCTTCTGACTCGTGGACGAAGGCGCTCCCGCTCAAGGGAACCAGTGACTGGGCCGGGCACAGCGTCGCTGAGCCTGCCGGTGGGTCCGGCAATCCTGGCGACAATCACCCTGCACCCCCGATCAACAGCGACGCCGTCGACGCCGTGTTTGCAGGCCCCGACTTTGGCAAAAGTACTGCCAAGGAAGGCGGCAGCAGCGCCGATACGGGCTCCAAGCCGGCTGATGCCGGCCAGGGCGACGCCGTCATCTCGATCCGCCTTGGCGCCTGGATTCGCAAGACTTGCCAGGACATCATCGAGCCGGGCCAGACCAAGACGGCCACGGCCTCGGCTGACGAGGTCCTGAAGCGTCCGATCAACAAGGACGGCAAGCCCAAGACGCACGCGGTCAATGCCGTCATTGCCAACCGCGAGAAGCTGTGGTCGAGCAACCCGCAGGACATCCGCTTCTTCTTCATGGAGGGCACGCCGCAGCAGCAGGACAAGGTCAGGACGGTCATCGACGAGTGGACCTGGTACGCCAACGTGCGCTTCGTCGAAGTGGGCTCTCCCGCCGACAGCCAAGTCCGCATTCGCTTCGACCCGAGCGACGGCAGCTACTCGTACGTCGGCACCGACTGCGAGATGATCGACGGCGACAAGCACACCATGAACCTGGGCTGGATCGATCGCACGTCCTCGCTGACGCGCAACGAGCGTGCCACGATCCTGCACGAGTTCGGGCACGTCCTCGGGCTGCTGCACGAGCACCAGAGCCCGGCCCACGGCGGCATCGCGGTGCAGAACGTCGACCTGGCCCTGGAGCTGTACCGGCGCAAGCAGGGGTGGTCCGACAAGCAGATCCACGAGCAGGTCATCGACGTCTACGGCGCCAAGGAGGTGTCCAACTACTCGCAGGTCGACACCACCTCGATCATGCAGTACCCGCAGCCCAAGGAGCTCACCGGCCTCAAGGAAGACATCCCCTTCAACACCGAGCTCAGCCAGCTCGACAAGGCCTACATGGTCCTCCAGTACCCTCGGCCCAGGCCCCATGCCAAGGCGCCAGAGTGGACCATCGACTACGCCCTCAAGGTCGCCGGCTGTCCCGCTGACATCGCACAGAAGGTGCTGGCCAGCAGCCGCACCGACCTCCAGCCCAACTCCGAGGAGATCGACCCCACGCAGATCCGCAAGATTGTCGGCGCGTGGGCAAAAGAGGCGCACAACCCGAACCCAGACGCCGTCCCGGACAGCCGCGGAGGGGCAAGTTCGGACACCGTTGCGCATGGTGTCGACGGCGAAAACGAGGACGAGGCCGAGGACGTCGCGGACCAGAAGGCGTTGTTGCAGCTTCTCATGAGGCCTGTGGGCGAAGATACCGTCACTGTCGCAAGCGGCGGACGACTGATCAACATCTGCGCTAGCGGAACGGAGTCGGAGACAACATCGAAAGCTCAAGGACCTGCGAGCGTCGGCGCGCCAGCACATGCCGTCACTGTCACGACCAACCTCCTGCCGCTAGCCTACTCAAACGACAAGCGGATGAAGATCCGCTATGCCTTTTCTCCGGGATACAGGCCGCCATCATCGCACCAGAAGCTGATGCTGGTGTGCGCCTTCGAGCTGTGGTCGCAGGCAGCGCACATCGAGTTTGTCGAGGAGACGCGTCCGGAGAAGGCCAGCGATGCCGACCTGCTCATCTGCTTCCATGACAACAACGAGGGCTCCGCGACTTCCGCCAGGATCGACCCGGACAGCAGCCACCGGAGCATGTTCCTGGGACCTGGCGGCGACTCTGGCGACCGGTCGAAGCTCAAGGAGCTCAGGCACAGCGCCAGGCGCCAGGAGTACTGTGCGCAGAAAGGATATTCGACCGTCCCCTTCGACATCCTCTACTACGGCATCTTCCGCGACGCCGACGCAGCGAGGGCGTGGCAGTCGCAGGAGCGGCGGGACATCGACGGGATCCAGTACAACCTCCGCACGCTCCTCCACGAGCTCGGGCACTTTCTCGGCCTGGACCACGAGTGCGTTGGGCTGTACAGCGCCTGGATCAACAGTAAGCGCTTCGATGACAAGGCGGCGGCGCTCAAGCTCAAGGCTACAAAGTACGACACCGGCTCGGTCATGGACGCCATTGGCAATCTTGCCCGCCCAGATCTGGCGCGCCTGCTCACGACCAAGGGGCTCGAGCAGGCCGAGACCGAGGCATTCACCATCGCGGGCTTCCCGATGGAGCGGGTCCGGATGAGCTTGAGGCTGTCCAAGTACGACAAGGCCAACATCGCCCTGCTCTACCCCGGCCCCTCGAACCTGGTCCAGCGCCGCGACGACGCCGACGAAATGTACCCGTGGCAGCTCCGGAGGCACGAAGACGACAGGACCAAGACGGTCCTCGAACACTACCTCGCCTTGCTCCAGGTCGAAGATGCATTCGGCACCATCAAAGTCGCGCTCGAGATGGGCCAATGGGAGACGGCGCGTCGCAAGTATCTCAAAGCGCTCGATGCGCAGATGGGAAGAGAGTACGACAGCAGGAAGGTTCTGGAACAGGCCGTTCTGGAACAGATGGACATCAGGAGGCAGACGGCTGCCGCGCATGGCGATGCCAACGGCGAAGTGCGGTACTACGCTACGTGGAAGGAAGATTTGGATGACGCCCCGTCGGCGGCGCACGCCGTCAATGGCCAGCCCGACACTTCGACCGGCTCTGACTCGGCGGCCAAGAACGAGGGCCCGTTCATCGAGACGCTCTACAAGAAGCTGCTCAACTACTTCCCGCCGGGCGTCGGGCAGTACTTTGCGCTCCAGTTCCCCACGCGCTTCATCGACAAGGAGAGCTACGCCTACGACACGAGCGGCATCTTTTCGCGCTTCGAGAAGCCGGTCGTGGTCAACGAGGCCGAGTTCAGGCTGACTGACGCCCTCTACCCGCTCGGTCCGATCGTCGGCGGACCCAACGGGCAGTCGCTGTCGAGCAACTACCTCAAGGCGCTCAACGCCATCAGCCCGTCGTACGACGGCATCGCGGCCCGCAAGCAGCGCGAAAAGATGCGAGCCTGGCTCCTCACCCAGACGCACTCGGACGACGCCGCCTACACCGTCGACACGCGGCTGACGGTGCCCGGTCTCAACGCGCAGGCCGCGCAGAAGCTGTCCGAGGAGAGCGGGATCCGCGTGATGCCCGCCGACAAGCCGACGTCGCAGGGAGGCGCCGTCGTCACGCCGCTGTCCGCAGTTGACCCTTCGGACCCATCGGTGGCGCTGGCAAAGAGCGCCATCAGGGGTGTGGCGGGCGGCGGGCAGACGCGGCCTCGCAACATGACGCGGATGGAGTTCGCCGACGCCCTGACGCAGGATTACCTCGACAAGCGGATGCAGTGGGAGCTGCACCGCGACGAGATGGTGAGCGAGGCCGAGAGGCAAAACGACCCCAAGGCCATGGAAGCCGTCACCCGACGGCTCGCGCGCATCACGGGCATCGAAAACGCCAAGCTCTACTCCAAGTACGCCGACGCCGTCGTGCGGGGCCACAGCCACACGGTGCGGGAGCTCATGGGACACCTCGACGTGCGCACCACGGCCGAGATGCTCCAGGACGCCAAGGACTCGCTGCGCGAGAGCGCCCTGAGCTCCCTCTACACTGCCTCGCTCATCTACCCGGTCCAGATGCAGCCGGCCGACTGGTTCCAGTCGCTCGACACGTCCTTCACGCGCGAGGACCTGTCGCAGTCGTCGGACCTGCTCGAGGCGGCGATGAGGGCCAAGGCATCGATGATCGACGGCCTCCAGACGCAGATCGCCAACCTGCGCGGCTTCGCCACCATCGATCCGGCCACGGCCAAGGCCAGCGTCGAGGCGGCGGCCCGCGTCAGGGAAAAGGCCATCGAGGACCTCGCCGGCGCCTACACCGAGTCGACCGTGAGCGCCGTCAAGCTCGCCCTGGAAGCGGCCACGGCGTCGACGCCGGTGGGCGCCGCGTCGCTGGCGGGCGCCTCGATGGCCGAGAGCGTCATGAAGAAGATCAAGACGCTGCCCGACACGGACAAGCAGAAGTCGAAGCTCAAGGCCGTGCTGGGCGACGACTTTGAAAAGGTCGACGAGATCGGCAGGCAGATCGACAAGGTGACGGCAGCCAACAACGGCGTCAACTCGGCGTCGCGCAAGCTCGCCGAGCTCATGAGCCAGAGCGCCCTGGCGCAGGCGGGCGACACCAAGATCCTGGTCGAGAACCTGCAGAGGACGCTGTCGTCAGCCAAGCAGGAGCTGCAGGACCTCACAGAGAGCTACGCCATCGCGATCCGCAAGGAAAAGGCCAAGACGGCCGACGAGGAGAAGCTCAAGACGACGGAGGAGATCGGCAAGCTCCCCGCCGGTGCCTCCGGGGGCGGTGGCGGCACGCGCTGGATCGAGCTGTCGCTGGCGTCGAGGTCGGCCAACAAGGCGAGCGAGACGTCGTCGATGGCGTCGTCGTCGACGTCGTCGTGGAACTGCAACTTTTGGATCGGCTCCTACTCCAAGAACAGCAGCACCGCCGAGGCCAAGGTCAAGAGCGAGCTCAAGTCGACCGAGTTTGGCGTCGATATCTCGATGCGCGTGTCGTACGTCACCGTGGACCGGTCCGGCTGGTTCGATCCGAGCATCCTCGAGCTGAGCGGCTCCTTCATGCACACCGTCGCAGACGAAGACTACACGCCCTGGTCGGTCTGGCCCCTCACCGACGGCAAAAAGACCATCCGGGGCCAGGACGTCGACTTGCGGGTCCCCAAGGCGGCGTCCGAGGTTGTCCAGGACGTCGTCGCGGGCGGCGAGAGGGCGAGCGCCATCAAGGGCTACCTCCAAGCCTTCGCCGTCGGCTACGTCTTTGTCAAGGACTGCGTCATCCGCGTCACTTCGGCCGAGCTCAAAGAGTCGACGGAGAAGTCCAACTTCGAGAGGCAGAGCCAGGAGTCGGGAGGCTTCCTGTGCTTTTCGCACAGCAGCGCCTCGCACGACGCCGGCGACTCGAGCCGCTCGTCGACGACCCAGACCTCGGACGGCATGGTGATCCGCATACCCGGCCCGCAGCTGCTGGGCTACATGATGCAGATGACGCCGCCGGACCAGTCCAGGAGCTTTGCCCCGATGCCGGACGACTACCTCTTTGAGGAAATGGACCGCATCGACAAGGCGGCGGCGCAGGGTCGCCAACCGGCCAGCGCAAACTCGGTGCGCCCCTCGGACGCATTCTCGTCCGCCAATGCGGCGCTGCCCGAGACCTACTCCGGCGTGCGAGGGTACGACGTCAGCTCAGCACCACCGCGTGGCACGGCTGCGAGCACGTCGTCGTCCCCGGCAGCGCCCAAGGCGGCGGCGTCGGCTGTTGATCCATCCGCCGCCTCCGACCCGCTTCCGCCCAAGTTCTCCGATACGCTGCGCAACCTCGTCGCCAGCTCATCGACGTCCAAGATGCGCTCGCTCGAGGAGCAGCAGGCGGTCGTCAGCCTGATTGAGAAGCTCCTCGGCGTGTCGCCATAGAGATAGATGTGTTGTTCTGTCGTGGCCTTCGCCTTACCAATCTTGCAGCAGGGTCGATCGGCCTCTGGGAAGCGAACAGCCACCCTTTGCTCGACGACTGATCTCTGATCGCCATGGCTGAAAGGGCTCCAGTACTCCGCGCTGCCAGGTCTAAGAGGACGGATTGACAATCGGGATGCAGATAAAGAGGTCCGCCGCAGAGCCATACGCGTCCCACCGGTCGCCAGCGGAGGCGGGGTCGTCGCTAGATGAAGCGGCAGTGCCGTCTTGACCATCCAGCAGCGGTGCCAGGCGGTGCCGCAGCGACTCCAACCTGATCTGCAGTTCCGTCTGGGTTGGCCGGGTGGTGAGGATCCTCGAGCCTCCGTGGCTTCTGCCGCTGCTGCCGAGTCCGAGCACCTGCTTGCGCATCGCTTGCAGGCGGCGAGCCCGACTGTGTCCTGCAGAAGGCTGGTCAAAGAGCGGATCCGCGAGGTCCATACCGTAGACGGCTTTGTCCCCGGCCTCGCCGCCGGCGCCAGCATTCCCCCGCGCGTCTATACCTGTTGCGGCGCAGTCCGGACCGACCGCCGACGGCGTCCGTGCCGCTCCGGCGACGGCTGCCATGGCTGCCTCGAAAGAGGCTTCGGCTGCGGCGGCACGCGGATCTGCAGCTGATGCGGGGCTCTCGTCGAACCTCTGACGCTTGAGCGGAGAGCTCCGGGAGGGGGTGTGCGCCAGCGGTTGCGCGCCGGCCAAGTGATCGCGGAAGCGCGTGGTCCTCGGTGTCGAGAGGGCGGAGATCGCATGGGGCGACGGCAATGGGTCGTGACCGGGTGGTTTGGCGAAGAGGGTGCCGGACTGTGCGGCCTGCGCCTTTGCTCGCAGCGCTTCCGGGCTGCGGTCGGCGGGATCGAAGCTGGTGACGTCGTCGAGCCTTCTCCGCTTGCTGGGCGTTGTCCTCGACGGTACCGGACTGTCGGCGCCAGCGCTGCGCTGCGACGGTGTGCCATGGACCGAAGACGCAGCGCTGCGGCGGGAAGGAGTGAGAGGTTGGAGGGCAGCCGAGGATTGGAGAGCCGGCACCGAGTGCCCGACGCTCGAGACAGCGGCGCGGAGGTCGCGCTCAGCATTGCGGAACTGGATCGGGGTGAGACCGGACGCCCTCTCTGCGGCGGCGCGAGTGAAGGTGGTGCTGTCGAGGCTTTTGGTACGATGGAGAGACAGGGGGAGACCAAGTGGCGAAAGGGGACGACGTGGGTCAGCGGCGGGCAAATCAGAGGTGCCGCAGCCTCGGAGCCAGGCGGCCCGAGGATGGGATGGGCACGCGCAGCTCACCTCTCTGCTGCCAGCCAGCAGCATACGGCGACGAGGCCTGTGCCGATGCGTTGGACGACCTTTGCATTGCCCTGGCCTGCCCATACGTCGACGGCTGCGAGGTACGACTCTGCGCGGTCGACGAGGATGCCCGAGCGGGCCGAGAGGAGCGAGCGCACCTGGGCTCGCCTGGACGCGGCAGACATGGGCGTGGGAGGCGATCAGAGGTGGCAGAAGGGGGGAGGGGTCGAGGGGTCGAGGGGTCGAGGGAGAGATCCGGAGGCAAGAGTAGGTCGCGGGCCAAGGGGCCGCCAAGGAGAGTTGCGAACGAGAGGCACGGTGGCGTCGGTGCGGCAGCGCTGGGGATTCGAGGTGCCGGCGGTGCTGGTGATGGTGGTGGTGTTGGTGAAGATGTTGGTGGCGCGCCACGGACTTTCTCCGCAAGGCGTGTTGTGGAGGTCTTGACCGTCACCCTGGTCTCTACCGCGCGTGCACCCTCTGTGTACCTGCTCTCTGCATACGGAGACTCACAACCGCTCCTTTCCCGGAGCACCTCTTTACCGTTGCGGTACAATTGCCCAAATCTTTGGCCCTCAGTTGATGTTAGTAGTGTAGTTGTTCGCCACCATTCTCGATCGAATACCAATGCACACACAAGTCAGCCGTCACACAGGGTTGGGGAAAATGATGCTATTGCAACGATGGAGAGGGCAGTCTTCCCTCCCCGTCTACGAGGTAGACGGGAAGAGGCGGGAGCGGGGGCAAGAGGCATCCCACCCCGTCCGAGGAAGCCTCGGACGGAGAGAGGCGGGAAAGGGGAAGGGGAAGGGAGAGAGCCGAGAAGAGGTCTTCCCTCCCCGCGCAAGGCAGGGAGAGGCGGGAGCTGGGAGCTAGTGGCATCCCTCCCCGTTCGAGGACGGGGAGAGGCGGGGGGATTATTTTCGCAAACACGTTACCGTGCCGCCTTGCCAGAGTACTTTAGGCGTACCGGCACGACCCTTCCGTGCAAGGTAGCGTACGCGAGCGCGGATGAGAGGGTGAGGAGGGAGGGAGAGAGGTGGGAAGGGGGTGGCGAGGGAAGGGCCCCTTCTTATCCCTTTCAGATCCGGCCTTCCGACGCCAACTGAGGCCAGCCAGCTTCCACGTTCCCTGGAGTAGACGGTCGCTGACGTGGGAAAAATCACGGGAGACGGTTTCTGATCTAAAAGATCAGAGACGCGTGCTGAAAAATCACGGGAGACGGGTTCTGATCTTTTAGATCAGAGCCGCGTGCCGAAAATCACGGGAGACCAGAGCAGATGGCGCTCCAGGCCGGTCCCCTGACCGCCAGGTGCCGCCAGCAAGAAAGGGCGCGCGCGCTCGTCGCGCCGTACGCCTCCTAACCACCACAACCCGCGCCCGCCTTGCCTGCCCACATGCTTGCCTACCCATCGCCTGCCTTCCCGCCTGCCTGCTGCCCGATGCCGATCGCCTTATCGTAGCCACTGTCATCACCTGGAAGTGCTCAGACTGCTGCCCACGCCGCGCTTGCATGCTCGCGCCGCGTTGCTGCCGTCGCCCGCAGTCTGAAGACGACGCCCGTGCTCTGCCTGATGAGTTGACGTTGCTGTCCTTGCTGCTCCGCCGTCAGCCGTCTTGCCGGCAGCCACGCCATCCCTTGCGTCTGTCTGCTGCCCTCTGCTGCCTTTGCGCCGATGCTGCCGCCACCGCCCTTTACCGTGCCCTGCCACCTGCGATGACGCGGCGCGCGCGGACCCGTTCCTTTATTCCCTTGTCTCTTCCTACAATCAGCCAAAATAGAGGTCGACGAGCATGGTGGCTACGCCCAGAACGATCCTGTTTCGCACGCACACCGCAAAGGTGGGAGAGGGGCAGAGAGCAAGGCGAGGATATTCAGCAGGCTGTCCGCTCGTCTCATCTCGACCGTGCGAGAGGGAGGAGGCGGGGAGGCGCACTCACTCGAGCATGATGAGGAGGATGACGACAATCTCGAGGTACTCGGAGTGCGAGCTCGTCACCTGGTCCTTGAGCAGCTGGAGCATGTCCTGGAGCACCTCGACGCGCGTGTTGAGCAAGTCGATGCGCTGCGGGATCTCGAGGTACGACCGCGCGGCCGAGTAGAGAGGCTCGAGGTCCGGCTGCGTCCAGAAGATCTCTGGCGAGTCGACAATGGATCCCACCAGGTGGATGTTCATGCGCAGGATGAAGAGCTGGAAGCGCGCGCGGGACGGCAGGCCGCGAGTAGAGGCATCGGTCAGTCGGCAGCGCTCCGCCAGGCCAGGAGCTGCCTGTGACCGGTGGCAAACTCACGTGTCCGATCTGCTTCATGATCTCGGCCGGCGGCATGCCAATCTTGCCGCTCTCGGCGATGCTCTGCGGGATGTCCTTGGTCGATTCGATCGTATTGTCGATGATGCCCTCAAAGAAGCTGATCTTGGTCGACTGCGCCAACGCATGCGACAAGCTGAGCTTGGTCATGTACGAGCTGCCGCGGCGCAGCGTGATCACGTCATTGTAGATTCTGGGCCACAGCGCAGCAAAGAGCAGCAGGTAAAGGGTGAATCCGGCGTCAGCGATGGTGCGCAGGCAACAGCAGCGGTGGCGGTGGGGACAGCGGCGGGGGCATCGCGTGGCATGCTCACCGACTGTAGTCTGCCAGGTACCAGTGCAGGTCCTCGCTCTCGACGTCCTCGGAGGCGAGCCGCTCGACCTCGAACTTGCGAAGCTCGCGGAGGAAGCGCTTCTCCTCGGCAAGCGTCATGCCCCAGATGACGATAGCGCCGTAGTCCATGATGAAGAGCTCGGGCGTCATGCCCTCGACGGCGAAGCGCGATCGCCTCCGTGCGCGCGCCTCCTCCCTGCGTGCCGCTCGCTCCTCGTCCGAGTTGAGCGTCCGGTCGCCGTCGGCGTTGCCGTCATGTGCAGCCTGACCGTCGTGCTGCTCGGACCGCAGCTCCGGCACGCCAAGGAGGTCGCCGACTTTCCCTGCGGCGCTGCCAGTGGCGCCGCCTTCGGTCGCGGCGTGCCCGCGGGCGCCGTTGTAGGCCGGCGGCGGCAGCGATTCGTGGCGGCTGTTGCGATGATGGTGATGGTGGTGGTGGTGCCGGTCCTTGCCGCCGGAAAGGGCCGGCATGAATCCGCGCGCTTCGTCGACATACTTGTAAGTGTAGGTTGTGTAGAGGCACTCGTCGAACTGCATGACGCTGGTCCCGTGGCTGGACCGCCGCGCTTGCAGCCACTTTGTCAGCTCGCGCATGCGATACGACCTGCGCGGGGTGAAGGGAGCGGAGGAGGAGAAAGCGAAAGGGTTGGCTATCAGCGGCCGATCGCAGGTCGTCCAGTGGAATGCATCGCTGGCGAAGGGCTCACGTTGCCGTGCTGTAGGCGGTGACGCGGGGTAGATTGGCGCGGGCCCGTTTCGTGAGGCGCCTCGCATCCCTGCGCATGCTGCCTTCGGGGATCTGGGCGAGCTGCTTGTACACCTCGACCTGCTCCTCTTCCTCTCCTTCCTCGACGTCGGAAGACGAGCTGTCTTCGTGCGAGTGGTTCGAGGGTGCGGCGGCGGCATCATCGACGGCCTGGAGAGCGCCGTCCTCGTAGTAGCGCCTCCGGCTGCCGTCTGACCGCAGGATCCCCGGGCTGAGAGCGGGTGAATGCCCACTGCCCATCGTACTCGATCCGGACTGGTACAAGGGCGAAGAGGGAAGGACGGGAGTACCCCCACCGCTGGTGCTCTCCTCGGGTTCCTCGGGCAGGATCTTGAGCTTGCTGCTCGACTTGGACGACCTGCAGACGGGAAGAGGGGAAGTTTGGCGGGTGATGAGCTCGCGTCAACACACTGCAGCGGGATCATCCCGTGCTGGTTTATGCTCACCGGTTCGGTCCGGCCTTGTATCGTGTGCTTTGCTGGTCCGAAGACGAGTACTGGTTCTGCCTCGAGGGATTGTGCTGCCCCTGCGAGGAAGAGCCGCGGGCGTTCCTTCGGTTCGAGAGCGACATGGCGGTTCGGCGGATGGGGGGAGGCTATGCTGTGGAGGAGCAGCTGAGAAAGAAGATTGCTGTGGATCGTGCTGCGGATGGTCGATGTGGTCAGGCGGATGATGGGGGCAGCGGAGGATGGTGGCCAAAAGAAAGGGGTGCGAGGAGCGGCCCGCAACGTGCCCTCTGCGCTTTTTCGCCTACGCCCAAGCTGCAAGGTGGAGGGCAGGCTAGCAGAGACGCGCGGAGGCTGAGAGAGGACCGGGCCAAGCCAGGCCAGGCTAGCCTTCTGGCAGCAGCAGTCACAGCGGGGCAGCGCAGCGTAGCCGCAACGGTCAAGACGTCCACAATGACCATCTGGGAAGCGGCGGCGGCCATCTCGTTACGTGTATGTGAATGGGCGATGGCAAAAGCAGCAAGGCGATGGAGACGTTGCGCGCCGCAGTATTACAACATAGTACTAGCAAGTGGTGAAGGGAACCGGATGTCGTCAGGAGGGGGACCTCGAGGCCAGGATACCGCCGGGTAGGGATTGCGAGTCAAGCATCGGCCAGAGTGCTGACCTCGTCTATGGCAAGCCCGCTCGCGAAGTCGACTCGTTCGTCACCACCGCTGCGCCTCCTACCGGTCCATGGTCTCGTCGTCGTCCCATGCGTCTTCGTCGTCGTCGTCGACGTCGGCGGCAGCCGTGCTGGACGCACGGGTGGCGGCATCCGTCACCTCCATTCGGCTCATTCCCAGGCTCGCGCCCGCCAGGCCGAACCCGCCGCTGCCGCGCCGGCCGCCAAAGCTGCCCGACGTGCTTCCCTCGTACGTCCCGCTGTAGCTGAACCCGCGAAACTTGTCCTGCACGCTCTTTGTCAGCGGGCCGTCATCGCCCTCGTCGTCCAGGCCGCCGGAGCGCTGGCTGTTGATGGCCATGCCCTTGCCCGCGCCGCCGCCGCCGCCACCGGCGCCACCGGCCTTTCCGTCGGCCAGCAGCACGCCGTTGTTGAGCGCCGACGTCGCGTCCGAAGCGTTGCCCTCGAACCCGGGGATGATGGTCATCTCGCGCAGATCCGTCTCGGTGAACTCGGGGTCAAAGTTGGCCACGCTCTCGTCAGACTCGACCAGCGGCTTGAAGGGAGGTGTGAGCTGCTTCTTGGATAGCGCGTCAAAGTCAATGTCCTTGAAGAAAGGGTGCTCCTTGAGATCCTGCGCGTCGCGCTGCGCACCAAGGCGGTGCTTGGGGTTGCGGTTGAGGAGCTGCAGGTGGAAAGAGCGAGCGGCCGCGCGGTACACTTTCGGATCAGCGAAAGACACCAAGCAAGAGGGCGACGGCGTTCGGGCCGGCCTGACAGCCTCTGCCGTGCACTGCCAAGACTCACCCCCTTGACAAACTGCTTGCCGTCGTCGCCAATCGCGCCGCGAGGGAACTTGATCTTGCCAAAGCAGATGTTGCGGTACATCTGCTGCGTGTCTTCTGCGTAGAACGGGCTCCAGCCGCAGCACATCTCAAACAGCAGCCTGCGCGCAGAGGACAGGGCGTGACACGGGAGTCCCAGAGAGTAAATGCACGAGGGCAGGATGGCACAAGGCTCGTCAGCGAGAGGCTCGAGGTGCGCTCACGGGGAGCCGGCGCCCATGCACCACACTCACACTCCGAGCGACCAGAAGTCGACCAGCTTGGAGTAGCCCGACTCGTCGAGGAGCACCTCGGGCGCGAGATATTCGGTCGTGCCGCAGAACGTGTTGGTCAGCTGCCCCGCGCCGAGGTCAGGCTTGCTGAGTCCAAAGTCGCACAAGGCCACGTGCCCGGTGGCGTCGAGCAAGATGTTTTCAGGCTTGAGGTCGCGGTAGACGATGTTGTACTTGTGCAGGTGCTCGAGCGCCAGGACCAGCTCGGCGATGTAGAAGCGCGCCCGCTCCTCGGTGAACCGCCCCTCGCGTTGCAGGTGCCAGAAGAGCTCGCCGCCGGACTTGTAGTCGGTGACAAAGTAGAGCTCGGTGGCGCTCTGGAACGAGAACTTGAGGCCCACCAGGAAGGGGCAGTCGAGCGACTTTTCCAGAATCTTGCGCTCGCCCATGGTGTGGGTGACCTCCTTCTTCTGCGCAATCTCGCGCTTCGAGAGCACCTTCATCGCGTAGATGCGACGGGTGTCCTTCTTGCGCACCTGGAAGACGCGGCCAAAGGTGCCCTTTCCGATGAGTTTGAGGTACTCGAAGTCGTTGGGCGTCAGCTTCTTGGCGGCGAGCTTCTCGTAGGAGATCTGGATGCGGACCTCGCCGCGGTAGTGCTCGACGCCGTCCTCGTCCTCGCGCGCCACGAGCTGGTACCACTGGTCGCTCATCATCTTGTGGACAAAGCGCGCCCGGATCTCGCGCATGCCCAGGAAGCCCTCGTCCTCGGCGTGGCGGTCGTAGACGCTGATATAGATGGGCTGCTGCTCCTGTGTGACGTCAAAGGTCACCTCGTGCTTCCAAACCGGGTTGTGGTTTTGCCCCGTCCGCGACAGGGCGTCGGCCGGCGTGACTGTCTTTGCCCGCGTGCGGCCGCTCTCGCCCGCCTCGGTCCGTGGCACGGCTACGCCCTTGGCCGCCTCGCCCGACTCGTCGATAGGTTCGCGGCCGATAAACTCGTTCTTGTCGAACGAGACCACCGCGTACGGGCGCGCCTCGGGCGAGCTGGTGGCCAGGTTGCGTCCCGCCACGACCTTGATGGTTAGGTGCCCTCGAGGCGCAGCCGTGTTCCGCGTCGTGGTGCTGCTGCTGCCGCTGCTCGATGAGGACGGCGGCGTGGCGGTGCCAGAGAGCGGAGTGGGTCCCGGAGCGGCCATAGACGTCTTGTTCTTTGGCGGCGGCAGCTTCATCGTGAAGTCCGGGTCTGCGTCCACCAGTGATGGGCGGATTCGCCGTAAGCATCGCTTCGAAATCAGTGTCCAGCGCCGGTAGACCGGCAAAGGCTGCCCGGCCGAGACGAGGATGGCCACTTACCTGTCGTCGAGAGCGAGGTGGTTGGGATGCTGGCGTGGGATGTGACGCCGCCCGGCGTGCGGAAGCCGCCAGGGGTGAGGTCACCCGAGTTGTGAAGCGAGTTGTTGCTCTCATTGCGGCTGTGGAGCGAGGACTTGGACGGCGATCGATGCATCGACGCCGGCTGAGAGGGAGGCGCCAGAGCGTCAAAGGGGTTGCGCTCTGCGCCGCCAGAGCTGCTAGCCTTTGGCGTGGTCTGCGATGCGAAGGAACCAAGCACGGTGGCGACGGGAGTCAGCATGACGAGACTTGGCCCTCGTCTTGGGCAGGGCCACAGGGAACGATGATGCAGAGGATGCCGCACGACGTCGCAAGGTCGAGATGGACGTGACAAGGGGAGTATGCGACGTTCGCAACGGTCGAGGCAAGTTGTCTGGCTGCAAGGGGAGCGGCCGACGAGCTTCGCCAGCGGCAGACGACGGCCTTGCCCGAAGGCGAGGCGAGGCTGCATGGCACATTGCCGTGGCCGGCACGGCAGCCCGGTTGGGCTCTCTAGGGTTCGCCCGAGTGCCTACGATTCGGAGACCGTTTGTCTGGGCGAGCCGCTTCGAGACCGGCTCGCTGCCAGCGCAGCTAGAAGGGGCGGAAGACCGTCGGGACAAGCCGCCGCACAACAGGGCCTCGAGCTCACCTGATCGGCAGGACCCGCAGGCCACAGGCCCTTGAGCATGTTGGCCATGACGGGGTTCGGCCCAGGTGGTGTTGGTGGTGGTGGCGGTGGCGATGGCGGTGGGAGTGGTGACGGTGACTTGCACAGTGCAATGGGTGCGATCAGTCAGAACGTAGTCTGATATGCAGGCAAATCTACCTCCCGTGCTGGAGTCTAGGTGGGAGGTGGCGATCCAAATTGACTCGTCTGAATATCGAAAGGCGGAAAGCACAGGACAAGGGCCTGTAGATGAGAAGCGTCGCAGGAGGGGGCGGATGAGGACGCTGTGCAGGAGGGCGCAACGCCGGCAGGTTGTGCTGTCGGTGTCAAGAACGACAAGCTGCCACCGCGGAGAGCTGCCACAGCTGACGGTGTTGTCAGGGGCGCGGAGGATCGATTCCGGCCTCGGCGTTGGTGGAGGGCTCCGGCGACGGCGTCGAGGCTGGTGTCGCGCAGACGATTCGAGGGGGCGTCTATGGCAAGGAGAAAGACGGCGCAACCGGCTCGACCCGAGACTGTTCTCGCCGACGACTTTCGGGCGAGGCCGAGGATCAACGCGTGGGCGCAAAGACAAGGTGCAGCTCCGCAACGAAACGAACGCGCGCGCGAGCTCTGCTAGAGGCTAGGGTGTAGGTGAGTCCGGATGCGGGCCGTGCCGAGAGGTGACCCGGCCGGACGAGCAGGGTCGGTCGAGATCGAGGCGTCGGTCGGCACGACGACAGTTGGCGTAAGAGAGTGACGAGGGTGCAGAGGTTGCGGTGGTCGAGAAGACGAGATCGGGGCGAGGACGGCAATGGTGGCGCGAAAGGTACAGTGGCGATGGTGGTGGAGGTGGTATGGAAGAGGTGCAGCTAGTCAAAGTGAGCATCGGCACAGGGGCAGCCAGCGGCAGAGAGGGCGAGGAATGGGGTCAGGCGGTCGTCGCCCGCTCGAGGCCACGGCAGGCAGGCCAATGCGCCAGCGCCGCCGACGCCGAAGACGCACGCACGCACGCACGTACGTGGCTTTGAAGGCCTTGCAGGTCCTCTGTTCTGTCGGCGACTGCCCCCCGCCTCTGAGCACCGGCAGCCTTTTTGCCCAGGCCACGGGGCCTCCACGAAAAACCAGGAGGGCTGCCCAGAGAGGCCCAACCCATGCCAGCCACCCACGCACGCGGGAACCCTCTGGTCGGCGGCTTAGGCGGCAGGCAAGCGCGCTGGCTCGACCGCAGGCCACCCACCAAGCTAAGCTTCGGCACCGGCACGCGGCCCGACGACGACGACGAAATGACGGCGTGCTGCCTGTCGGAGACAGGCCGGAGACGGCCCGACTCTTCTTGCCTCCACGGTACGGCTGGCGCCAGAACTTGCCAGGCGTTGTTGGCCCCCTGGTGACCAGCCAGCCAGCCTACAGCTGCGACAGCGCGCTCCAGTCCCGGAGGCACCTGCCGCCAAACGTCTCGTCTCGCCGCTATCGTATCGTGTGTGCGCCTGCGGCAGTCTTGTGTGTCGCTCAATCGGACAGCAGCGCAGGTCATCTCTGGCCAGCAGCAGCAGCAGCAACAGGCCACAGCCGCTCGAGCAGCACAGAAGAGGCTCGGAAGTCGGCCTGCGGGGACGAAAGTGCCGTGCCCATTCTTGCCCTTGCAGACCGAGCAAGACGGGGTGCAAGGATGCTACGATCATGATGGTGTGATGGTGTTGCGGGCAGGCGGAAGTGCAAGCGTCGGATCTCGGAGGCGAGCGAGGGTCGGTCAGATGCGCGTGATGGCGAAGCCAGCCAGGATGCCAGCCGCCAGGCTGGCCGCTTTCTTGCAGTATCCGGTGGACCGGACGCTCCATCCGCACGCTCCCCGCTCCCTAGCAGCCACGACAGGCAGGAAGAGCTACAGAGGAGGAGTTGCGATTGAGTCGAGCGGCCCTCCTTTGGCCCTCCTTTGTCCCACCTTTGGCCCAGCCGACTGGACTAGGTGGTTGGATATATAAGAGGCCATCGCCGTCGTCACTTCGTGGCCGGCGGATACCTTCCTCGTTCGCACCCTCTCCGAGGACCGCCACACATCTCGCCAGCCAGCATCATGTCATCGTCCGCCGACCGCGCCCGCAATCGCATCGAACTGCTGGTGCCCAACCTGACGCCCCACGGTGCCGTGGCGCCGCTGGGCCACGACGCCTGCCATGGTCCGATGACCTCGGAGCACATTGTCATCGTCCTCGGCGTCGGACCGGGGCTGGGGCTCAGCATCGCGCGCACATTCGCGTCGCGCGGCTACACGGTCGCCATCCTCTCTCGATCCAAGGCCCGCCTCGATGCGTGGGCCGCAGAGCTGGATCAGGCCTCGAAGCAGGTCGAAGCGTCGAGCGGGGGGGCGGCCGCCTTCGAGTGTGATGCCCTCGACCCGGTCAGCATCCGGACCGCCGTCGCAAACGTCCGCAGCCACTGGCCGGAGAGGAGGATTGGGACGGCAATCTACAACGCCAGCATTCGGGTGAGGAGCGGATTCATGGACCTCGACGGAGAGAAGGTCAAGCAGAGCGTCGATGGCAGCATGTGAGTTGGCTTGGCGCTGCTGGCTTGCTCGAGCATGGCTCGCCGCTGTCGATGTTTGGAACCGCTACCGCCCTGGCCTGGAGCTCACCTTGGTCCCGACTGCTTGCGTCTCCGCGAGGCCTGCCAGTACGGGAGGATTCGCATTCGCCCAAGCCGCCCTAGAGTCCATGCTCGAGCACGGCAGAGGTGGCTCCCTCATCTTCACCGGCGCCACCAGCTCGATCCGTGGTCGTGAGTGCCCGCGAGCGTCCCGCGCCGCTACTCGCCCGCGTTGTCGACCAGGACCGTCGCTGACCTCCATACGTCCCCTGTCGCCTGACCCGTGTCTCGACGGCCGCGAATCGACCAGGCGAGAACTTTGCCGCCTTCGCTGCAGCCAGTGAGTCGCCCTGGCTAGCCGCCGTCCTTGACCGAGTGCTGCGAGGACTGTCGTGGTGTTGACCGCTCGCCATGTCCCCTCTCGCTTCCCCTTTCGCCATCGACAGAGTCCGGACTGAGGGCCATGTGCCAGGTACGTAGCATCGACGCCGCAGCATCCTCGCACCACACGACGGAAGCTGATTACCCCTGGGCGCTCCGGGCTGCCCTCGCACGGCGCAGTCGATGGCCAAAGAGTTTGGGCCGCGCAACATCCACGTCGCCCACGTCATCGTCGATGGCCTCATCGAGTCGCAGCAGGCCCTCGACTTCTTCGGCATGCCAAAGGGCAGCCGCTTCCCCGATGGAGGGGTGAGTCCGCCGCGCCCTCCGCTTCTTTCCGTGTCCTTGCCCTCTCGGCCATGCGAGGCTGACGGTGATGCACCACAACATACTACTCGCGCGTCGGCTGGCCCCACGCGTGTGTGACTGCTCAGGTCCTCTACCCGCCGCAGATGGCCAAGACCTGGCTCTTCCTTGCGCAGCAGCATCCCGGCAGCTGGACGCACGAGCTCGACCTCCGCCCGGCCAAAGAGCACTTCTAACCTCGCATGTGCATGGCCATGCAGAACGTCATGATCGGGCCCGTTCTATCCTCGTATCTTTCAGACGCAATGTGTGTTTAGGTGTTTTTTAGAGCGGTGCCTCACGAGAGGCCCCGCAATCGAGGGTGTGTGATTGGCTTTAGGTAGGTGTGGGTTAGGGCAATTGTGTTGTTACATTGGAGGCAGAGGGGAGCTCCTGGATGACGAGGTCGACCGCTACCGTCGGCAAGACTGTCGAGTGGAAGAGGGAAGCAAGCAGCGATGGTCGTGACGGTTAAGCAAGCTGAGCACGAAGCGCCTCGACGATGAGGAAGGAGAGGACCGGTGGCATCGATGTGACACTTACCGAAGGCGAGACGAGTCCAGTCAAGACCAGCAGGCGGCACTCGGATCCTCGTAACCGGCTCGACCGCGGCTCCTCGAGGTCCCCGCGCTTCCGGCACCATCACGATCCTTTACTCCCGGAACCAGCGGCCACAGGACAGTGGCTTGATGTCGAGAGCGTCGGACCTAGACGGCGACATCGGCAGGAGAGGCCATCGTGGAGACCGTGGCTTGGAGGGCGAGTCGATTACTTGGATCGGGCACGCATCTTTCTGCGCTTCCTACGAAGACGGCGCATACGCTTCTTTCTCCACTTGGCTCGCATCTTGGCAACTCTGCGGAGGTCGCCAGTGGGGAGCGGAGGCAGGGTGGGCGTACAAGGTGAGCTTCAGGTGTTCCGGGGACGGTGCTGGACTGCCGAGCTGCGCAGAGGCACATCCGAGGCAAGGCTGGCGGAGGCCCGGCTGAGCGCCTCGAGGCCCGCTGGCGAGCAGGAATGTCGGTGATGCCGCCCGTAGAGCCGTGTCGATGTCGCTTGGCCTTTCGCAAAGCCGCTGGCGATGTCGAAGAACCCGGCGAAGACGACGGCAACGACGACCAAGCCGAAGGGATACTCACGATGTCGACTAAAACGAGAGCTGTTGGTGGGGGAAAGGAGAGTGGAGTTGACTCGCACTCGGCGCGCACTTTGTACTCTGACCGGCCGTCAGCTTGGCCTGGGCCCGCCCGACCCGCTGGCCTGGCTGGGCTTGGTCTGGCCTGGGCGAGCGACCGCCTGACCAACCACCTGACCGCCTTGGCCCATGCAACGCTGCGGCTGGGTCGCCCGCCTCTTGATTTTCGCCTGTGCTCACGCTCGCCCGTCGCCCATGCCCCTCCACTTGGCGTGGCCCTGCAAAAAGGCCAGCGGTTTATGCTGCGGCGTTGCCAGCCTCGGCCGAGGTTCTCGATCGGGCGGCGTAAGTACGCATGCGGGCACCAGGGCCCGATGAAGCCCGACTGCCGATTTTAGATAGATGTGCCGTTCGGATCCGACTCTGTCGAACTCCGCCTCTCGCTCTGCCTGCCCGAGCCCACCAAGCGCCTTTCGCGGGCTGGGTCTAGCGCTTCCAGACCCCTCTCCAACGAGCACATGCAATGGATAGACTCGGTCTTGGCGGGATAGGGCGGGCGCACACCGACTTCGGTGGATGCGCAGAAGCAACGATGGCAGCAAAATGGTTGCGGCTGGCGATCGTGCACAGGCTGGCCAGGGAAGAAAGCCGCGTCCGCACGATGCGCCATGGACCGATGGCGAAACGAGATAAAAGGGGCAGAAATCGATGCGAAAAGACCGAGGGTCGCTGGCCGACTCAGCACAGCAACGGATGCACGAGATGCGGAGATGGGAGGCGCTTGGTAGCTGTACATGAGACGACGTCCGTTGCACCTCGGACTTGTACATCCCGCCATGGCTTCGGGGAGTCGGCAGTCGGGTGTGTCGAGTTGACGCTGGGAATTGAGGTGCGAAGGGCAACAGCGCGCCGCCACGAGCCCCAATAACCGTGACTGAGCACTGCGAGGCGAGCGGGCGTCGATGCGGCGGGACAGGCTCAGCTTCGAGCTGCTCAACGCGGTACTTATCCTGCAGGCGCTGCGCGCGCACGGACGAAGATACGATGGCATGCATGCTGTGGGCTCGCCGTCCCTTCTCGGGGGCAGATGTTAGCGCCCCCAACCTCGAAGGCGACGGGGCTAGACGGCCAAGGGGCCCGTCTGGTGGGGGTGATAGTACAAGAAGGCTTTCAAGAGAGTCGCTCGCCCGATCCTTCGCCTCGGCGGGCTGCCGCGCGCAGCGAGGTGCATCGACCGCACCGACGAGTTTAGTCGCTGGTGATGAGCTCAGATACGGTCCAGTCCTCGTAGGTACCATCCGGCAGGTATCTTCGGACCACGAGCGGGATCTTCTTTGCCGCAAGCTCCTTCATGGCGATCTCGAGCGGATCAGTCTCGCCCTCTGTCGGCACAAGCACCGGCGCGTTCATGCTGTCGCGGCGTCGCGGGAAGGCGACGGGGAGGGAGAAGGACGTCAGCCAAAGGTTCCCAACGACACGGCAGGACGCGTCGGGCCGTGGATCACCGGGCGGCCTCAGACGCAGGCACAGACCCAGCAGTGCCGTATCTCGCAGTGCAAGATCCAACAACAGGCGGACTAGCGACGCTCGCGCGGCGCCTGGGCTTCTCACCTGATCTGCAGGGCTCTTGTGCCGAGGATGCGTGCACGCTCGTACTTGGTCATGTATGGCGTGGTGATGCGTTCGGCGTTTGGCTGGCCCGCCACTGCGCCGTTGGGGTCACCTCCTGCGCTCGAGTGGACGATGCCGTTTGCGTCGTCGGCGGCCGGGTCGTCGACCTGGTCGTCGGCCAAGTCATCCGCGTCAAACTGCTCGTCGTTGTCGTCGTAGAAGCTGGCAGGCGATCGGCGGCAGCGAGCCGATGCAGTCGGATGGAGGCGAAGGACGACCGAGGGTCAGAACACACGAAAGACATAGGCGCACTCGAGCAGATGGGGGCGGAGAGCCGACTCACGTCTCTTCGCCTGCGTCTTCTCGGTCGGACATGGTGCTGTGCTGTGGTGTGCTGTGCCGCGGTGAAAGCGGTCGAGAGTGCCCTGAGCGTGTGTATCGAGACCAACGGAAGGAAGCAGGCTGGAACTGTGGGCGTGTTTGTGTGACTGTCCTGTGGGTCGAGCAGGGCAAGGGCTGGGCTGGCTGGTTGGCAGTAGAGTGACGACGATGCGAAGGGGTTGAAGGCGGAGAGGGAGGGTCTAGCAGGCTGGGGATGGCAGCTGCGACCGACGAGGGCGTGGCCAAGTTTGGGAAAAAGTGGAGCGAGCCAGGCCCGAGTCCCGGAAATCTGGAAATCGGGGCCTCGGAGCGTGGCAGCTGCCGGGTCCCCGATTCGGGTACCCCGGCCTGCGTGCGCGCGGGCCAGGCTATATAGGCCTCGCCTGCCTCTTGCCGAGCGTGCATGCAGGCGGGAGGCGCCGAGGGCGGGGTCGCCCTGCCTAGGCCAAGAGGCAGAGCCGGTCGAGGCCAGGGTACGGTGTTGGGCTGGGCTGCTCTGCTCTGTGGCCCCACTCTCGCCGGCGTTCACTCTGCCGGCCATCCTCCGGAGCTCGCGACGGGTTTGACCCTCCTGGCATCGAGCAGGCCCACAGCGCACAAGCGCGCGCCCTCGACTGCGCAGTCGACAACCAAGGCCATCTCGACCACAGCTGGCTCACCGCGGCACCCATGCCAATAAGAATCTCTAATCTCAATCGCTCTACCTGGCTCAACGAGCGCTCTCCAGCACGTCGTGCTGTCCGAGGCGTGGAGCCAAGGGTGGCCAGGATGTCGCAGCCACCGCCCGGCTCATTGTGCGGGGTTGCTGGACGCCAAGCCACGCTAGCTGCTGCCCAATAGACTCCGCGAGCCCGTCGAGAAACGGCCAACAGATTGGCAGGCGTGGGCCGAAGGGGAAGGCCTTTGCGTGCGCTGCTGCACCACCAACCACCATCACCACCCTGCCCCCCTCATCCGCCTCCCCCTCTCCACACACTCGCTTTCTCGGCCCGTCCCTCTCCTCCCCCTCCTCTCCCTGCGGCCCTGACCCACACCCCTTGGCGTCGGACCGTCCTGGAGACGGCTCAGACGACCTAGCTGCTCATCTCTCTCCATCCTGCTGCAAGAGTGCTCCCTTCCCAGATTGATCCGGACCGGCCTTTCGCCGCATGGCCCGCCATGGACTACTACAACAACAGCGGCTACGACAACGATCAGCAGCGGTACGGCGACCACCGCTCTGACCGGCCTCACCACGACCATCAGCAGCAGCAGCAGCAGCAGCATTACCACCATCGGAACCAGGAACAGCACGGCGACTCGAACTACCACGACCCCCACGCTGGGTCACAGTACCAGCACGATGCATACGGCCGGCAGCAGCAGCAGTACTCCAACGAAGAGCCAGCGTTCCATGCTGTGCCCGTCAAGCCGCGACGGTAAGCATCGCTAGCGTCCCAGCGAGGGTGCAAGCGGCCTCGCATGGATCGCCCTGGCAAATGACACGCCCCAAGATCCACCTACTCACATGTATTCGTGCCTGTGCTTCACCCTGGCCCACTCTTCATTGTCCGCCTTACCCCCTGCGGCGCCTTGTCGTGGTCGCGCTACGACACGCCTAGGCAACCCTCGCAATTGGTATCGGCGCACGGCCCCTCGCGGCCGCCAGCGGAAGCGGGCTCCTTTGGTCCTGCGCCCGTTCCACCTGTGCCCACCAACTTGGCCGCTGTGCGGTCTCGTTCAGCCGGTGGTCACAGCATGTACCCCTCCTCCTCCCGCCAACACCATCAGCACCAATCGCAGACGGATCGCGAAGACGCTCAGCTCCACGCGACACCTCCGCACACACAGCTCCACCGTGACGAACACGTCGTCTCGCCCGAACCTTACCCTCCGCAACGGCCAGCGCAGCCCTGGACCGGCGTAGCTGGCCACTGGGATCCTTCGGGTGCTGCCTACGAGCCCCATCAGGCTGCGCCGACGCCCCTCTACGACCCTGTCCCGGGCCCGGGCATCACGCTTCCCGGTCACTTCAAGGCCGATTCCGTCTCGACCAGCGTCGATCTTGGCAACGGCATGCGCGACGCAGACTCCCTTCGGCATCGGCAGGACATGAATCGCCTCGGAGGCGGCTCCTACCCCTACCAGGGCTACGGGACGCCCATGAGCTACGGCCACTCGCAGGGCTCAGCTCGCAGCCTCGGCGCCGAGGACGAGAAGAGCGTCTACTCCAAGGCCAGCGTGCCTGCTTCGCTCGGTTACGGCGACCACTCGACCGTCAATCTCGCGCAGCCCAGCCTGCCCCCGCCCACGTCCTTTTCCTCTGGCTACGGTCCAGGCTACACCGCGCACGGCGGGCCCCATGGCGACGTTTCCAGTGATCCCTACCAGACTTCCGGCGGCTTGGGCCAGCCTGGCTTCGTCATCGCCGCCGCGCCGAGGCAGAACTTCCAGACGAGGGACCCGTCTGCGTGGGCGCAGAACCGCGACAAGATCATGCGGAAGCGCACCGTCAAGCGCGTCGAGCTCCAGGACGGCAACCTGGTCATCGACGTCCCCGTCGCGCCGTCCATCAGCCAGCAGTCGGGCTCGGACAATCCCGAGTTCTCGCAGATGCGCTACCAGGCGGTGACGTGCGACCCCGACGACTTTGTGGCGCAGCGATACACGCTTCGGCCCTGGCTGTACGGGCGCAAGTGCGAGCTGGCCGTGGTGATGACGTCGTACAACGAGGACGACGTGCTGTTCGCGCGCACCATGGGCGGCGTCATCAAGAACATCGCCCACCTGTGCCAGCGCAACAAGTCCAAGGTGTGGGGTGCCGATGCCTGGAAAAAGGTCGTCGTTGTCATCGTTGCCGACGGCCGCAAGAAGGCCAACGACCGGATGCTCAAGGCGCTGGGCCTGATGGGTTGCTTCAACGAGGCCGTCATGAAGGACCACGTGCTCAAGAAGCCGACCCAGGCGCACGTATTCGAGTACACGACGCGCGTCCAGGTGACGGACAAAGGCGAGGTGCGGGTGGCGCCGTGCCCGATCCAGGTCGTCTTCTGCCTCAAGGAGGAGAACAAGAAGAAGCTCAACTCGCACCGCTGGTTCTTCAACAGCTTCTGCAGGCTGCTGCAGCCCAATGTCTGCGTGCTCCTCGATGTCGGCACCAAGCCGACGGGCACCTCGATCTACGAGCTGTGGAAGAGCTTCGACAAGCACGAGCACGTCGGCGGGGCGTGCGGAGAGATCTGCGTCGACACGGGCCGAGGATGCTGGAACCTCGTCAACCCACTCGTCGCCAGCCAGAACTTTGAGTACAAGCTGTCCAACGTGCTCGACAAGCCCCTCGAGTCGGTGTTCGGCTTCATCTCGGTCCTGCCCGGCGCCTTCTCCGCCTACCGCTACAAGGCGCTGCTCGGCCGTCCGCTCGAGACGTACTTCAAGGGCGAGCAGCTGCACGGCGCCGGCGCCGACAGTGGCGTCTTTACGAGCAACATGTTCCTCGCCGAAGATCGGATCCTGTGAGTCTAGGTAGCCCGGCCCGGCCCGGTCCGTTCGGGCGTTGACGACGAGCTTTCGCTGACACCCCCTTTCCCCGTGGGCCTTGCCGCTTTCGCGCACAGCTGTTTCGAGCTGGTGACCAAGCAGCGCGAGGCGTGGCTGCTGCGCTACGTCAAGTCGGCCAAGGCGTTCACCGACGTTCCGGACCGCGTGCCCGAGCTCATCTCGCAGCGCCGGCGGTGGCTCAACGGCTCGCTCTTTGCGTCGTACTACGCGGCGTGGCACTGGTACCGCATCTACACGTCCGGACAGAGCTTCGGGCGGAAGCTGTGGCTCACGGTGCAGACCGTCTACAACATGGTGCAGCTCGTCTTCAGCTGGTTCGCCATCGCCAACTTTTTCCTCGCCTTCTACTTTCTCCTCTCGTCGGCCACGAGCACCGAGGGCAAGGACCCGTTCTACGGCCAGGGCAAGGCGGTGACCGAGATCTTCACCAACGTGTTTATCGCCATGATCCTCGTGGTGCTCGTCTGCTCGCTGGGCAACCGGCCGCAGGGCTCCAACTTTGCCTACACGTCGGCGATCCTCATGTTTGGCGTCATCATGGGGCTCGCGCTCTACTGCGCCGGCTACACGACCTACCTCGCGCTCGACTCGGCCGGGCTGACGGCGTCGGCGGGCTGGAACTGGGACCACATCAAGGTGCTGCTGACCACGCCGGGCTTCCGCGACATTGTCATTGCGCTGGCCGCCACCTACGTCCTCTACCTCGTCACGTCGATCGCGCACCTGGAGCCGTGGCACATGGTGACGTCGTTTGCCCAGTACATGTTCCTGATGCCCACGTACACCATCATCTTTGCCATCTACTCGATGTGCAACACCAACGACCTGTCGTGGGGCACCAAGGCGCAGACGGGACCGGCGACGGACCTCGGGTCGGCGACGTCGGCCAAGACGGACGGCAAGGAGGTGGTCGAGGTCAAGGTGACGGCGACGTCGCAAGACGCCGAGGACCTGTGGCGCCTCTACCGCGAGACGCTGAGCGTGCCGCTCAAGGAGGTGCACCAGAAGCGCGACAAGGCGACCAAGTGGGAGGACCACGCGCGCAACTTCCGCACCAACATGGTGCTGCTCTGGATGGCCACCAACACGGTCGTCATCCTCGTCTTTACCAGCTCCTGGTGGAACGCCTACGTCCAGAGGCACCTCGGCGGCCGCGGCAAGCAGCCCGTCGTCAACCCGTACCAGAGCGTCATTTTCTGGAGCACCGCCGGCCTGGCCGCCTTCCGCGCCTTTGGCAGCTTCTTCTACCTCTTCCTCCGACTGTTTGGCCACTGAGCTGGCCGCCGCGCGGAGCTGGCTCCGCCTCGGCCAGGGGCTGTGCGCTGCGATGCTCCCACATCCACTCGCCGGTCGAGCACATTGCGATTCCCTGCTTGTCTATTCCTCTCTGTGCTTCTGTCACGCTACCGGGCTGCCTCGCCTCGCCGCCGTCACTCTCTTGCTTTCGTACAGCCTCGGACCTCGCCAACTCCCCTCGTTTGCTCGCCGGCGTGCTGCAGTAATACTATATCGAGATACCCATGTCCCTGGCGGTACCGCGCCCATCTGGCGTCGACAAGTGCGCACGCACGACTGAGCGGCACTCGACTAGTTCTGGCTGTTTTGTGAGAGAGAGAGGCTGCGAAGCTCGCATCGGGTTGTCGTTCGACGGCGCGGAACGAGTGGGTGCGATGCAAGAGGGTCGGAAGCGGGGGGCGCGTTGGGCAACGGGACGGACGGGTTGCGTTGCATCGGATCAGATCAGCTGACGGGGACCAGCTGACGACGAGGCGCGTGTCAGATGCGCTGTCTGCCAGCAATCGCCGTTCCGTGGTCGCCGTTCCGTGGTCGAGAGCGATATCACTGCCAAGCAATCAGAAGCAGGAGCAGAAGTCGAGACCCGAGATGATAGAAGGGCGATGGGCCATTCCGCTTCGACGAGACGAGGCGCGAGGGCTGCATCGAAGGCACGCCTTCGATGCCACATGCTCCCTGGATCACCACCACTACTTTAGCTACTGATCAGCCCAGGCACGCGCACAAAGCGGCTTGGACAGCAAGGTGCGGCGCGGCTGGGGGGCTGGCCTGGCCTGGCCTGCCTGGCCTGACGGGGGCAGAGGACGAGCGAAGGCGGGCGTAGAAGTCGGTCGCATCGATCGCATCCCATGCCTTTCATGCGGCGTGCAAGAAGTCGTGAGGCAGACATGTCCATCCATTCTTGATTCTTTTGACAGCAGCCTACGGGACCTCTGCTACGGTAGACTCGCCATCCGACACGCTCACGCTCACGCTAGCGCACGCCTCTTCCCGCCTGTCGATGGCGTCGACAAGGACAGCTGCAAAAGGCCAACGAGCCGGTGAGTGTTTGCGCGCAACACAGAGCGCTCGCATGTCCTGGCCTGGCAGGCCCTGGCCGTGGGCCGGCAACGTAACGGGACGCGCACGACACGCGTCTGCCACGCGCGCTAACGTTAGCGCTCGGAGCTTGGCCCGCGCCAGCAGGCGAGCGGGCAAGAAGCAAAGCCGCACCGGGAGCAAGCCATGGTCAGGGTCCACCCATTCCGACCCGAAAGCCGAGGCCGCACTCGACCGTACCCGCCCGCTCGTCGGCCTGTCCCGCTTCGCCCTGCCCTGCCCTGCCCTGGCCCAGCAGGCTGGCACGCTGTCGGTCCAGATCCTTGGCAGCGTCGTTGTTCAAACGGCAGCTTGACCGATGGTGCTTTCTCGCAGGCCGGACGCGTTCGTGATCACGAGCGCACGTCGCAGGCCCATGTCGTGCCTCTGGACCGCCAGATCTCGAAGCGACGAGCTCGACGTGCAACAAGGCGGGCCCCCGTGAGTCCTCCAAGGGTGAGAGCCATCTCCGTGGCGTTCAGGCCCGCGAGGCTCAGCGATCCTAGGCTCGGCCTGTGTGAGGGGGTCATCCTGCGTTACGTCCTCTGTGTGCACATCTGCTCGGGCTGGAAACAACTCCGCCTGCACGGCGGCAGCAGCGCGCAGCATCGGCGTGCGACCACCTCGACAACGGCGGCGGGCGGCGGCGTAACGGCAGCTGGTCTTGGGGCAGATCAGATATAGAGCCTTTCAGCAGCAAGCTGCTGCCTGGTGCCTGGCATGGCTGGCAGACGACGCACCAAGGGGCGCCGACGCGATCAGATCAAAGGAGGGCGGCGTGACTTCGGGTTGGCGCCGATCAAATTCGGGTGAGCGCCAGAGTGACCGCCAACCGGGCGTACGGGCTGCCTTGCTTGCCCCTTTCATGCGTGCTCTCAGAGAGAAGAAAGCTGGCACGGGCGGCACAACGATCTCGATGAAGGCACGTCAGGGAGCCAAGCAGGTGACAAGGTACCTCTACCTGAGCGGTGGCTGGCAGGCAGGCAGAGCCTCCCCTCTCGATCTGCAGCGTCGGCAGCCACCCTGAAAACTAAGCAGCTGCGCGGCGCTCGCACGCAGAACAGTAGTAGTCAAGCAGCGAGAAAGCCAAGCAAGCAAAGCAAATCAAGCAAGCCGGTTCAGTACCTGTAGGCAGGCAGGCGGAAAGGGGCGATGCAGCATCGATACGATCCTGGTCTCGCTATCGGCATCGACGAGGAGGCTCGAGGACGATATGGACGCGCCGGGGGTTAAACCACAATGGGCCGCGTAGGAGCGGAAGCAGGCCGGCAGGCAGGCAGGCAGGCAGATGAGCGACGGAAGACGGACACCTAACTGCACTCTGGCCAGGCTGGGCGTGCGACAGCAGCGTAGGACCGGCCGCCTGAAAGAGTGCGTACGTAGGCTAAGCTCGACTCGGCGGCTGGGCGGCGTCGAGGGGTCGGCCAGGGTCCTCTTGCTCGGTCCCCGCCCCAGCGAGCCAGGCCAGGCAGGGCGCCGCCGAAAAAAAAAGAGCGAGGCAGGCAGAGGGATGCAGGCGCGGCTGCCGCGCTCGATTTTGGGGTGCTGATGCCGGTGTGCTCAAGCCCCCTCCCCCTTCTGGCTCTTGGTCCCCCTGCCGGCCTGTCGGTGGCCCCTCCCTCTCTCCCTCGCCTTTCCACCTGGTGTGTCCAATCGCCCCGGACGAGGAGCTGCCATCGCCGCCCTTTCATACTCGACTCTCCTGCCACCACCACAATCCGTCAGCCGCGCCGTGACTCCGTCTTCACGCCACGCCGCTGCTCACAGCACCTGCCGCGCACCCTCGACGTCTTTCCCGACACGTCCCGGCGAGACCAATTTCCGCACCACGACTTGCCGACTTCTGTCCCCCGCTACTCGCCAAATCGTCGATCCCAGTCCAGAGAACCATCTTCAGCAATCTCGACGAGCTTACCCGGCAAGCATCAGCACCTGCGATTGGAGCATCACGGCCCTCTCATCTTCGGCGACCGCTGCACGCCCACCAGCCGACAACGCGACGTTTCACCGCGCACACCAGTCGTTCGCCAGCTTGCCAGCTTGGGACAGCATTCGCTGTTCTGGCTGACCAGCTCCTCTGCAACCTGGGCCTGCAGCTGGTCTGCTAGTGCGCCCGCCTGTCCAGCCATCGCGTGGTGTTGGGCTCATCAGATTCCTGGTCCTTTACACCACTGGTCGGCTGAGCACCCTCCAATCGTTGACGAGCACTCAGCCTGACCTGCGTCGCGGCGCCCAACGGCCCATCAAAGCGTGGTCTAGCGTCAGAGACTGCCACTGCCATGGCGACCGACTACGAGCGCGGGACAGCGCCCGTCTCTTTGCGCTCGGATCTTTCGGGTGGCCTCCTCTCTCAGGGGGCCGAGCCCGAGGCTGCTGACGGCGCTGACGCCCACGCGGCATCCGCATCGCTGGACGAAGGGGCCACCTCATCGATCGAACCAGCGCCTACGGCCGAAGCGCTTCATCCGAATGGAGGCTCCACCCCATCCGGCTCGAGGCTGAGAGGGCCACGCCTCGCCTCACAGCCTCGCGGCCTTCATGAGCGTGCCCGCAACGCCAGCGGCGGCACCAGCATCCTCGATCGTGAGCACGGAGTCAATCCGATGATCAGCGCCCACCGCTCGCCGTACCCGTCCGCCTCGCCCTATTTCCTGACCGTCATACCTCCGCTGAAGTGAGTAGACCTCGTCCCGACCTGGCCGGCTGGCAGGACACCGCCGCGGTGCTGACAAACGCCTCCTTGCCGGCCCCGACCTCGTATCAAATAGCTTTCCGGTCGCATCCGGTTCCGACTCGAGCCAACTGGACCGACTACGCAGAGGTTCCCTACTGCCCCTCTATCCGACGCTTGGCGGCCAGCTGTGGGCAATCTCGCGCGAGTACGGGTTACCGTCGATCGGCGGTCTGCTCGTATACCTGGCCGAGGATGTCGAGGGCAATCTCGGACCTCAGATCGGCGACGCTGCCTGGACCGCCTTGTGGTCGCGCTACTTTGCCGACGACGACAGCGCCTTCTTCAGCTCGTTTGGCACGCCCAACAGCCGATCCCACAAGCGGGCCAACGATGCTTCCGACAGCGCTCTGGGATCCAACGAGTCCGACCTGTCTCGCTCCAGCGACCTCGAGCTACCGCGATCGCGCAACGCCCGCGACGGCAGCGCCAGCAACCGACCCTCGCCGCGCCTCAATACAAAGGCGCATCTGCGGAGAGACCCCGCAGCCATGGCGGCCGATTGGAGCCCGTCCACGCGCAGCATCGCATGGTCTGGCCGGGGCAGTTCTTTGGCCAACCGGACGAACGCCTCACTGTCCGTCGAGCGTATGGCCGCGCGCCTGCCGATCGTGGGCAAGATCGAATGGATCGTAGACGAAGGCAAGGCTTCCTGGTGGGATGCGTGGGCCGCCCGGAAAGCGGCGCAGTCGGAACCACCAGCAGCTCGCGCCGCCAGGAGGAGCATGCATCTTCAGAATATCAGCAAGCCCTCAGGAGCCTCCCGGACTCCCATCGGAGACCCAGCATTGTCGGAATCGACCGCGGCGGGGCCGTCCCCTCTTGAGAGCCACGCCAACTCCGCCACGTCGCCTCGACCATCTAGAACATCCCAGCCGCCCGCAAGCCACAGAGAAGCAGAGCCCATCGACCTCAGTCTTCTCGGTTCCGACGAGCCAGCTGAAACTTCGCAGCACTCTGCGAGGGAGAGGAGTGCGAGGGACACGCCGCCAAGGGATGCGGGCCCAACGATCCCATCCCCGTCATCCAACGGATTTCCGCGCGGTGACACGTCAGGTCCGGATGATGTTCTCGTCAAGCCTCGATCTGCATCTCGCCCGTCGCTGCCGTCTTCTGCCACGCAAGGCTATGTTGAGTCGAGCTCCGTACGGACAGGCAGCGCGAGTAGTAGCAGCGGCAGCCCGAGTAGTAGCAGCGGCAAGCCCGTGCGAAGCGACATCCGCCAGCTCACGCCGTCCGTCGGCCGCAAAAGCATGCACAGCCACGTGTCGGCTGGCGACGACAGCTATGCCGGCTACTCTGCGCTGCTGGAAGACGGTGACGTACACAACGAGGACGGCAGCGTACGAGCAAGCGACCAAGACCCGCAGGTGCATCCACGCTCGAGCCCGAGCGAACATTATTCACCGCTTGCCAGCGAAGGCGATGACGATTTCGATCGCGAGCGACACGACGATCGCAGCGGCAGCACAAGAGGTCAGGACGACGTCCCGACCTTTGATCCAAAAGTCAGCCTCTTGCCTGACGGCGTCGATGACGACGCATGGAGGGACCTTCGCCACAGCACTTTCGATGCGCAACGGCCGAGCGAGTCCAGCCTGCACGCGGCGACGCCGGTGCAGCGCTCCCCGTCGGAACGAGCAGTCGATGCCATCGCCGACCGGGAACATCACAACTTCCTACTGGCCACGCCCAACACCGTACGCCTGTCGCAGTCGGCGATCGACCGCCACGTCTCGATGTCGCCCCAGGTGGGCATGCAGGTCGACGACGTGCACAGGTGGATCGAGAAGACCTCGGGAAGCCCCAGGTCGCACGCGAATGGGGTCCCGATCGAGGGCGATGAGAACGTCCTTGCCCGCCTGCCAGAGCCAATAGCAGGACACGAGGCGAGCGCCGCCGCTGCCGTCGACGACGACTTTGAGCTACATGATGACGCATATCCGTCCGACGTCCGCGAGGTGGTAAGCCTATGGGCCAATGAGGTGGCTCGATCGTCCGAGCATCTGCCCCTGATCGACCCACCTTCCGAGTCGCATCCGGAATCGCATCCGGAGTCGCCCAAAGGCGCGGCCGACCACGACCTGAACAGGCCGGCAGAAACCGACGAGGAGCGACCTACGAGCGGCGAGGGCACCAATGGTCTCCAGGTGGCGTCCGCCAACCCGCCCGCCGTCGACGAGGGATCAAGACAAGCCCTACTCAGCCCGTTTGCACTGGACGAGGCCGCCTTTGCCGGTCCTCGACCGGATCTTGGCGATCTCGCCTCTTCTCCCGTGGCGACCGCGGAAGAGAGCCCCGAGCCGAGCCCTGCTGCTCACCAGGCGCCGGTTCTTAACATCCAACCTTCGCAATCTGCTGGCTCACTGGCTCGGGAAGGCGACGCCCAGGCCCTCGCTGACACGCAGGCAGCTCCAAGCACGCCTCTGGTCGGTGGGCGCCCACCGCCGCTCAGCATTGAAACTCAGATCCAGCGAGACGGACCGAGCGCCAGCCGCAGGAGCAGCGCCGACATCAGCGATTCGCTCGAAGACATGCAGAAGGCCTTGGAACTCCTCACGCCCGCTCACTCGCCCAACCCCGGCGCGTTCCCTTCGGGCAAGCGTGTACCGAGCCGGGACAGCTTCGCCTTCGCAAAGACGCTGTCGGCCTCGGTGACGCCGAGTCCGAGATGGCTGTCGCGGGCCAAGGCGCGACAAAGCCGCGCCGAGCCCCAGAGCTCGTACGTCTCGAGCGACAGCGCCTTTTTCCGCGGCCACGTCTCCCCGCGACCGGCCAGCGCGTCCGCAGCCATGATTGGCCCGCGGAGAAACGATTTGCAGGTTCCGATCAGCGCTTCGCGGCTCGCACAGTTCAACGAGGTGATACAGGCCGAGCAACGTTCTCCAGACCGGCAGTCGGCAGGCGCGCGAGCCTCGAGCACGATGCAGGCTCCGTCCGACGCCGAGCCTCTCAGTCCTCTCGGAAGACAGATTCTTCAACGTGACTCGAAGGGCACGCAATCCGCTCTGGAGGGCTCGCCAGATCACCGCCTCCCGTTGGAGCCGACGATGAAGCCCAGCACCTCGCCTGACCAGGACGGGCGTTCGGATGCATCGTCTCGCCGAGCGAGTCACGCCGCGCTCACGCATGCGGACACACGCTCACAGCCGACCCAGAATCAGAGCTCGCACGAGGATCGAGCAGAAGCGGGAACTTCGGCCACCGGGTGGCAGCAAGCACAGGGCGAGCCAGAAGAGGCGCAGCAAGACCAGCACGAGGCGTTGCAGCAGAGGTCTTTGGGCCACGACGAGGACCAGTCCGACGAAGGTGAAAGCTCGATCGTGGATCATGGGCGCAACGCGCAGAGATACTCGGGCCTCTCGTCAGCGATCTCGGCGCACGGCAACGACGTCGCCTCAATGCAGTCGAAGGATGACCTGGCTCCGGGTCGGCCAGAAAACGGTACTCGACCGGCGATGCTCGAGGACCACGACGAGCTCTTGGGCGCCCAGGGGACCGCAGATGCAGCCTCGGTCCCGGCGGCCGTGTCCGCCGCGACAAAGGCGATCGTGCCTGAGGCCGCCATTGTCGACACGCAGCCCCTCAACTTTGCCCGTCGCGCTCCGATGGTCACCCTGGGAGACGAAGCGACCGATGCGAGCAAGCGTCTGTCGGTCAGCTCAGAAGCAGCGGCGACGATCAGGCGATCACCGGCCAAGAAAGACCATCCCCTCTTTGGACCGAGCTCGCTGTCGATGTACACGCTCCGAGACTGCGACATCGAAGCGCTGTCCGGCGACCCCGAGCAGGGCATGGCGTCGATCGAGCGCTTCCTCCGCGGCAACTCCTTTGCCGAATCTTCGGCAATCCCTTCCGCGGACAACAGCCCTGGTCTTCTGCTCGAGGAGGGCGCCAAGCAGCTCGGCTCTGACGGGCCATTGGAGCCACAGTCGCTTCCGGTTTCACACGACGCGCAAGGGTCAGGCGATGACGAGGTCGCCGTGTCGAATTCGGACGCCGGCTTTGCCAAGGCCAAAGCCAATGGCGCCGCTGCATCGGAGAGGTGGAGCCAGGGCAGCCAGAGCCAGAGCAACTGGACCGGGCCTTCGCGCCAATCGCTCCTCTCGTCCTCCTACGACCACGACCGCGACCCAGAGACGCCTCTGTCTGGGCAAGGGCAGCTGATCAGCGCTGCGCAGCGCCACGCAGTTGACAAGGACGCCAACGTCAGTGACGCCATCCTCACGACGAGCCCGGAGGCAAGCGACCACCTCTTTGCGCCCAGGGTCGATCCTGACCACGGCCGCAGCGCCGATGGAGGGCCGCCAGCTTCGATCGCGGGAACCGCCCGGCTGGTCGCACATTCGAAGGACGGGGATCGACATGGGTCAGGCGACGGTGCTGATGGCACCCACTTCGGCACGACGGGGCTGGGCGACTGCAAGAACGAGGGGGCGCTCGACGACGACGAGATCCGTCAGATGACCGAGTCGACGCGGGCCGCAGTGCGCGAGGCACTTTCGTTCCGTTCGTCGCCCGATCCGATCTACCTGCCGCAGAGCCCCATCCTGCGAAGCCCGACGCAGAGGGCGGCCTCTGCGTCTCCCTCGTCGCCGATCTCGACGGGCTCGTTCACCAGCATGAGCCGGCGCAGGACGTCGAGCTCGAGCCTTTCTGGACGCAAGGCATCGGCCCCGCTCAGTCTGAGCCTCGACATTGACGGCGGCGGCACGGGCAAGACGCACGCGGCCGCCCGCAGGTCGGGATCACCCTCGCCCAACCAGCGCTTCCGCACGCTGCCCCCCTCTCCGCGCATGATCCCGAGCCAGTTTGGGCCGAGCAGCCCGCTCAGCGCGACGTTCCCGACGGCCGCGGGCGCAACCAACGCCCTGGGCAGCCCGACGTCGAAGCTGTCGCATTCGTCGCGCTTCGACGACCTCACGTCGCTCACATGATGCCCTCGTGCTCATCTGGTGCTCGTCGATCCCTCCCGCGTTCTTGACGAGGGACATCGCTCTCGACTGTTCCCCCCTTCGCTTCATCTAGCACATCGTCGGAATGCTCATCTGGTTTGGTTGGTCGTCATCGCCCTGACTCGGTGTCTGTGTCGCAGACGAGGAACCTGCCTGCCTGTTCCGGCCACGCACGGCCCGTTCTCACCTAGTGCGCAAAGACCGCGAGGGCATAACAAAGCTGTCCTGGCACATGTCAAGGTCTTGAAAGGGAAGAGGGGAAAATGATCGCCCAGCTTGCCCCGCAATCTTGATCTTGCAACAGCGCAAGACCACCTATGCTGATGCAGCACTGTTGCCTCAGCATAGCTCCTTTATTCTTCGCTCTGTCGAGGTGGCGCGGTGAGGACTGCCGGCTTGCTGCACGGACTGCTGCGGGCGGGCGGGCAAGAGAGAGGGTGTTGCCGAGTGGAGGAGCGTAGGGCCTGCGAGTCGGCGACTTCCTGGCTGCCTTTGCACCCAACCACCACCAACCTCCGTGGCCCTACCCACCGACGCTCCTCTCACAGCGCGAATCCTCTTCGATTCGGTTCGATAGCCCGGCAGTCCAGACTTTGTCGTAACGCACCACGACTCGCCTTGCCCAGCTCCATCGACCCTATCGCCCGCCGACGGCTACCCTTCGCTCCGCGCCGCCATGTCGCTGCTCCGACCATTCCGCGCGACGGATCTGTTCCGATTCAACAACGTCAACCTGGACAACTGGACCGAGACCTACTCTCTCAGCTTCTACCTCTCGTACCTGGCGCAGTGGCCAGACCTGTCGTTTATCCAGACGTCGCCCAACTCGGAGCGCGTCATGGGCTACGTCGTCGGTAAGGCCGAGGGCAACCCGCACTCGAAGCCGCCCACATTGCACGGACACGTCACCGCCATCACTGTCGCGCCCGAGTATCGCCGTCTCGGCCTGGCAAACGGCATGATGAACCTCCTCGAAGACGTCAGCGATCGTTCCTACCGCGCCTGGTTTGTCGATCTCTTCGTACGACCCAGCAATACCAATGCCGTACGCATGTACGAGGGCATGGGCTACGACGTCTTCCGAAAGGTCAAGGAGTATTACCACGGTGGAGGACCCGGAGGTCGAGACGAGGACGGCTACGGTGAGTCGCCCGTGGTGCTCGGATCGGCCCAGCTTCGATTCCGACCCAGCACAGGGGCCGGCTTCCCGCTCCAGAGCGCGGCTGGCTGACGAGTCCATCGACCCTGCCCTGCGGTCCGCCTCCCTCGCTCGACGACAGATATGCGCAAGGCACTGTCGCGAGACACCAAGAGGGTCACGGTGCGCAAGAACGGGCGCAACTTCACCGTCAACCCCGAGTGAGTATCACAAACCCGCTGCGACGGGCCAGGCCAGTCAAGCCGAGCCTCGTCCCGGTCGGACCAGACACAGCGGACAGAGAGGAGTACTGACCGACGACCACTCCGGCCCACCTGCCGCATCATCAGGTCCATATACTTCGAACCGGCTTACCGGCCCTGATGGCAATCCAGTCACCTGCGCATCACCAGACCACACGCCGTCTGCAAACCGTCCCGTCCATCTCTGCGTGCGGGCGCCGTCCCACATCTTGGCGGCGGGAGGCTCGTGCTGTCATTGCGGCTGTGGCGCCGCTCTAGGGGCGGGCAGCTGGTACTCTTTCTCGATGCCCAGCTTGCGGATCACCTTTGCGGGCATGCAGTAGGTCGGGTCGACGGGCTCGAGGCCGGGGAACCCAAGGAGCGAGAGGCCCGCGACGCCAAAGTTGGTGTGGAAGACGTCGGTGACGTTGTCGGGGCGGTCGGCGATGCCGCCATCGTCGGGATCCTGAGCGCCGTCGAGGCAGATGGTCGATGGCGATGGGATCACGGAAAGGGTGAGCTGCGTCGTCCATCAGGCCGCAGGAGAAGCGGGCAGGCGACTCACCTGAGCCGAGAGGATGAAGCGGGAGAGCTTTCCTGCATCGATCCAGTGCAGCCTGCCGATCATGCTCAGGGCGGACAGCACCCACCACGAGTAGCAGACCTAGACGGGGGGGGGCAGTCGACGGGTTGGGCGGGGCGCAGAGGTCAGCGGCTGCCTAGCTGGCGGTTCGCCAAGGGCGCGGGAGGGGGCGCTGGAAACTCACGTCTTCGAGCTTCTGCGGTCTGCCATTGAGGCCGCCGTTCGGGAGCTGCCGTTCGGAAAGCCACCAGCCGACCTTGTCGCGGTCGATGTGGTGTAGGGCGTCGAGGATCGAGAGGGCGGCGATGCAGACAAAGACTGGCGAGGAGCAGGGTTGCGGACGGCGAGAGTAGGTTCAGAGGGTCGTCAGGATGAGGCCGATCGGGCATGCCCTGGGGCACCTCCCCGTCGTGCCTAGTTGGACAGAGAAAGCGCTGTTACTTTACCTTGACCGGAGTGGCTCTCTGCGCCTTGGCAGAGGCCGAAGCCGCCGTCGTAGTTGTGGCAGCGCAGGATGTGGTTGATGGCGGCGGTGCGGTTGAAGCGTCCGAGTGCGCCGAGGTGGGCGAGGGCCGATACGGCGCAGTAGAGGAAGCGGGTGTCGGTCTCGCCCCACTTGTCGCCCTGTACCGAGCCGTCTGGAAGCTGGAGGCCGACAATGACTGACGGGTGCGGCGGCGAGGCCCGAAAAGGGTTGGGAATGGCAGGCAATGTCAGCCGTACAAGTGCGCGGGCGGGCGGACGGGCAGGCAGGCAGGCAGGCAAGCGGTTGGTGCTGGTCCGGGAGCTTTGTGCGTACACTGGATGAGCCTTTTCCTCTTTCCGTCCTGTTCGAGCAGTGGAAGTGCGTCCTTGATTGCGAGGATCTGTATTGCCGAGAGGGTGCTGAGGATGTGCGGGTCGTGACCGGGATGGGAGCCGAAGCCGCCGGTGCGCTGGTCCCAGCAGCTGAGGACGTAGTCGATGAGGGCCTGGGCGTCGAGCGCGTCTGGCCTGCCCATGATTTCGAGTGCGACGAGACCCCAATATACGCCGTTTGTGCGGAGGTGCGTTGTGAGGTGGTAGGCGAGCGAGTCGCGCTTGCGGTCGAGCGCCTGGATGAAGGCAACGTGCAGGTCTACCAACAGGCCGTGCTCGTCTTCGGTGTGTGCCGTCTGCTGCATGGCTGATGGTGAAAGTGCCATGTTGATTGTGATGAGGTGGCGTCGGTGACGCGGGCCGTAGGACCCGGAGAAAGAGAGCGAGGGCGAGGCGGTGGTGGTGGTGGTAGCAGTCAGGCTGGCGGCGACCAGAGAAGAAGGCCGGCCAGCAGCTTTCTCCACATTGGATTCAGGTCGACGCTGCGGGTGATTCTGATTTTTCGACGTGAGCCCGGCAGCGCTCAGCAAATGTACACTTTTTGTTGGGTGGGGGGGGGGGGCGTGCCTGTGTTGCTCTGCATCCAGGGTCCTGGCCTGGTAGTGCGCTCCGGGCGCCCTTTTCTGGCGTGGCCTGGCGGGCTCGGACCAGGCGTCGACGCCTGAGGATTGACCTTCTCAATGACCAGACTCGCCACCCACTTCACCTTCATCTCTGCCTCGTCCTATCGCCACCCCGACGTCTTTCCCTCCTCTCACCACCCGCAATACAGCGCCTGAACTGGGCGCACCAGCACAACTGCGCCACCCACCATGGCCCCACCACCTCCTCCTAACTCGTCTGGGGCTCAAGCCACCATCAGCTCCTTTTTCAAACCAAAACCCTCCACGTCAAAGGCAACCCCTCCCTCGGCACCATCCACGTCAGCGTCGTCGGCGCCGTCGTCGTCGTCGTCCAGAATCAGGCTCGCAGATAAGAATGACCTCTCACAGCGCCCTGCAAAGCTACCCCGCACCGTTGCCCCTCCAACCTCGGCACATCCGCCGCCACCTCCTCCGTCCAACAGGATGGACCAGTGGCGCTTCCTCCCCTCCCAGCCATCCCAGCCTCAACCTGCGAGTCCAAGCACTGAGTCATCACCCACCCAGGATCTAGCCCGAGGCGGTCGCCGCAACAACGACAAGGGCACTCGCGCAGCGTTCAGATCCAGGCTCCTCGCCGACGACCGCCTCTTTGCGCCCAGGAACCCTCCTTCGCCAGACGAGTCTCTCGAGACGTCGGCTCCCTCCCCGTCAGACTCTGCGGATCCCGAGACCGGTCATGACCCATCCGCTGATGACGACGTCGAAAACCGCTTCGCTGGCTTCAGCGCAACCTCCGCAGCTCAGTCCAGCGCACCCGCGTCCACGGCTCGGACCCCAACATCCACAAAGCCAGCCAGCACTCGAAAGCAGAAGGCCGCCGCAGGAGCCGCACCGGCCGCTCGTGACACCGCCACAAAGTACACGCCCCTCGAGAAGCAGATCCTCGACCTCAAGGACCAGCATCCCGGCATCCTCCTCATCATCGAGGTCGGCTACAAGCTCAAGTTCTACGGCGACGACGCCCGCATCGCAAGCAGGGAGCTCAACATCATGTGCTTCCCCGAAAAGAACCTCATGACGGCCATGATCCCCGTGCACCGCCTGCACATCCACGTCAAGAAGCTCATTGCCGCCGGCCACAAGGTCGGCGTCGTCCGCCAGGTCGAGACGCGCGCCCTCAAGGCGGCTTCCACAAACGCCAACACCCCCTTTACCCGCAAGCTCACCGCGCTCTACACGGCCAGCACCTGGATCGACGACCTCTCGTACAACGACGCCGCATCGTCAGAGGCCCTCGACCTCGGCGTCGCAAGGCCAAAGGCGCTCATGGCTATCGTCGAGAAGCTCGAGGGCGGCAACGGCCCCGAGGACCGGGTATCGTGCGGTGTCGTCGCCGTCGAGGTCTCGACGGGATCCATCATCTTCGACCAGTTCAGCGACGGCCATGCCAGGAGCGAGCTCGAGACCAGGCTTGCTCACCTCCAGCCTGCCGAGCTGCTGCTGTCCCCCAAGCTCAGCCGCCCCACGGAGAAGATGCTCGGCTACCTCGCAGGAGACGACTCCGTGCAGAAGATCCGCATCGAGCGCATGGGCGAGCTACTCGAGTACAACGACGCCTTCCAGCGCGTCACCCGCTTCTACAACGGGACGGGGGAGGCGTCGAGCCCAGAAGCAGCGTCCGAGAGTGCGCTGCAGGGACCCTCGGCCTTCGAGGATGCGCCCGACAGCGGCAAGCTTCTCAGCCTCGCCGTTTCTTTGCCGCACCTCGCGCTCGTGGCGCTTGCGTCGATGATCAAGCATCTCGAGGAGTTTGGCCTCGAGTCCATCTGCCGCCTCGCGACCAACTTCCAGTCGTTCACCAACCGCACCACGATGATGCTCAACGGCAACACGCTGGCCAACCTCGAGATCTTCCGCAACTCGACCGACGGCGTGCGAGAAAAGGGCTCGCTGATCTGGATCCTCGATCGATGCAAGACCATGATGGGCAAACGCCTGCTGCGCAAGTGGACGGCCAGGCCTCTGACCGACCGGTCGGTGCTGACGACGCGCATCGACGCCGTCCAGGCCATCGCCGAGGGCGGGAGCGCCATCGTGCGTGGCCTGCCGTCGCTCCTGCAGGGCCTCCCCGACCTCGAAAAGGGCCTGGCGAGGATGACGTACGGCCGCAGCACGCCGACCGAGCTCGCCACCATACTCCTGTCGATGAACCGCATCACGCAGGAGTACGCGCTCGTCGACGACCCGGCGGAGCTCAAGCTGGGCTCGGACCTCCTCAACAATGCCGTCGCCGACCTGCCGCGCGGCAAGGCGCCCGTGCAAAAGTATCTGCAACAGATCAGCATTAAAGAGGCGCGCGCCAACAACAAGGCCGACCTCTTCCTGGACCCGGAGCGGTGTCCGAAGCTGCAGCAGGCCAAGGACAACATCGCCATCGTCGAGCACGACCTGCGCGAGCACCTCAAGGAGCTGCGCAAGTACCTGAAGCGACCCTCGCTCGAGTACGCCACTGTGGCTGGGATCGAGTACCTGGTCGAGGTGCGCACGAACGACGCGAAAAAGGTGCCCGCCGACTGGCTGCGCATCTCGGCCACCAAGGCCATGGTGCGCTTCCACACGCCGACGATCATCGCGCTGACCAAGAAACGCGACCAGCACAAGGAGACGCTGCAGGCCGAGGCCGAGGCGGCCTACCACGAGCTCGTCAGGACGATCTGCAGCGAGCACTACGTCGAGCTGCGCAACGTGGTGGTGGCCCTCGCCACCCTCGACGCCCTCGTTTCACTGGCGGCCGTGGCGGCGCTCCCCGGCTACTGCCGGCCCGAGCTCGACGATGGCGTGGCGGACGGCTGCAGGATCGAGATCAAGGGGATGCGACACCCGATGATCGAGGCGCTCCGCGAAGAGCCCTACGTGCCCAACGACATCTTGCTCGGCCCCGGGGAGGACAGCACCAAGGCGATCCTGCTGACGGGGTCCAACATGGGCGGCAAGTCGAGCGTGGTGCGCGCGTTGGCGCTCAACGTCATCATGACCCAGATTGGCTCTTACATCCCGGCCTCGTCTGCGCGGATCAGCATGCACGACTCGGTGTTCACGCGCATGGGCGCCTCGGATGACCTGGCCAAGGGACGATCGACGTTTATGCTCGAGCTGCTCGAGACGAGCACGATCCTGCGCGCCGCGACGGCGCGGTCGCTCGTCATCCTCGACGAGCTGGGGCGGGGCACGTCGACGACCGACGGGCTGGCCATCGCGCACGCGGTGCTCGAGCACTTCCTCGCGCTCGAGGCGCGCGCGCCCAACCTCGTCTTTGTCACGCACTACTTCCAGCTGGGCTCTTCGGCGCGGCGCGGGCTGCGGAACCTGCACATGTCCTTCATCGAGGACGATGCTACCGAGGCAGAGACGGGACACCGCGAGATCCGGTTCCTGTACACGCTTCGGGCGGGTATGGCCAGTCGGTCGTTTGGCGTGCACTGCGCGAGGCTCGCCGGCCTACCTGCCGAGCTGCTCGATACGGCCCAGCGCATCTCGGAGCGGCGTGAGAGCGAGGAAGACGAGAGGGTCACGAGGAAGAGGCGCAGGGATGCCATCGCCCTCGTTGGGCTGTGGAGGGGCGACGGCATCACAGCCAAGGAGTTGGAGACCGTCGACCGCGCGGTACAGAGGTGGACGTCCTGAACGACATCGCATCGGCTCGTGTCAGTAGTACCTGTTCGCCATCATCTCGGTCTAATGCTAATTCACACACAAGTCAGACGTCACACGGGAGAGGCTGGAGAAAATGATGATATTGCAATAACGGAGAGGGCAGTCTTCCCTCCCCGTGAGACGGAGAGAGGCGGGAGCGGGGGCAAGAGGCATCCCACCCCGTCCGAGGAGATCCTCGGACGGAGAGGGGCGGGGAAGGGAAAGGGGAAGGGAGAGAGCCGAGAAGAGGTCTTCCCTCCCCGCGAAGGGGGAGAGGCGGGAGCTGGGAGCTAGTGGCATCCCTCCCCGTTCGAGGACGGGGAGAGGCGGAGGGATTATTTTCGCAAACACGTTACCGTGCCGCCTTGCCAGAGTACTTTAGGCGTACCGGCACGACCCTTCCATGCTAGCGAGCATGGATGAGAGGGTGAGGGAAAGAAGATGGGGAAGGGGGGGGGGCGAGGGAAGGCCCCTTCTTATCCCTTTCAGATCTGGCCTTCCGACGCCAACTGAGGCCAGCCGGCTTCCACGTTTCGGGTCGCTGACCCGAAAAAAAACCACGGGAGACAGACCCTGATCTGCCGAAAATTACGGGAGACGGTCGCTGATCTAAAAGATCACGAAGACGCGTCCTGAAAACCATGGGAGACGGGCTCTGATCCACCTGAAAAATTACGGGAGACGGGCTCTGATCTTTTGGATCACGAAGACGCGTGCCGGAAACCACGGGAGACAAGAGCAGATGCATGGCTGGAAACCACGAAGTCTCCCCTGACCACCACCAGGTGCCACCAAGAAAGGCCTGCAGGGTGCACGCGCGCTCGTCGCGCTTCCCCTCCCCCAAACCCCACCACCCACCACGCGCCCGCCTGCCCACCTGCTTGCCTACCCACCTGCTTGCCTACCCACCGCATCGCCTGTCCGTCTGCCTTTCCGCCTGCCTGCCGCCCGTTGCCAATCGCCTTGTCGTAGCCACCGTGCCCACCCGGTGCGTGCCCAGACTGCTGCTCGCGCCGCCGCCGTTGCCCGCAGCCCGAAGACGTCGCCCGTGCTCTGCCTGATGAGTTGACGTTGCTGTCCTTGCTGCACCGCCGTCAGCCGTCCTGCGGGTCGGGTAAAAATACAATTGACTGCACGAGACGGCTCTGGGCTCAACCGCTAGATGTTAACAAATGAAGGAAGGGAAGAGCTGATGGGCTCTTAGAGAAACTCGAGAGGCAGCGCACGGCCTCGATAGCGAGCGGGTCGAGGTATGGATCGATCGATATCCAGCATCGAGCGTTGGTGCTCAGACGTCGCACTCCATCTCGCGGTCTTCCATTGCTCGCGGCTGTCGCACGGCGTCGACATCGACATCGACGTCGTTGAGCAGCTGCGAAATCGTCGGCAGCCTCGAGCGCCCAGGGGGAGTGGCGCCGGAGCTCGCGTCGCTCTCTGACCGGTCGGGCGATGGGCTGGTGCGGCGGTGCCGCAACGACGGCGTCTTTTCCCCGTCCTCGAGCACGCCTTCGCCTTGCCGTGCGACGCCGGTGAGGATTGGCGCCAACGTGATGCGCGACGATGCCTCCTCGGCTCGCGTCCGGTCGGGGAAGTTGATGGCGATCAGTAGCTGGCGAATCAGACGAACGTGCTGCTGCCGGATCGTCTCGGGCACGGCGCGTTCGCTGGAACGCGACGGCGGCCGCCCCAGACCCTGGATGCCCGAGATGCGTTCGCTGAGGCTCGGGTAGAGGGAAGACGACGAAGATGACGGCGGCGACTCGGACGAAGCCCCGCTCTCATGGCGGATCGGAGGCAGCCGACGTGGCGGCGAGTCGCGCTCAGAGGATTCCGACGACAGGATCGAGCTGATCGAAAGACCCCTTCGCGGCGACGACAAAGACGAAGAGGGCGACGTCGAGGACCGGAGCGAGGGGAGCCTGCGAAGGGCATCGCCGGTGGCAAGCTTCGGGTAGAGACCGAGTCCAGGCGAGGTGCTGCCATGGCGCTCGATGGCATCGCCGCCCTCGGACGAGGCCGTCGGGCTCAGAGAGCGGTAGCGGTCGTGGAAGACAAGGGCGGGGGATGAAGGTGCAGCGTCCTCCATCGCCTCGTCGTCTGGAACGTCGCGCTCTTCAACCTTGACATCAGTCACGGGTGCCGGGCTCAGCTCTGCGGCGGTGGCGACCGGTCCGGGCGCAGCGCGCGTGAGGGCCTCGACCTTGCGGAAGCTGTGGCCGCCCATGTCCATCGGAGCGAGCTGCGGGACGATGGCCGAGCCTCGCGATACCCGCATGCTGTCAAAGGACGCTTGCTGAGGACCGTGAGTGTACATGGCACCGCCGTGCTGGTTGGCCGCGGCGTAGGCACCTTCGTATGACCCGGCGACAGTGCCGCCGTACAGGCCCTGCCCAAAGTGATGGGCGGATTGCTGGCGGTGAGGCAGTTGGGCGATGGGTCGCTGCATCTGAGTGCTCGGCAGTAGCGGCTGGTGATAGCCTGGGGGCACGACATTGTGGCCACCGTACAAGATGCTCTCGTCAAAACCCGGGATGGTGGTGAGCCCATACTGGGACAGCGAGCTGACGTCGAACTCGTTGTGCGGCGCCGCGGGGGTCGCGTTGGAGTACGAGGAAGAGGCGTGCGACATGCTAGCGCTGGAGGTGTCTCTTGCCGCATCGGCTCCGAGCTGTAGCAAGAAGGCGTTGAGCTGGGCGAGGTCGGTCGGCCTCATCGCATCGGGCAGAGCAAGCTTCGAAGGTGCCTGGGCGCTGGTGGTTGGCAGAGGAGCTTCCGGCGTGTGAAGCGTCGACGTCGGCTGGGACTGAGACTGAGGCTGCGGGAGGTTCATCGAGGAGGCATCCGTCTCAAACGACGACAGCAGAGCCTGCAGCGACGCGTCGTCGATGCCGCCGTTGCCGAAGGTCTGGTTGAGGCGTTCAGCCATGGTGGCGTCGTAGGTGGGCGCCAGCTTCTTCCGCCTGACGTCGCCGAAGAACTCGCCGACCTGCTCGTGGTTGCGCTTGGTGCCAGCCAGGTTGCTGCCGCCGGTGCCGTGGGCAAGGAACATGTACGAGTTGGGGTCGGTGGTCGTTTTGCTGCGAGCATCGGGACCGCCCGTGAAGTTGAGGTAGGACACGGCGCCCCTCGAGGCCGAGTGGTGTGCCTGTGCCGCAGGGCTGCTGCCCTGGGGGGTGTCGAGCCTCGAGGAGAGCGGGGAGAGCGATGCGGTGGACTGCGCATAGCCGGGCGTGTGCTCTCGCATCGGCTGTGAAGGAAGCGCTGGGTAGGCAGGTGCCGAGTAGGCCGAGTCGGCGACTTGATGGTACATGGCGGAATGACCGGGAACGCTGCCGAAGCCGTATGGCGCGGCGCCCACACCAGGTCCGAGGTGGTAGGCGGCAAACGACGCCTTGGAGTCGGCCGCCATGGCGCCGAAGGACTTGGCGGCAGCGTTCTGGGCCGCCTTGTGCTGCCTCTGTTGCTGGTGTTGCTCTGTGTGGATGCGCTCGTGCTTCTTGAGGTCCTGCGGCCTCTTGAAGGTCTTGTTGCAGATGTCGCAGGAGTGCGGCTTCAAGGGCGTGTGAACTGTCGAGGTAGGGCGGCGAAGGACAGCGAAGACGTCAGCATCTGACGGCAGGTCAGGTGCGGGAACCACGCGCGGAGCCACTTACCTCGGAGGTGCGACGTGATGTGGTCTCGCTTTGCGCAGCTGACGTCGCAGCCTTCCCACCGGCAGGTGAGGCAGAGGTTGTTGGTGCTCTTGCGCCCAACGTGGTCGTCGCACAGGTGCTTGTAGACGACCTCGGGATCATAGTAGATGCGACCGCAGTTGTCCCATCGGCAAGTGATGGGCTTGGGCCGGTCGTGGTCGGCTGCCTCGGGGTCTTGGCTGTGGACCCGGGAGGGCGAAGGCGAGGAAGACGACATGGTGGTGGCGAGGGAGCGGTGCGAGTACGACGGGCTGGCGCCGGTGTTGCTGCTGCTGGCGGCGTAGCTAGAGTGCTCGCTGACCGAGGCGGGAGAAAGATGGTTGCTCATGGCGAGAGCAGTCGCCGAGCGGTGGCTAGCTCTGTCGGTGATAGATTGGCGGCGAGGTAGAGGGCTAGGCCTTGGTGGTCAGAGATCCTTGGGCGACGGCAATACCGATGGCGATGGCGATGGCGATGGTGGTGATGGTGGTGATGGTGGCCTCGAAGCCGTCGAGAATTGATGGGAGTGGTACGGATGTGCTTGGCAGGGAGGAGACGACTTTGCGGGGGCGGAGGGTTGCGCGGGCACGAGGCTGTGCCAAGAAACGCCGGCGCCTATATCTGAGGTGGAAATGCCAAGCCCAGGCAGGGCCTCTGGATGCCAAGCAAATCAAAGAAGGGACGAGCTGCGAGCGAGCAAGGATGATGCGCGCGAGGCAGGCAGGAAAGCCAGAGGGGGGGACGACGCCGGGCGGAGAGAGTGAGGTGAGGTGAGGGCGACGAGGAAGGAGGCCACGCCAAGAGCGAAACGAGCGGCGATGGGGCGGGTGCGGGCCTTTGCCAAGACTTACGTAGGGCGGGGGCAGCACGCCAGCCAGGCCATCGAATGCCAAGACCGAACCCACACGGCACGGCACCCAAGCCGGCCCAGCGCAATTTCGCCCACTGAGGCCGCGGGCCCTCAAGTTGCCAGCGCACTTTGCCTAGAGCTCCTGCTTCTGCTTGCCTGCCGGCAGCGCCCCAGCCCGAGCCCCAGCCCCAGCGCCGGTGACGAGAGAAAATAGCACAGCAAAGGGCGGCGTCGGCCGCTCCCGGCCGGGGATTCCGTCAGGTTCCTCCGCAGGCCTGGCCTGTCGGTAGGGTGCCCACGCAGCGGCCTGACACACTTGGCCCCCCGCCGCCCCCTTCGCACCTTGGCGACCCTGACCTGGCCCCAGCCGCCTTCGATGATGCACGCTCAGCGCAACGGCGGATCTGTTCACCCAGCAGAGAGCAAGAGGCGGGTGGATCGCCAAAGACCGACGGGCCAAACGAGCGCCAGCGACCAACTTTGCCAAGACCTCAAAGTCTTGGCATTCCGCCCTGGTCTCGGATCCGCTTGCCCTGGCCCCCCCGCGACACTCAGCAGCTGGGAACCTACGCTTCCAGTGGCTACGGACCATCGCACACTTCGTCCCTGTTGCGGCACCGTCAGGGTCAAGGCTGGTCTCCATTCTGGCGGAGCCGAGCAAACAGACCAGGCTAGGGCAGGCAAGAGGGCCAATGCGCGAAAGCGCCGGTCGCAACCAACATCAATGTTGCGACCTGATCGCTACCGGCTACGTTATGCATCTGCTTCAGCCGTCGGCGTTCTCGAGCCAGGCACCAAAGGCGTCGACCCTCCTCTTGTCTCCGCCATCCTCTTCGTCGTTGTCGTCGTCGTTGCCCGCCTTGTCGGATTTCCTAAACCGCGGCTTGGACCCGATCAGGAACGCATCGATACGACGTCCGGCAAAGTATCGCCCGTCCATCTTCTGCGTCGAGGGCCATAAGGCATTGCAAGGCATTGCAATCATCGAAGGCAAGCAAGCGGAGTGTGGTCAGCGCGAAAAAGAAAACGAGAGCAGGGCGCTACGAACCGGTGCACGACCATATGCCGCGAGGCGGAACGCACCTTCACGCATTCGGCGGCCGCGAGCGGGTCGGCAAACTTGATCGTCATAACGCCCTCGGGCTCCCTGTCCCACAGGACGACGTTGGTCACCCTGCCGATCCCTTCGCACTCTTCCCTGACGTCTTCCTTGAGATCCAGCAGCAGGGTCGGATCTTCGTCGAGCTCGACCAGCGTAAACATCTTTTTGAGCACCACCGTGCGTGCCTGCGGCGGGGCCGCAGAATTCGATGGCGCCGCGGAATCCTCGTCGGATGAGTCCCACCCTGTCAGTTTGCTGTACGTCGTGCGCGCAAGTGGGGGACAAGATGAGCTTCAGGAGCGTCAGTGTCACGGACAGAAATCGGCAAGCCCCGTGTGCGCCGATGCTGCTCACTCCTCCATACGGGCTACCCGCTTCTGGATACGTCGGCGTTCCTGGTCCGAGAGATTTCTGCGTGAGACGGCGCCGCCTGCGTCGAGCTGTTGCGAGGACGACGGAGCGCCGCTCTTGTCACTGCTGCCGGCGGGCTGCGGATTGGACGACGGATGTTCAGATGGTGCCGATGCTGCCGGTGGCTTTGCGTCCGCGGATGGGCCATTGCCCTTTTGAACATCGCTGGCAGAGGGGAACTGCGCTCGTTGCACCTGCATCCTGGGACCGCTGGTTTGCCCAGTCGCGGCCCTTAGGCAGGTGTCGTCGAGGAGGTTAATGGCGAGGTCCACGCTCTCGGGCTTAAAGTAGACGACCAGCGCCTCGCCCTTGAACTGGCCGGTGGCCTGATCGCGGTACATCTTGATTCTAGGCTTGCCCTCGTCGTCCTCGAGCAGGAGGCCGTAGCGCGAAAAGACCGAGGCGATTTCGTCGGCAGTGCAGTCGAGGGGAAGTCCAGTGATGTAGAGCGAGGTGACGGGCTTGGGTTTCTTGTTGGGCGCCGTCGTGGTGTGATGCCCGCCTGCGGCAGACGAGGATGGACCATCGGCGCCGGCCTTGCGTTTCTTGTTCTGTTTCACGGCAGCAGAAGGGGCGGTTGATGTGCCCGCATCCACTATGTCGTGGCTTGCATCGGCGTCGTTTGATCCGTAGGCAGCCTGCTGCGCGCGGATCAGCTCGTCGTCGACCACCCTGACCCAACGCCCGGGCCGTTCAGTTGCAGAGAGGGTTGAAGCATCGGACGCGGACGTCGAAGGAAGGTGTGGGGATACAGCCTGATCTTGAGGACTGTGGCCATGGGCAGCGTGCGGAGGTTCGGATGGCTGCTTAGGGGTCGGTTGCACGGGGATGAGCTGCCATTCCCACTCCTGCCCATCGTCGTCCTCGTACTTCCAGGTGCCCGACAGGCGATCGAGGTAGGCGCGGTCGTGGTGGGCGCCGAGGCCTGCCGGAGGCGTCGCCTGATCCAATTGAGCGGAAGTAGGCTTCTGGGCCATGATGAGTGGTGCGTCTGTTGCTGGGTCAAATGATGGATCAGAGAGTGAAGGAAGTGGGCATGGCGTTGGCAGACAGCCGCTCGAGGGTTTTGGCCTGGCCGACGGGCCCAGGCGGGCTCAGGCCAGGCCGGGCCTCCACCTGCCCGTGTGCTTTCTTTCGCCTTCCGACTCCCGGCTGCCAGTCGGGTCCGACGGTGGGCCCAGCCTGGTAGGCCAGGCCAGGCGGCCTCGCGCGGGCCACGTTGAAATGATGCAGGCCAGCACGGACAGTCAGGCCAGCCCAGGGTCAGCCAGCCCCCCACACATACGCCACGCCGCAACGGCGGGCTCTACGCGGGCCCAGGCCAAGCCAAGCATCGAGGCACCGAGGTCGACGGCTTCGACCCCGCCAGACCCTCCCTCTTCTTCCACCATACGCCATACGCTCCTGCCTCAACAACCCAGTTCCTCCCGCCGCCTGAACAATCCGGTTCTTAGGCGAGTCGGCCCACGGATAGCATGTCATACACGCCGACGTCCTACTACGGGCACACCGTCAAGGATCGCACCGCCGAGTTCCACTCATGCGTCGAGTCGATCGCCTCTCGCTCAGCCACCGCCGGTAGCGCCGGACCGGCATCGGCTTCCAGGCAGAGGCTTCTCAACTCGGGAGGCGCATCCCAACCAGCCTCGGGATCCGCAAAGGGAGAGTTTGCCAAGCGCGCCCAGGCAATCTCAAAGGACATTGCCTCGACCACCAACAAGCTGCAACGCCTCGCACAGCGTAAGCCCTTCCTGCACCCCGCCCTCGGCCTGTCCGTCCCGACTCTGCCATAGACTGCGATGTCTGACCCCTGTCTCCCCGCCCGCCTCTCTCTCTCCGCCCGCATCCCTCTTTCCGCACGTCGTCTTCGCCTCTCTGCCCACTTCCAGTGGCTCGGCGCAAGACGCTCTTTGACGACCGTCCCGTCGAGATCTCGGAGCTGACCTACATTATCAAGCATGACATCGCCGCCATCAACAAGCAGCTTGCCGATCTGCAGGCCTTCAACAAGGCCCAGCGTGGGTCAGGAAGGGCGGGGACGGCGGATCGCGCCGAAGAGCACCGCGGCAACGTCGTCACCCTGCTCCAGTCCAAGCTAGCCGGCGCCACCACAAGCTTCCAGGACATCCTCGAGATCCGCACGCAGAACATCAAGGCGTCAAAGGATCGGACCGACCAATTCATGTTTGGCGGTAGCGGTGCAGCAGCCAGCGGAGGTGGCGCTGGGGCAGCCAACGGCTCGTTCGCAGAGGGATTCGGCGAGAATTCTGGTAAGTGTGCGGTCACATCGAGATCGAACAGCGGGCCAAGCTGGATCAGGATCCATCGAGTCGGCTGACTGACCGTTCTGCAGTTCTTCGTGCCCGCTCCAAACCGGCCACCGCTCCTTTCTCCGGCTCTGGTGCTGCTGCGACACTGGGCGCTGGTGTTGGATCAGACTCGCCCCTCTACAATCCAACGCGCACAGGCTCAGCCATGGCCCACCGATCCATACCCCAACAGGGGCGGCCCGGGCAGAGCGACGACCAGTACGACTCGTACGATCCCAAGGGCAAAGGCAAGGCGACCTCGGGTGGAGACGGAGACTTCCTTGCGCTCGACATGGGGTCAGGCGGCGGTGGCGGCAGCGGGCCTGGAGGCGGCGATCAGTTCATGCAGATGCAGCTGATGGAGCAACGCCAGGTGAGCGAACTCCTCTTTCCCCTTCTTTCCCCGTGTCGCGACCACCTGTGGCAGGATGGCCTCGCTAAATCCGGCTCTTTTTCACAATCTGGCGACGCCTCGATGGCCTTCCCGGTAGGACAACTACCTGGCCACCCGCTCCACAGCCATCGAGTCGATCGAGAGCACGATTTCCGAGCTGGGCCAGATCTTTTCGCAGCTGGCCCACATGGTGGCCGAGCAGCGCGAGACGGTGCAGCGCATCGACGACAACGTCATGGAGGTCGTCGACAATGTCGGCGGTGCCCAGCGCGAGCTGCTCAAGTACTACCAGAGCGTCAGCTCCAATCGGTGGCTCATGCTCAAGATCTTTGGCGTGCTCATCGTCTTCTTTCTATGTGAGTGCGCGTCAGCGAGCGAGCGAGGTCGGGAGGCAGCGATGTGCGGCAAGTGGGCCATCGGACGGAAGCTGATCCAGGCTCTGCCCTGCGACCCAACCCTGCTCCGTATTGCAGTGTTCATCCTGGTCTCGTAAGAGGGGTCCCGTTGCTGTACATCTGCCAGGCGTTCGACGAGAGACAATCGAGAGCGTCCGCCAGCCCTGGACGGCACCTGCTGCCGTAGTCCCACGAAGCCGGAACCGAGGGGGCCGCAGGTCAAAGGGAAAGCGGGGATCAGGCATCGCAGTTTCTCCACCTCGGCGGCATGAAGGGCAAGCCGAACAGCTCAAAGACCGACTCCTCAGTGGGCGTATCGACCACGACGTTATCTGCCAACCTCGTCACGCCCGTGAACGAGAACTGGGCCGTGGAGCGAGCGAGGTGAAAGCGGGCGGGGTGAGGGGGCCGGACCGGGTGGGGGGGGCACACGGGTCTGTCAGTCGGGGCGGGGCGGGGGGACAAGCGCTGACGAACAAGGACAAGCGAGTGCATTTGTGAAGCCAGGACAAGACTGCAGGCCGGGTGCGACGGCTGCTACTCACCTTGTAGCCTCGACTGCGGCACCACACGCGGATATCGCGCTCAAACACGATTGAGCCCGTATAGCCCAGCACCGCTGCGCCGTAGACGGTCTCTGGCGCAAAGACCAGATCGACCCGGCTGGAATCGGCCGTCGCACCTCGTCGTCGATGGTCAGCTCGAGGATCGTACGACTAGCGACTCTCCACGTCGTCCGCATCCACGGACCGACTCACCGATGCAACCCGCCGCTGTTGGGCGGTACGACGACGAGGTGGGCCACATCGACATGCACGTCAGTCGCCTCGTCGTCCTGCGGCGTCGAGATGCTAACGACGTGCGATACGAGGCCCTGTCGTTTCATCTTGTCAAAGAGCGAATGCAGAACGGCCCGACTGGCCCGCGGGTGGCCGACGACAATGTCGAGGTCGTAGCTCTGCGCCTTTCCGCGCCGGTAGCCGCCACAGATGGTGTGCACACAGCCGGGCAGGATTGCGTCGAGCATCGTCATGATCTGCCGGAAGGGGTCAGCAATATGCGACAGACCCGGCCGGCTCGTCAGCGAAAGTGGGGCATTGCATGGTGGCGAGCGGGAGTCATCCTGAACTCACCATTTCTGTGATGGACTCGCACTCGTGTCGCGGGATGGGGCGCCTCAGATCCGGGAGAATTCGAAGGCTCTCTGAAACGCTCAGAGCCGTAGCAAGGCTTCGGCCCTTGCCCAGAACATCCGCAAAGGAGCGGCATCCCTCGTTGTACGCCTCTCGCGCTCCCACCGGCCCGATACCGTACAGCTCAGTGAAACTCTTGATGGTGGCGATGGCGGGGTCGCGGCGGATAATCTTGGCTTCAACGATGCGGCCCTCGGTGAAAAACTGGTGGACGAGCAGGGCGACCTTTTTGCCGACGCCCTTAATCTTGTCGGCCTGCGAGGGGGCGTTTGCGAGGGAGCGCGGGTAGGCCTTGATGGCCGAGAGGGCGCGCATGTAGGCCATCTCCGAGTACGAGTCGCCGGTGAGGCGTCGCTCTGCGTGGATGACTTCGAGCTCGTCGACGAGCGCCTGGTTGATGCACTTGAGGGGCGACGGCCTCTTGCAGGCGAACTTTGTATTCTGCCAGGGGAACGGGCGCTCGCTGTCTGCTTGCGATGGGCCGCTCGGCGTGTCGGTGGCGTTGTGGCCATCTAGTAGGGTGTCGCTGTCGAGTCTAGGCCTCTTTGAATGCTGGGCCGATTCAGTCTGGTGGTCGTCCAGTGCTCTCTTTGTGCCTGACCTTCGTGTGACGGCATACTCGTCTGGATCGACGAGGAGGCCGGTGCGCTGGACGTGGTGGAGCCATTGCGGGCTGACGAGGAATTTTGAAGCGGCATCGTCTGGGTGTATGTGCTTTGCGATGCGTTTCGGCGCAGTGAGCGCAGTGATGATGATGTTGGCCGCGCTCGGTGTCGAGGTGAGTTGTCCTCCGAGGTGTACGACGAGGTGGCCAAGCTGGCGTGCTTGGTCGTCGGTGAGCTTGTCGTTGAGGATGTGGATGCGGGTCGACTGGGAGAGGACGCGGGAAGAGTGCCTTGTCGCGTGGAGGGGTACGCCGATGCGGTCCTGGAAGGTGAGCGGGGCCAGGCTGGGTGCGTCGGCCGTGGAAGGCGAGAATGAGCGCGGGGCAGAGGAGGACGACATCTGAGAGTCGCCGGATTAGGGGCGGTGGCTTGGGTGCGGCGATTGCGAGGGGGCGAAGAGGGCGGCGGGTCCCATGTTGAGGGCTCAGACTTGCAGTGTCGAGGCGGATGAGCGTGGCATCCTTGTGCTGCTTGGCCCGACCTCGAGTGGCCAGGCGGGGTGGTGGTGGTAGCGCTGGTGAGGAGGTGAGGAGGGTACAGCAGTCAGCAGCCGCCCCCCGCCAAAGTCGAGGCACAGCGCACCTATGTCCATGTGGAGGGCACCCGACCTCGGAAGCCGGACATCGACGTCGACCCCTCGACCTCGACGCTGCACCGCCTCTCGCTGGCCTGTGCCTTCGCTGACCTGTGCCTGACGCGGGTCTGACCCCTCGCCGCCATCAACCACCACCTGCACCCACCCACTTCCAACACCGCCATCCCTCATATCGACGCACTCATCAACGCCACCCCCGCCCAACCACGCACAGACAGACCAGCACCCCTTTGTCGCACACCGCCGACAACCGCACACAGGCAGCCATGTCCTTCACCTGCCAAAAGTGCCGCCAGCCCCTCCTCCTCTCACCCACCCTATCCTCCGAGCTCGACCTCAACCAGTCCGCCTACGACCTCATACAGGACTCGTTCATCGCACACCCCCATCGCAGCCACCCGCATCGTCATGCCTCCTCGTCAGCCGCAGCGGCCCAGCTCGGCCACACCCCACACGCCATCACCACCACCTCCCCCTCCTCGCCCGCCTCACCCGCCGCCACTGGCACAGACGCACAGGGATCCCTCAGCGCCCGTCTCCTAGCCTCAAGCCGCCTCTTTGACCTCCTCTCCCACCCGCACCTGCCCCACGCCTCCACCTCGGACCCCTCGACCGCCATCGACCACCCGCTATGCAACGAGTGCACCGACGCCCTCCTCGAAATCATGGACGACCAGATGGCCAACATCAGAAAGGAGAGGGACGCCCTCCTCGCATTTGAGTCAGAGTGCAAGCGCTACGGTGTCATGCCCAGCTCCAAGGGCACTAGCGACGAGCAGCCGTCGCAGCAGCAGCAGCAGCAACTACAAGACCTCATCTCTCAGCTCGCGACAGATGAAAAGCAGGCCAAAGACGACCTTGAACTCGCAGAATCACAACGACTCAGCGTCGAGGATGAGCTCCGTGCCCTCGACCAGCAGGAGCGAGCCCTGCAGGCAGAAGAAGAGAGGTGAGCGCGCCTGGCCTCGCCCCCCGCCCGCAACCTCTCCCTAATCGCTGACACCGCTCCATTCTCCTGTTACACGCCGCCGCCGCCGCCGCCGAAGCTTCTGGGCCAAGCACTCGGCCCACGCGCTCGAAATCGCCCAGCTCAGCTCGGCGCGCTCGTCTCTGCTGACCTCGCTGGACCACACGCGCGCCTCGCTGGCCCGCCTGACGCTGACCAACGTCTACAACGACGCCTTCTGCATCGGCCACGACGGCGGATTCGCCACCATCAACGGGCTGCGCCTCGGCCGCCTTCCGGGCGCCAACGTCGAGTGGAACGAGATCAACGCCGCATGGGGTCAGACGGCGCTGCTCCTCTCGACGCTGGCACGCAAGCTCGACGTCGATTTTCAGGGCTGGCGCATCCTACCCAAGGGTTCCTTTAGCACCGTCCACCGTACCGACGGCGATCGGGCCGTGTACGAGCTGTACGGCAGCGGCGACTGGCAGATTGGGCGGCTGCTCCAGTCGAGGCGGTTTGACCACGCCATGGTCGGCTTCCTCGACTGTCTCAAGCAGCTCGCGACGTGGGCCAGCCAGCGCGACGAGAGCCTGCGCCTCCCGCACGCCATCAACAAGGACCGCATCGGCGAAGCTAGCATACGCCTCCAGTTTGGACAGGACGAGACTTGGACCCGCGCACTGCGCCACGTGCTCTGGACGCTCAAGGTGCTCCTCAGCTGGACCGTGCAGAGAATCGACGAACTAGACCCACACCCGCCGCAGCAGGCACAACGGCCCCCGACGACAGCGGCGGCGGCGGCGGCGGCGGCGGCGACGGCGGCGACGGCGGCGGCGACGGTGCCACCAAGTCCCAGAAGATCCATTGCGGCCTAGTCTGTTGCGGCGATCCGGTCGAAAACGGATTGCACCCGCTGCAACCTCGCAGCGTATCCTGGGGCCGTCATCCCGCCTCCCCTCTCCCCTGTAACCCCTGTAGACTGCCATCGCACCCATGCTCGCTCCTCCATGAAGGTGCAGTCCCAATATACCCATACCGTACTTTGCCCCGCTGAGCAAGAGCCTTCACCTGAAGCCGCTCGCTCCGTCTTTGTGTGCCTTTGAAGCGTCGTCGGGGATCTCGTCGTGGGTGCGGAGCGAGGCCGTCGAGCCGGCGTCGGACGGGCTTGGATGCTGTGCGGGCTGTGATGCCCATCAAGCTGATCAGGGAAACATCGTCTCTGAGATTCCGTGGCTCTCTACTACCAGCCGCACGGTGGGCCGAAGCTGCGCTACAATAACGGAGACGGTGGGGATCGGAAGCGAGCAGTCTGGCCAGTGGCTTCAGGGCGGCGGGGTATCACTTGCTGGCAAACTGCTTTTCGGTGCTCTCGCCGCCCGAGGCCTTGTACGAGATGTTGCTGATGGTGCCGAGCAGGTTGTCGACGTACTCGGCGCCCGACCACTTCTGGTGGGTGAGGACGTCGCAGCCAATCTCGCGCTCCTTGCGCTGGACCAGCTCGACGTAGGCCTTCATGCCCTCCTGGGCGAAGCCGCGGGCAAAGAGGTCCGAGATGTAAGCGTTCGAGTGGAGACCGCCGAGGGTGATGAACTGCCACACGAAGCCGAGCTTGCCGAGATCCCAGACGTAGCTCTTCATCTGGTCGGTGCTGAGCTTAGCGGCGTCCCAGTTGAACGACGGCGACAGGTTGTAGGCGAGCCACTGCTGCGGTCGCGCCGCCTTGACGCCCTCGGCGAACTCCTTGGCCTGGGCCAGGATGGGCGACTTGGTCTCCATCCACAGCAGGTCGGCGTAGGGTCCAAAGGCGATGCCGCGGTTGATGGCGCACTGGGTGCCGCCCTGGTAGCGGTAGTAGCCCTCGCGCGTGCGCGCCGCGTCCCAGTCCCAGAAGATTTCGACGCCGTGCTTCTTGGCAATGGCCTTGGCCTTGGCGTGCGACTGGTGGTGCGCCTCCTTGAGGAAAGCCTCGGCCTTGGCCTTGCCGCCCTTCTTCTCGAGCTCCTTTGCGACGGCGTCGGTGTAGAGCATCAGGCCGGCCTTGGCGAGCCAGTCATCCTCGATGGCCTGCAGCTGGGCGCCGCTCTTGCCCTCGCGCTCGGCGCGGAAGAGGACGTCGACCATGGGCTCGAGGTTGGGGTTGGTGGAGCCGATGATGAAGGCGTGGTCACGCTCGTCGACGTTGGACGTGATGAGCGTGGCCGCCTCCGAGTCGGTTCGCGCGACGACGAGGTTGTCGACGCCCATGATGTCGTACTGGAGGCGGATGGCGATGAGGCGGTTGATGTGCTCCTGGATGGGGACGAGCACCTTGCCCGCCATGTGGCCGCACTTCTTGGTGCCGGGCGCCTGGTCCTCGATGTGGATGCCGGCGGCGCCCTTCTCGACAAAGAGCTTGGTGAGCTTCATGACGGCCGTCAGACCGCCGTGGCCCGTGTCGGCGTCGGCGACAATGGGGCGGAGGTAGTCGACGGGAGCCTGCTTGGCGCGCTGCTCGGACGTCATGGCGGTCCTGGCCTCCCTCTGCTTACGGTCGTGGAAGAGCTGGGCCATGAAGAGGTGCTCGACCTTGTTGGGGACGGTGTTGTACGGGTAGTCTGCCAGATCCGGGCCGGGCTCGTTTGTGCTCGAGGCGGTGCTCGAGCTCTGCCAGCCGGAGACGTAGACCGTCTCGAGGTACTTTGCCATCTGCGTCACCTGGACGGGGTCTAGCGCGCCGTAGGTGTGCGAGGTGGTGCCGTTGGCGGCGTGGTTCTTGAGCGAGGCCCACAGCTTCTTGGCCTGGACGTTGGAGAGGTACTCCTGCTGGACGGTGCCGCGCTTGGAGACGACCTGCTCGGCCGTATAGGGGCGGGTGACGTTGGCGAAGCGCTCATCCTGGACCGGGCAGGCGGCGGAGAAGGAAGTCGAGCGAGGAAGGACGGAGCTGGGTCAACGACTGGGGTGCGCGATGGCCAGGTATCACGGCGACGAGGTGCTGATGGGCCCGACGCCGGAGCAGCCGGGCCTGCTCTGCCCCGTCTTTCACCATGTCGCCGTGCTCGCATCGGTCGGTTCAGGCTGCAGGACACTCACCTTCCACCACTTCTTGACGGCCTCGACCTCCTGCTGGAAGAGCTGAGCCTCCTTGTCAGACATGATGTGCGTGTTCGGGGTGGTGCTGGGTGAGATGTATGCGGTTGAGCGGGAGAGACAGGACTGTGTTGCTGTGCGAAAGATGCCGAGAGAGACGGCGGGAGGTATTACGCGATGGACAAAAGGCGGGGGGTAGGGAGACTTGGAGGATGATGGCAGAGGCTGGCGTTGCCGTTATAAGGAGTAGTGGAGTCGCCCCGCCTGCGCTGGACCCCGGCTCAGAGGCCCGCAATGACCGGAGGCTCTGTCCAGATCGAACGACCTGACGGGGCGAGCAGGGAGCAACGATGACCAGCAGGGGCCCAAGGCACGAGGCAGGGGGGGGCCTGTGGGCGCCAGCGGCGCTGGCGGAGCAAAACGCCTGGCCTCGCGCAGAAGCCCAGCAGGCCGCCAGGCAGAGGAAGGTGAGGGGCCCGCCCTAGCCTACCTTGCTGCTGGTCGAGGTTTCAAAGCGCTCGCTCAAAGGCAGGCAGGCAGGGTAGGGCCTGCCAGCCTACGCTAACATATCGGCTAGACCGGCCTGATCAGGGCGTCGACCGACGACGACGACGCCGCCGCCGAAGCTCGTCCCGCCCCGACCCGCCGCTGCGTCCTCTCCCGGCCCGCACCCGACGTGAGTCACGGCGGATGGGCCCGATGAGCACCGTACCTCTCCGCCTGTGAGATCGTGTTGGAAGAAAGCAATCGACCACAGGCAGGCCCAGACGGCCCCGACCATGCCGCTGCTGGCGCGCCCCAGGCCGGCTATCGAGAAAGCAAGCAAGCCCGGCAGGCCGATCCCTAGCCCGAGCACCGCCAGGGTCCCGTCCTGCTTGCTTGTTGACTTGGCCTGCCCCGCGCGAATTCGGGCAAAAAAGTGTGGAGAAGGCGGCGCCAGGCAGGCTAGGCCTGGCCAGGCCGCATCGGGCGGGCCAGCCAGCCCAGCCCGACTCCTCTTTTCACGCTCGCCTGCCACCGCCAGCCGGTCAGAGGAAGGCAGGCAGGCACAGCAGGCCCGCCCTCTGCGCCGTGAAAACGCGACGTCGTCATGCCTGGCCTGCCTCTTGCTTGCTTGCTGGACTGCTCGGAATCTCCGTTAGCGCCGACCTGGGCCTGCGACGCTGCGAGGCCAACAAGAAGGCCGGGGTCGCCGCCGTCGTCGCCGCCGCCGCCGCCCACGTCGTCATCATCGTCCTTCCATCGCGGGCAGACCAGCTGATACCTTCCGTGCGTGCTCCCCGTCCCATCGAAGCTGCGGACCTTAAGCGTAACCCCGCGAAGAAGACGGGCCCAGTCAGGGCTAAGTAGGTCGTCTGCCTCTTTTGAAGCGGGTTGGTGCCGCATAGGATGGGCCGACTAGCTGCTCGAGATCGGTGAAGCCGAGGAGGGCAGGCATGCTTGGCAGGCGATGGCTGCCTCGATCGGGGATCGATGCGCAGGCAGGGAGAGGTCTTAGCCTTGGAGCTGCAGGCGAGGAGGGACGGCCCGCGAGCGGCGCAGATCCTGCAAAGCCGAAGCAGACAAGGCCTGGCGGCCAAAGCGGAGGTTTCGACCTGCCAGCCTAGGCCAAGCAGGGTCGGTCTCGGTACCGAGCAATTCGGCCAGCTCTCCACTTTGGCTCTCTCTGCCCGTCTTCCGAGGTCGGCCAGAACTTTTTGGACGGGTCGTGGGTGCCTCCGCTCTTTGCCATCACCACCCACCCACTACTCGAGCTCTGCTTGCCGTCCTTTGAAACCACAAGCCAGAACCGCGTACCATCCCTCGCCTCTTTTTCTCGTGCCCAGAACCGATTCGCATTTCCATCCATGGGCAAGACCGGATCATCTTCGCGTGGTGGTGCCGCCCGCGGCAGAGGAAGAGGCGCGGGCGGGGGTGGACATCGAGGGCGAGGCAAGGGCGGCGGTGGAGCCGGCGGGCTGGCAGCTCGCCATGCTTCCGCCCTCATGTACGACGGCGATAGCTGGCGGCCAGAGAGCGCGATTGATGGGCATCCGTCAGGTTCCAGCAGCGACGAGCAGGATGGGCCCAGCGACGGAAGCGAAGACGACAGCGGCGACACCCGAACAGCGTCCGGCTCAGGTCGATCTGCCGACGAGGACTCGTCGGAGGACGAGACGGGGATCAACGGCGGCAGCGACATCGAATCGATAGAGATGCCTGTAGCCATGTGGGTGAGTACCAGGGATACTGCCTCGCCGCCAGTCAAGCCAGCAGGCCATGGTCTCTCGCCCTGGACACCCTGGTATTTTGACGTCTGACCTTGCTTCTCGCTGCTCTTTTGGAACAGGACTTCAATCATTGCGATCCGAAGCGCTGCAGCGGCAAGAAGCTGTCGAGACTCGGACTGATCAAGGAGCTGCGGGTGGGACAGAAGTTCCGAGGCGTCGTGCTGACGTGAGTATGAATACTGGCCAGCGCAGCTCCAGCAGCCGCCAGGCTACTCACCTCTGCTTCGACTTCGTCCCCCTCTCCCAGTCCAAATGCAACAAAGACACTATCTCCGGCAGATGCCGACATCATCCGCGAGAACGGTGTGGCCGTCGTCGAGTGCAGCTGGGCGAGGCTCGACGAGGTGCCGTTTGGCAAGCTCAAAAGCCCGCACGAGCGGCTTTGTAAGTGTGGTGCATCGGAAGGTGGGGTCGCGAATGCCTTCGCTCATCGAGATTGATGGACTTCGTCTGCCCCCATGTTCAGTGCCGCACATGATCGCCACCAATCCGGTCAACTACGGCAAACCGATGAAGCTCAACTGTGTCGAGGCCGTGAGTACCGCGGCCGATGGCCTCGTTGCGATGCAGGCAAGGTTGTCTCACCGCTCACCGGAACCAGGCTTTGTCCCCTGCTTTGGCCACCACAGCTCGCGGCGGCCTTCTACGTTTGCTCGATGCCGGCGCAAGGGCGCTTGCTGCTGTCCAAGTTTGGGTGGGGAGAGCACTTCCCGCACATCAATTCTCGCTGGATCCAGGCGTACCAGGGTTGTTCGAGCGCCGAGCAAGTCGACGACCTGGCACGCAGGATGGTGGAAGAAGAGAGGCTGGAAAAGGAGGCGGACAAGAAAGCATTCAAGGAAAGCGGCGGTATCCAGGGCAGTCTGGACCGCGACGTGCTGGCCTCGGTCGGAGGGGCCAAAGATGCCGAGGAGGATCGAAGCGAAGAGGAGGCAGAGGAGACTCGAGCGTTGCAAGACGACTTTTCCACAGTCGTCCGCATCACTTCCTGACGGAGGTTCAGACAGAGCGTCTGCCGACGCCGGTGCTCTCCTGTGCACGGCAGAAAGTGTCGCTCTGGTGATATGTATCCCTCGTGGTCGTCTGCAAACTACCTAGATCCGGCGCCTGCCTTCGCAATGCCGACTGGAGCGGTCGAGCCGCCGGACTGTGCAGAAAGGGTACCCTGCCGAGCGATCAGGGTCCAGCCGAGTGGAATACCCGGCTGATGGCGCGTTCCTCGCCGCTTCGATTTCTCCGAATAAATGTCGTAATTTCGACCTGGAAGTCCACAGGTGCCGCCGCAGGAGCGCGTCTCCCCTTCGATCTTTCTGCACACCCTTCGAGCCATGTACATACACCAGAAGCCAGGAGTCCAAAAGCGCATTGGCTCCGGCTCGAGTCCAAGATAACGAGCAGCGGGCCGGACGACCCTTCGACGACGAGGCGTGGCGAGGCTAGAAGAGGCGCTTGGTGACGCTCCCGGACTCTGTTGCGATGCTGGATCCTTCCAGAGGAGATACGACAACGCCAACACGCAGCGAGGGCAGAACCAGCAACACACAGACCAGTAAACTAGCGGTATCACGAGGGCCGCGCCAGGAGGGCACAGGTGGGCAGGCAGGGGTCAGAGAAGGTGCATGCCGGCGAGGCCTGGCCTGGCCTTTGGCCGGCGGCATGGGCGTGGGAGAAGCGGATAGGTAGCTGCGGAACGCAGGCGTCGATCCGCCGATGCAGGGCCTGCCGTTCTCCTCCTCCACCTCGAGGCCGGCATGCTGGTACGGTGCGCCTTTTTGACCTTGCTTGCTTGCCCTTTGCCTCGCCCTTGTCGCCGAGTCTGTGCCGTCGAGAAAGCCTGATTTCTGATTTCACCGGCCACTCGCGACCTCCCTGCCTACATATCGCAACCGCCATCTATCGATACAACGCTCCGACGCCCCCGGACCCCCCCCCCCCCCACCATCCCCCCTTTATCCTCTTGACTCTTGCTTGCTGGCTTGCTTGCTTGCCCTCGCTGCCTTGGAAGGACGGCACTTCTCTGCCACGCGCTGCTGCACACCCCAACACACCACCCATTGTCCGCAAACAGCGTCGGCACCGGAGCAGGAACGGACGACGTCTGGGCGTCTCGATCACCATCCTCGTCGTCGCCAACACCTGCCTTCGGCCACCTGCTTTCAACAAGAGTGAGACGCTTTACCCGCTCGGACCATCAGGACGCCCTCAACGCCAACTACCACCGACTGCCACTGCACTCACTGTCGGCCGGATCGCATCGGCAAATCCACAACCCACGCCATCTCTGCCATCCAAAGCAAGCCCCTTTGGCCATCATACAGACCGCACCCACTCTCCATCTGGCCCTTTCCCCGGCAAAATCGCTAGCTCCTTTGCTCGTCCGCAGTACCCACCTCCCTGATCTGAGCTCCGTCTTTGGTCTGCTCCGAACCGCGCCGCCCGTTTAGCTCTTGACCACCTCGACGTCAGATCGATCATCGACCAATCGAGCATCAAATCCTACCCTCTCGATCCCCCGCTTTGGCGCCCATCTCCTTGACCTCCCGGCCATCACCGACACGCGGCAAGTGTCGACGACGCCTGGCCTTCGTTTGCCGCGACCATTACAGGAAAGCAGGCCGGAAAGATCTGTCGGCACAACAGCGGACCTCGGCCAAAGTCACCCTCGACTTCCTCACTTGAGCTGCGATCATGTCGGCGCCGGCCGCCGCCATGGCCGGTGACACTGAAGCCACTGCGACGACGAGCTTGGCCCCTTGCACATCGATCGACAAGACTCAACCTCCGCTGCCGCCATCCACGGTCCAGGACATGCCTGACGCCGACAAGCCCTCGGTACGCCGGAGCACTTCCAGCAACCTTGGCAGAGGCCTTTTGAAGCGACTCGCCAGCCACTCGAGCTCACGCTCAAAAGGCGATGACAATCCTTCCCGACTGAGCGGTGAGAATAAAACGGCGGCCGGCAACACCGACAGGCGAGCATCGCAGCCGCCTCCGTCCGCTGCCAGTCACCACCGCCTGACGAAAGCGGAGCTGGCCGAGCTCAGCAGGCCTAGGGGCAAGTACAAGAGCGGCGTCCGCTGGGATCAGTACGATGTCCCTGAGCCCTTCATGGAGGTCAGCGCATCGGCTGCTGCGCAAGAGGGCTCGGCCGCCCTTCAGGAAGGTCTGGTCGCCAACGCGATGCTCTCCTCGGCCAGCACCGCCGCGGCTCAAGCTTACGCCGAGAACCGCGTGCTTGCGGAGCCTATCTTTTCAACCGTCTCCGGCGCCGCCTCTCCACCCGCAGAAGCTGATGCAAGGAACGCGGTTGGCGTCCCGAGCGTTGATCAGACTCTGGCCGCCGTCACCCAGAGCGGAGTGACCGCCGGCATCCTGTCGGAGCGGACATCTCCAGCGCCAGCCGCACAGCGCTCGCCATCGACGAAAGCGGGCGATCCGATTTCTGCAACAGGCACCACGACCTCGTCCCAGCGAGCCTCACCGGACCAGCAGTTGGTGTCGGAAGCAGCGCAACGAGTGCTCGCGGCCGCGAGGAAGCAGGCGCGCATCGCGCAGAGCAAGCAGGGCCTCTCGGTTCCCGCCTCGCCTCTGACGCAGCATGCGCCCAACCTCAGCGCTGCCGACAAGAATGTCGTCAGCCAAGAACCGAGCTCGTCGACCGCAGCGCCAACCAACAGCGGCGATCACTTGGCGGCCGCACATCTCAGCGCAGACGAACAAGTTGCAGTCAAGCCAGGCCGTGGAAAGAGTCTGATCGGAACAATCAAGGATAAGGGTGGCAGGAAGCCGCGCAGTCGCAAGAATTCGCTTTCGAGCAGACCCAATGATGGCGCCTCTGTGTCGAGCTCGCCGGAGCCCAATGCCAGCAGCCCGCCCAACACCATCGGACGGCGCCGTCGCTTCAACGACACGAGAGACCTCGACCTGCTTGCCTACGAGCTGGCAGCAGAGGCCTTGGCTAGCGGCCTACCACAGCCTCCCTTTGCGCGAGGCAGCCGCAGCGGATCCTCGACGCCGCGCTCCCTCGGCCATGGACATGGCAGCAGCGATGATCGCCGCCGCTCATTCCACAGCGTCGGCAGCGGCAGCGAGCACACTTCCAACACCAGCCAGGCCAGTCTCGCCAATCTCATGATGCAGCCGATGACGCAGATCAACCCGGTTCAGAGGTCACGCGAGGCCTCTTTCTCTGGGCTCAGTGCCCCGTCGACGAACGGCACCCCGTCACATAGCGTGCCTGCGAGCCCTCCCCTGATGCCCAGCGATGCGATGCGACCAGATCGGGTGAGTGGCCGCGCCAAAGCAGGGCTGGAGTGGTCCCAAGTTTCTCCCCTCTGACCATCTCGCTCCCTGATCCCGTTGTGCCCCGATGCATGGCTCCGCTAGAATGGGTTCTCTGCCCCGTCGCCGTATCTCAACCAGGCTGCGAACCTGATGCCGGCGGACATGCTGACCGGACTTGGTGGTTCGCCGTACCCGTCACTGTCCTCAAGAAAGGCGCGCGATCCTCTTGATGGCATCGACAATCTGGACCCCTTCGGCATCCCGCTCGTCCACGAGTCGCCCTTTGACGCCACGTCGGCCTACGCCAATCGGACCAACGTCTACCATACGCCAACCCAGGTGGCGCACGCCCGCGGCCGTGTTGGCGCCGCAAATGAACGGCGGAGCGTGCTGCAGATGAAGCTGCACGATCCAGAGACGGAACTGCAGGGCCTCACCAAGGTGCCCAAGGGCAAGAAGCTGACGCCGTTCGGAAGCCGGGCCGGCAGCCGCGCGAGCAGTCGTGCGCCTTCGCCTAGCGCGTCGGACACGAACCTCAGGGCGACCGCCGCGGCACAGGCAGACACCCCAGCTGCCAAGAGAAAGGTGGCCCAGGCTGCGAAACCCTCGGGCGTATCGAGCCCCCGGTCGCGGATGCCTTCGGTTGCCGACATGGACAGGCACAGTGCGAACAACCGGCCTTCTTTTGATAACAAGGCTGCATCGGCCGTCGTACCCCGTCACACTTCGCCTGCCGAGTCCGAGTCCCAAGTCGCGACACCTAGGGCAGAAGCGCCGCCGCCGCCGCCGATCGACGCTCGTAGCGGAACCAACTCCCAGCTCTCCAACGAGGCGCATCCCGAGCTCGAGGGCCGGTCGACGGAGTTGCAGCCGATATCGGCGCTGTCGGTCCCCACGAACGTCAACGGTAGCAAACCCAGATCGCAATCGGGCGCGACGTCAAACCTTCCTCCCCCGTCCAAGTCGTCGAACCGGCTCTCTGGAATCTTTGGCTTTGGCAGGAAGAAGAAGGAAGACCCTGCCCCGCCACAGTTGCCGTTGGCGCCACCGCAAGCCGACGCTGCTAAGCAAATGTCGAAGGCGACCGCATCAGCTCGCTCTGCCGACACTGAGGAGACGGGAGATGTCGTCGTAATGCCATCCGAGCAAGGCAGCCTTCCGCCTCGAGCGGAGCCGCCGACCTTCTCCCACTTGCGCGTCGATGCTGGCACATCTGCATCCCGATCCCTCCCAACGGCGACGTCTGGTGAAGCTACTCCCGAGGTGCAAGGTATCACCATGCCCTCGGCGCCGGAGGACGAGGCCCGATCTCAATCTGCGGTCGAGTCTGTCCCTTCGTCTCTCCTGGCCCCTGCGCCGGTACCGCCAAGGCTTTCTAGTGCTTCGAAACCCTCCAGCGCCACAGCTTCGTCGTCTGAACGCCTTGAGGCCGGAAGGATGTCGGAATCGTCAAGCCGGAACGTCACCACAAAGGCGCAGAAGGAGGATGACAAGAATGGCGGTTATAACCTCAACGCCTCCGCCGCATCCAAACCCAGCGACAGTGCCGGCGGCGGCAATGTGCGCCGCTTCCTGCGTCGCCTCAGCAGCTTTGGCGCCAGCAGTGCCCGAACCTCCGACGGGAGCTCGGCGGCCAAGAAGAACAGCGCCAAGGCCAACTTCCCCGACGCCTCGACGATGCCCAAGCTGGACCGCGAGCAGCTGGTCAAAGCAGGCATCATTCCTGCGCCCCCTACATCCGATGTGACCGGGGCGGATGCCGCGGTCCCGAAGCATGACGCTGTGCTTGCCGCATCGCTTGCTGCAGTTCACAGCAACGATACCGACCCATCGACTGATCGACGGGAGCGAGAGGGCTTGCTGGATGCCCAGCGGCCACGCCCTTCCAATGCAAACGCCAAGCCGGTCGAGGCCATGCTCCGCAACCCCGACGACGCTTCATTGCCTACTGAGACTCGAGCGGGCCCTGCTCCGCCCGTCTACGAGCCCGCGGCACTCTCTGACGGCATCCAGGCTGCGGCGGAGCAGCAGGAGGCAACATTGATGCCAAGTGCTCCCGATGCCGCTCCTTCGATGGCATCCGAGCAGGTCGAGCGCGCGGTCGCCATCAACTCGAGCATGGCCAAAGCCGGCTTCGGTACCAGGTCCGCGACCGTCTTCAGACAGCCGCCCTCGGATGAGCAGCTGCGCACCGAGGCTGCGACCAGCCAGCTACCCACCGACGAGCTCGAAGCACGCATGCACCAGCTGGCGCCGCCTTCGGCTCGATCCGACTCTCGCACGCCGTCCTTGGAGGTGCCGACCCTGCTTGACAACGAGACCCCGCCGCCGCTGCAGCCCGGCGAGGTCATCACGCCCGCCTCGTCGGCCGGCTCACTCGTTCCTGCCCAAGCCGCCGACGAGGCTACGCCCAACAAGCCTACCTACCGCTCTGAGCCGTCTACGACGGCGAGTGCAGTATGGTAGGCATGGTAGCCCTGTTGGTAGCCCCGTCGGACATCCAAGTCCCATGACAGCCTCTTGGCTTGCAGTCATGCGGTGTCCGACCATCCGCCTTGGTCGCCCCGTTCCGAGCGAAGACGGGCCGCGGATCGAACGTCGAGCTGTCGAGCCCGCACCATCTGCCCAAAGTACGCTCGATAGCACCCACAGGCCGGCTGGCAGATGCGCCAGCATCGATGCCGACCGCGCCGACAGCGGCCAAAATTCCGAACTGCGCCACCGCCGGCGCGGCACAGCCCAAGCCGGCTCTCCCCGTCTCTTCTCATTGTACCCAGCATTGTCCGTCAAGGCCGGCATCGTTCGCCTTCATACACACTCCTTGAATCTGACCACATCGAGCAGGTTCATTGACCGCCAGCCCTCGTCTCTGCTCTACTACTGCGGGTTCGTCGCTGCGCCCCGTGCCTCCCTCGTCGCCTCGTCCTGCAATCCCTGCATGATGTTGGCGAGCCCCGCGAGCTGCGGCGGCGTCAATTTGGTAAGCACCACGGTAATGTGCAGGATCTGCTGCGTCTTGACGCCGCCGCCGCTGCTGCTTGCACCGCGCACCGGCGACTCGGTGACGCCCATCAATTTGGCCGCTTCGGTCTGGTTGGGATCGGCCGGTCGAGGCTGGCCAGAGAGACCGGAGGGCGTACCACTCGGACCCATCACTGGCACCAGGTGCGGGGCGGGCACCGGATGGATCCCCAGGCTGGTCAAGCGCGGCAGCGCCGACACGGGGATGAGGAGCGGGATGGGCGTCCGCGGTATCGAGGTTGGTGGTGCAGGCGGCGGTGCTGATGCCGTCGTCGGCGCTGCCGGTGCGGCCGGTGCGGCCGGGGCGGCCGGCGCAGCTGGCGCAGTCGTCGATGCGCCATTCGCGGAATGTGACGGCGGCGCGGGCGGGTGCGGCTGCGGCGCTCGACTCGACTGCGCCTGTTGACCTTGAGCCGGTGGCGCCATGGTTAGCTGAGAGCCCGTCGTGGACGCGGGCAGTGGTTGAACGGAGCCGACGACCGCAGAAGACGGCCCAGGCTGGCCGTTGATGTCCGAAACCGCTGCCGCAGGAGGTCGCATCATTCCACTCGTCGGCGGTCCGGGCGCTGCTTTCGGCTGTGTGGTCTTGGGGTCCTTGGGCGTGCGTGGCTTGGCGGGCTTCTTGGGCGGTTCCAGCGGATTCTTGCGCGGTCGCCCGCGCCCTCGTTTGACGACAGGCTGCGGTGCCGGTGGTGTGCTTGCTTCACCAACGTTGCCCGTTATCGGTCTCGCCGCAGGACCTGCTGGGATGGCTACAGGATGAGGGATTGGCGTGAGGGAGACCGGTGGCGTGGACGCGGTTGGGCCCGGCGCGAGTGGCAGCGATGTAGGTGCAGACATTGTCGGAGCCGGCCCCACGCTTGTTGGCACTGGGCGCATGGGAGGGCGCCCGATCATCTGGCCGAAAGGCGGTGTCATCTGCTGGGCGAAGGGCGGCTGTGGTTGCGGCGGCAGTTGCGCGGTCGTGGAAGGGGGCAGAGTCATGTGTGGCACCAATGGGCCGCTTGTCGTCGCCGTGTCTGCCGGCGTGTGGAGCATGTGAGGCACTGCGTGTTGCGACAATGCGACCTCCGAAGATGCCCCACCTTGGATCGGGGCCACTGGCGCAGGAGTGGGAAGGGTTGGAGCCGCTCGTGGTGCTGATTCGTTTGCCGCTTCGTTGGCAGGGGAAGGTTGGACGACTGTGTTTCCGATCAAGGCACTGACGGCAGGCGCAGGGGTCGAAGACGGAGGGGGCACCTCCGTCGGTGGCGCGGAACCGACCTTTGGCGACCGCTGCTTATCCATCACAGCGGGAGGCTGATGCGTCGGCGTCGCAGATATCGATGCGGCGGGCGTTTGAGATCTTGGCCGAGCAGTTGTCGATGCCGCAGTCGGCAAGAGGACGGCGGCAGCACCGTCGCCGCCAGCCAGCAGCCTCTCGCGCTCCTTTTTGGCCGCCGCGGCCGCCTGTCGCTCGGCCTGCCGCCTTGCCTTCTCGGCCTCGCGCTCGCGCTCCTTTTCAAGTTCGATCTCATCGGTGATGTGAAAGCGGAGATCGAGCTGGCTGCTGAACATGCCAGGCGTGAGCCGTTTCTGTGCCTCGATGGTCTCGAGCTGTGCCTTGGCGGCCTTGAGCTTGTCGATGTCGGCCAGCACTGCCGCGCGCTCGTCGTCGTAGGCAAGGCGTTCGAGGTGTTCGAGGGTGACCGCCGAGGTAGGGGCCTTGTGGTGAACCGTCTCGGAACGGGAGAGGAGCCTGTTGAAGCGAGTGAGGATGCTGTGGCGCATCCGAAAGAGGCTAGAGGCGTACGCGGCATCCGGAAAGTCGGGCAATGGTACCTCGGGCAGCTGCGCGGGCAGTCCAAGCTCGTCGAGATCGACAACGACGGCATCGGACGAAGCACCGGCGTCCTTTGACTCTGCCAAGGTGCCATCAAGCTGGCCGGCTTCACCCGCCACTGCACGCCCATCCGTCAACCTGCGACGCTTCGAGTTGCGCACGGCAGCGTGGACGGGGTCGTGCGCGCATCCGAGGGAGCGAAGGAGGTCGGTGTGCGGAACGTTCCAGACGTGGTAGGGAAGCAGACGTTGGAGTGCATCCTCTGCCGAGCGAAAGGGGGCCAAATCCGGCCTCAACACTGCCGCGTGATCCTGCTCGAGTAGAACATGAGGGGATAGTGGAGCGGCATGCCGGGGTGGCGTGCCCTGGATGTCGTCGAGTTGTGCGGGGTCGGCCTCGCACTCCTCTAGCTTGACGCGGGCCGATGGAGCCGGGACGGTCGCGAGTCCAGCAGGATCTGCGTCCGCGCTCTGCTGGTGCCGATGTTGGTCATGTTGAGCGTGTACATGGTGGCCATGGCCGTAGCCGTCGTGGCCTTGATCGTGGTGATGCTGTAGGGCGGGAGGAGTCGAAGGCAGCTGCGGCGGATGGTTGAGCTGTGCGGGATCGATGAAGGTGTGCATGCCGAGCTAGGGAGGTGGCTGGGGGCGAGCTGGGCGCGCTCGAGCCCGACTTGGGCCCGGTGGCTGCGGTGTCGAGGGTGAGGCTGGGTTAGGCAGTTGTGCTGGCCTTGATGTCGAGTGAGCGCTCTGAGCGAGGGTGGCGCTGGTTGGCGTCGACGCGGCCGACGGTGATCTGAGCGCAGGCTGCGAAGAGGGGGGCTGTTGGGTTGGGGTGGCCTTCGCGGTGGGCTTTGCTTTTTTGCTTGCCGCAGGGAAAGGTGGAGCGCAAAGGCGGGAGGGTGAGCAGGGCGTGGGCCTGGGCCTGGGCGTGGGCCTGCCTGGTCCCAAACAGGGTCGTCTGGCTTGGCCGTCTCGTCTGCCTCTCAGAGTCCCTGGCCCTTCCCGGCAACGGCGCGACTAGATCGGGGAATCCGATTGATCGATTTCCAAAGTGAGAATCGGGGCTAGGGGCTAGAGGCGATGGGTAGCCCAGGGTAGCCCAGGCGCGGGGAAGCGAGCGGTGCAGGCAGCCAGGTAGGCCTCCTTGCGGCAGAATGGGTTTACACGCGCTGCCCGCCGTTCTTGGCAGGTCAAATTGCAGGCCCAGCCCGCAGGCCAGGCCCCCCAGCAGAGGGGCAGGCCGGCCGGCCTGGCCCACCATCTGCCTCGCGCGTCAAGCACCGGATGGATGGACATGCCTGGCCTGCCTGGCCTGCCTGGCCTGGCCTCCCTCCCCCTCTTGCGCCTGCCCTGTCCTCCCTCCTCTTCCTCTCCATCCGCCACCATCCGCCTCGTTCCCGCTTTCCCCCCTTTTCCAAGTCCCGTCCTTCCTCCTCTCTCTCTCCATCACCCCTCTTTCTCTCGCCCTTTCTTTTTGAGAACACCTCTCTTCTTGCCGGTCAAGATGCGTGCCTCCTCCCTCTTCTTTGCTTCGCTCTCGTCCTCCCTGCTGTATGCGGTCCAGGTGACTGCTCACGGCTACCTCGCCTCGCCGCCCTCGCGAGCTGCGCTCTGCAAGGCCGACGGATCCCCCACCGCGTGCGGTGCCATCCAGTACGAGCCCCAGTCGGTCGAGGCGCCAAAGGGCCTCCCCTTCGCCCGCACCGGCGACGGCCACCTCTGCTCGGCCGGCGTCGATCGCTTCCCCGAGCTCGACCGCCAAGGCCCCAACGCCTGGAAGCACCAGCAGCCCTCGGACACGTTCAAGTGGAACATCCTCGTCCCGCACTCCACCACCGACTTCAAGTACTTCATCACAAAGGACGGATGGAACAGCGCAAAGAGCCAAGGTCTCTCGGCCTCGGACCTCGAATCGACCCCCTTCCTCCAGGTCAAGATGGACGGCAAGGAACCCACTGGATCCGTCGTCCACAAGGCCAACCAAATGCCCAAAAAGAGCGGCTACCACATGGTCTATGCCGTCTGGACCATCGCCGATACGGGCAACGCATTCTACCAGTGCCTCGACCTCGATTTTGGCGGCGGTCACAGCGTTAGCAGCTCCAACAGCAATGGCGTCGCCTCGGTCGGCGGCAACCAGGGTGCTTCTTCTGCGTCGTCGTCGTCGTCGTCTTCGGCTGCGGCGGCCAACTCGCAGGAGGGTGGTGAGGGCGCCAGCTCCGCTTCGGGATCCCAGGCTTCCGCCTCGTCCTCGTCATCGCAGCACGCAGACAGTGCCGGCGCGCACAGCAACAGCGCTAACGCGCAGTCCAGCAGCGGCTCTTCCCACGCTCAAGGCCAGGGCAAGCCCCCAGCCTCCAAGGGTCGTCAGCACTTCGCGGAGAGCAACACCGCACCCGCCGGCGCCAGCTCCATGTCTTCGTCGGACAAGAAGGCCCGCTGCCGTCGACGTGCCCAGGCCAAGCGCAGCCATGGCGGTCCTTCCTTTGCTGTCCTCAACAACGGCGGCTCGAGGATGACGAGGCGCAGCGCTGCCAAGCGTCCTCAGGCCTAAGGCGCGGGCAGGCCCGCCCCTCAGATACACCGTGTCGGCGCTCTGGTAGCGTTCGGCGCGACCGTGTTTCTTCAACAGCCCAGCGGCAGAGATTCAAACGAGCAGCCTCAACGAAGCGCGTCGGGCACGCGCAGCGAGTGACGCTCATATGCCAGGTCCTGCAGGTCAGGTCCAGGCGGTCGGCACGGCAGGCCCTTGTTCGACGACCCTATTCCCCCGCTCCCGGTCCCTCACTCTCCTCCGCCATCCGAGCTGTCCCCCTCCTCCCACACGCTGTATTGTAAGAAGCCTGGCAAATTCGCCAGAGGGCAGACGCGGCGAATCCGACCCCCGCGCTTGTCTCACCATAGCCGCCGTTTGCGAGATTGGGCTCCATCGTCTCCGGGCCTGGTCGCCCTCTGTGCGGCCCTCTGATTCTCTGGCTGACCGCTGCTTGAAGATGAACATTGACGTCGAGCGTCGGATCCAGGTCGATCCCGCTAGGGATTCTAACATCTAAACGAACGGAACCGGAGGGTTGCCACCTCGCGCTCTCGGCCAGCCTCGTTGCAGCGCATTGCTTGCTGCTCATGCACCTTTGCATTCGTGCGTCTGGATTGAGGGTGACGGTGGCCGTCTGCCCCGAGCTAGTAGCCCATGCTGACGTCGACAAGGTTGAGGCAGGGCTTGCCCTCGGCGAGACGCTTGACATTGACGCGGCAAATGTCGGTAGCGATGCGGTACTCTTCGTCTCCGGCCGTCCCCGAGAGGTGCGGGGTGATGATGGCGTTTGGGTGGGTGTAGAGAGGGTGGCCCGCCGGCAGTGGCTCCGGGTCAGTGACGTCCGCGACGAGGCCCAGGAGAGGGCCGTTGCCATCGTCGGCATGCCGCTCGAGCGCGGCAAGAAGGACCGAGGACCTGGCTACGTCGCCGCGTCCGACGTTGACGAAGACGGCGTCTCGAGGCAGAAGGCGAAAATGTCGATCTTCGAGCATGTATCGGGTCTTTGCCGTCGAGGGCAGGGAAGCGACGAGGATGTCGCAGCGGGAGAGAAACGAGGCCATATCGTCTTCGTCTGCGGTCGAGTAGACATGTTCAGGCAGGAGGCACTCGACGTCTCCGGTGCCGGGAATGACGTAGCCGTCGTCCTTAGTCCTTTGCCCTGTGGTGTTGGCGGCGATGATGCGTGCACCAGCGGCGCCGAAGAGCCGGGCCGTCTCTCGACCGAGGGAGCCGTAGCCCAGCAATCCTACCGTCCTGCCGCGGACGGATCTGGCAAAGTAGGGCGAGCCGTCTGGGTTGGGGAGGTCGTCGATCCACGCGGCGCGGGTGGCGGCGTTGAGGTACTGCGTGTGCAAGCGCATGTAGAGCATGACGACGGTCGCGAAGACGTAGGGCGGGATGGTGGGGACATGGGTGCCGCTAGAGTTGGCCACCATGATGCCTCTCCTCACTGGGTCGTCTACCTGGTCAAAGGCCGGGGAGGTCAGCAGCTGGTCGACGCCGGCCGAGACGAGCTGGATCAAGCGCAGCTTTGGCATCTGCTGCGAGAGCGAGGTGACGCTGGCGGGCAAGCCGCGGATCGAGCAAAACAGGACGGTGGCGGTTGCGAGCACCGAGGCGGGCGGATCGTTGGCTGGGTAGCAGTGTACCTGGCGCGCCACGGTGCGCAGCTGGTCGAGGCAGCTGGCCGGTAGCTCGCGCGCTATGGTGACGAGGATGGTGTCGACCTTTGGGCGGGTCGTCATCTTTGATGCGCGGCGGGAAGATGGCGGCGCGAGACAGAACAGTGCGAGACGACGAGTGAAGGGATCGGCTCGTCTCGCTCCGACTGGCGTCGAGCTCGAGTGGGCGGCCGTTGTCGCGGGCTTCGGCCTGCGTCGTAAGGGCTAGTAGTATCGGTGGGGAAGATGAGGCGCAGTGCTTGCCACCTCGTATGTATCTAGACGACACGGCAAGTTAGCGGTCGCGATCGTCGTCTTTGGGGTGTGCGGAGCCCCGTACTGTATGATGATGGGCCAGGCTGCTTTGCGGCGGGGCCTTTTTCGGGCCGAGGCATGACCCGCTAGTTACGATTCGCTGCTGGTGGTGGCAGCATGGTGCCGTTCCATCACGCACTCTTTCTCTCTCCTCTTCCCTCTCAGGCGTCGAACAGCCGCCGTGGCCCGCCCTTGCGCTCCCCCTTCCCGAGGCGATTCTGATCGTCGCAGAGCCATGCTGGCCGGCCAGAGAGAGGCGAAGTGGATCGCAGCCATTTAGAGAAGAAGCAAAGCATGGCGCGGATGCGGGCGGCTGCTGGCTTCGTTTGCTGTTCCGAGATCCGAGGGCTGACTTTATTGCAGTACTGACCGGCCGTTCGGCAACTCGCTTTGGCCGAGGCGAGCGACACGCCGACGCGACTAAGGGCAAGGCCAGGCCAGGCCAGGCCAGGGCAGGCCTCTGCAGGCCCACTCGCAAGTCGGCTCGCTCGCTCGCTCGCTCGCTCGCCCGCCCGCCTGCCTTCTTCATGTGCTGGTTACGGGGGGGCCTGCCAGGCCTTCCGCTTGCCCCTCGCCGCGCCCAGGCCATCATCTCGTCCAACGCCTCCTCTCGGTCGCGCTCGTCTTTGTCCCGTCGTCCACTCTACGCCACCGTCACCGTCCCAACCATCGCCCGACATGCTCACGTCGATCCTGCAGCCCACCTCGCGATGGTCGACGCTGCTGACGCGATGCCTGATCCGCCTCATGCTCCTCCTCCGTAAGCCTAAGCTCTCGCCGGCTGCCCAGCCGCACGATGCGCTCGAGTCGCTCCCCTCGAAGCTGCGCCAGAAGTTCTCCATCTCCATCACTCGCCTCTCTCTGGCGCTCCCGTCCGACTGGTCCGACGCCAAGCACTGGAACCCGCTCCTCCTCTCGCCCCTCGGACACAAACCCACAAAGCGCACCGTCTTTTACATGCACGGCGGCGCCTTCATCCACATGATGTCGCCCTTCCACTGGCAGACCGTCGCACGCCTCTCGCAGGATCTCGAGGCCGACGTCGCCGTGCAGACCTACACGCTGCTGCCCTACGCCGGCATTCACGACGTGATCCACAAGCTGGTCGAGGTCTACCGCCACGTCCACGCCGAGGCAAAGAAAAAGGGACACGAGGTCATTGTCGCGGGCGACTCTGCCGGTGGCTGCCTGGCCGCTTCGCTCACCCTGGCGCTCAACGACGCCAACCTGCCCGTGCCGGACCAGCTTCTCCTCATCGCCCCCGTCCTCGACGCCGAACTCACCCGCCCTGCCACCCGAGCGCTGCAGCACCGCGACCCCTGGCTCAAGATTGATCGACTGGGCCACGTCGGCCACTTTTGGTCGGTGGGCGGAAGCACCGAGCGCGACGTCTTCCTTGCCGTCACGGCCAAAAAGGTGGGCGAGCCGACAAAGGAACAGCGCGAGGCCATGCGTCACCCCTACGCCAGCCCCATCCTGGGCGACTGGTCGTTCTACAAGGGCCACATTACGACCATCTGCGGCACCAGCGACATCCTCCTCGCCGACTCGCTCGAGCTCGCAGCCAAGGCAGAGCAGCAGCAGCCACTCGACGTCACCTTTATCAAGGCCGAAGGCTGCATCCACGTCTACCCAATCCTCTTTGGCCTACCCCTCGCCCGCCTCCTTTCCAGGGACTCGGAAAGGGGCTTCGAGCTCATGGTGCAGAGCGTGCTGAGGAAGAGCAGTGTCTGAGCCTTGTGGCCACGGCCGAGCAACGCGACCCGCACCGAGATGTCCACGACGGGATGTTGATATTATCGAGGTCAGCAGGCTTTCACGTAACGTTCGGTAGCAGACGGTGCTGTCTCTCTTTCTCTTCTCAGTCTCGGCCGCTTATTTGAGCGCATTGGTTCAGATAGGAGATCGCAGCTGGCTCTGGATTCCAATAATGTTACCCGCCGATGCCGCCATCCTTGAGCTGATATGTATCTGTATCCCTGCCTGTCTGGTCCTCGACCGCTCAGTCCCAAGCCCGACGGTCGGAACCCGACAAAGGCGCCGGCCGGATTCTTCGACGTCAGGCCTGTGCTCTTTGAAGTCAGGAGCGTGCAGCTGCAGCCTGTCGTACGAGAAACGGCCTCCGTGGCCGCTTGTTTTCCAGCTCGCGGGTGGGCAAAACGCCAAGAAAGCAGCCAAGGCTCAACCCACACTACTTTCTCACGCAGGCCGGCCGGCTGGTGGATCTGCATGCGCATGTCAACCCGTGCGGCCGTGCCGTCGTGCGTGCGCCGGAGGGCTCGGCGTGGCTCGTCAGTTCTCGCTTGACCCGGCAGATGCGCCCACCGTCGGCCCGATCGGGGCGATCCGCGCTTTGGGACGGGAAGACGCCGACGGGCGTAGATCCTAAGGGCGAGACGGAGCAAGCTGCCTTGCACTTACTGCGAATCCTTGGCAGCCGTGACCAGCAAGCAGCATCGAAGGGTTCGAGAGACCAGCAACGAGGAAGGAGCGAGGTTGGTGAGATTCCAGAGAGACACACCCATCCATCGCCTGCCCTCTCTCGCCTACCGGCCTACACCCCAACACCTCGTCGGAGGTCTGCCGGCACTACGCCTGCCATAGCGCCCTCTGGACCGGAACCTTGCAGGCCCCGGCCGGGCAGGGCGTAGCTTCGCCCGACGTCGTCTTGGCGCTGGCAGGCCATGCATGCAAGGCCGACTCGACCCAGGGCCCTGGTGCCGAGCCCAACCAAGTTGGGGTGCCGTACGGAGAGTGTCTGACGGCCGAGCGGGGCTTCTCTAGGGCAAAATTTCCGATCGATGTCTGCACACAAACCACGCGCGGCATGCCTGGCGCAGGTCTGCCAGGCAGGAAGGTGCGTATGTATACATGCACACACGCTTCTTGAACGGCGTCTTTCGGGCAGGGTGCAGAGAATCAGCTTGCTCGCTTGCTGCCTGCTTGCTTCGGGACGTCGCGAACTGCTTTGTCTCGACTGGCAGGAAGTAGCGGGGGGGGGGGCACGCCGAGGCGGTCGACGTCTCCGCGGTTTTGGCCTCGTCCGATACCGCGACTTCGTGGCCTCGCTATCTCTCTCCGGACCTGCGCTTTCTCGCCACCCACTCTCCGTGGTCGGCTTGCTTGCTTGGCGTATGGCCATGCGCGATAAGATTCGACCCGAGCAGCACGCAAACAGATAGGCCACAGGCTTGCTTGGCACTCAGCAGGCTACAGGTACGGTAGCCAGACAGGCGCGGCAGCCAGCACGGGGCAGACACGCACCCTCCTGCCTGGTGTGCCGATGTAGCTCGAATCCCGCGGTGCCTTCGGCGTCGAACCTCACCATGTCCTCGCCTGTCCCGGCTCATGCCAGCAGCTGCCTACCGCGCCCAGCCTGTCCCCTGCGTCCGGTCGCCGCGCTGACGGCCTGTTGGTCTCTTCCCAGCCGCGTCTTCATCCTCTTTCAGCCTCACCACCACGTCCGATCCATCGCTACCGTCACTCTTACCCTTCTCATCCTTCTCTGGATCGTCGCTGATCCGACACGGTTGCTGTGCTCCTTTCCGACCTTACGAGGGGCAGATTCCAATGTGATCCTCCCCTTCCAACACCCCCGCAGCCGATCAATCGCCGGGCGACTCTTCACCCTCCTCAGGGACGGCATCGCGCTTCATCTCATTCTCGCCTGCCTGGCATGTCCCCGCACGCGATCGCTCCTATGCCGGCGCTCTTCGCTGCCCTCGCCGCCCTGCTGGTCTGCCTTGCGCCCGTGCTCCGCGTAGCGGCATACCAAGCCTTCCCCGAGAGCGATGCCAATCGCACCTTTGACACTACTTTCAGCATCAGCCCGCCGCCTGGCAGCGTCCCACCACATCTCCGAGGCGCCACCTTCCAGCTCTACAACTACATCACGCCCGACTACGATCCCTCCCGCGTCCGCCGCGCCGTCATTGCGCTTCACGGTCTCGGCCGCGACGCCTGGGGCTACTTTGACCAGACCAACGAGGCGCTGCACAATGCCACCTCGCGCAGGGACCGCAAGAGCAAGCGTCCTCGCCTTGCCCGCGACGAGGTCGTCATCATGGCGCCCCTCTTCATGAACGACGAAGACCAAGGCGGCTTCCCGGTCGACGAACAGGGCAACCCCACCACCTCGGCGCTCGTATGGCCAAAGAACAAGTGGGCAGAGGGCGCAGACACCATCCTTCCCGCCACGATCTACGACGAAGACGGCGACGAGGTCTCTGCCCCGGGCATCTCGAGCTTCGAGGCGCTCGACGAGGTCATCCGCTACTTTTCCAACCAGAGCGTCTTTCCGAGGCTCAACACCATCATCATTGCTGGGCACAGGTACGTCCGCGGGTGATCACAGGTGGTAAGGATGTAGAAAAGTGTAGCGACGCCTGACCCCATGCCTTTCACGCTTGCACCTCCCTGTTTTCATCTATCTACCTCCTCGAACGGATCCCACAGTCTTGGCGCCCAGATGGTTCAGCGCTACGCTCTGATAGGCTCGGTGCCTAGCGGCGAGACGCCGGTCCACTTTGTGGTCGCCAATCCGGGATCATTCGCCTACCTCAGTGATTGGCGCCCGCGCAACTACGCCGGGTGTCCAGAGACGTTCAACGCGTGGAAGTTTGGCCTGGGTAGCTACGGCCAGCGCTATCTTTCCGATTTCATATCGCAGTCGCTGGACACGTCCAACGACATCGAGAGCGTTGTGGCCAGGTACCGGCGGCGGGTCGTGTCTTACTTGTTCGGGTTGGCCGACGACGGCCTCGGCGATACTGGCTGCGAAGCGCGCGCCCAGGGGCTCAACCACCTCAGTCGCGGACGCAACTTTGTCAAGCACCTCTCGGGGATGGACGACGGCTTCCCCGACACCCACTCGGTCGAATACATCCGAGGTGTGGCCCACGATGCGCTAGGCATGTTCACCAGCCGCGCCGGCCTAGAGCGCTTGTTCTACATCAACCTCGACGGGACCGAGCTGCCCACGGCGGTCGGAGACGACGACAGGGGCATCAACCGCTGGCTATTCGAGCAGATGAACTCGGCATGCGGGGAGTCGACCGGCACGACCACCGCGATCCTCTCGTCCATGATGGCGGCAGCGACGGCGTGGTGGCTGGTCTCGACGTGATCGGTCGTTTCCCTGGCAGCACAGCAGCACAGCAGCCTGCGGACAGTGTGCCCGACGGCCTGTTCCGAGCTCTACTGCTCTTCGACTCATGGTTCAATGACATCTGTGCACCGTGGCACGGCCGCACAGGCATCGGGCTGAGACGAGTGCCTCCGCATCACTCACACCGTCGTGTCCCCGTCCGTTGACGCCGTGTGTGTCGCTCGAGGAGGGAGCTCTCTGGCCATCGCGGTTTGCCCGTGACCGCTTCGACATCCGCACCAACAGCGCTGCGCCTTGATGAGCCATGCCTGCGGTTGCAATGACCGAAGGGGCCGACGAGCGAGAAGGCCCGGCATGCGCTCCTACCACTGGCTTCTGTATCGACGGGCGACGCTACCCCGCGCTTTTCTCGCGTCCATGCGCAGGACTCGATGCTCGCCGAGAGGTACAGAACGGGTCCCAACGCACTGGTCCACGCGGCACGGCAGAACCGCACGCTGATCTCGTCCCATTGCGCCGATTGGAGAGCGGCAGGCAAGCGAACAGCGTGGGGAAGGCGGGTCGGTGGCCAGCCAGAGGCGATGGCTGCCTTTCTTGACTTGTTCAGCGGTCAGAGTGGACGTGCAACGTAGTCCCGTCCACCTTGAGGAGCCCGAGGGAGCGGCGGTGCGGAGCGCCGAACCTTATTTCGCGCTTCGTCTACCGCCCTGGGCCGAGCGGTGCGCTGTCGGCTCAGCGCTCTCGTCTCGCTGCCTCTTTTGTTCTCTACAGACCTCCAGCATGGTACCCAGTCTCTGTGTGGGGAGACGTGAGCGGGGAAGTACTGTAACTGGCGCCTCGTCCTCTCGTTCCGTCTTCTCATGCTTCTGTTAGCCGCTCCCCGCTTCAATTCAGCCGCGGCATGTACATCTGTAGGTCCAACGCCCCTGTCCCCGCGCTCTGGTGTCAGCATGAAGGTAGATTGCCGCCCAGCTCGACAGGATCGACGAATCCTGCCCTGCCTCGGAGAGTGGGCATATATCAGAGCTACCCCACGTCCCATCCTGATTGCCTTTCTATGCTGGGGTACCCGTGGGCCGTATACAGACGTGGGGCGCCTACGGGTGCCAGCGCACAAGCCCAGATGCAAAGATTCACAGCAGAGTAGTGCAGTAGCGGTGTCAATACAGATCATACCCAATATGAGCTTCGCTGTGACCGTCTTCGCCTTCTTCGTCTAGCGCTCGATACCTAGACGAGCGGCAGAAGCGATGGTCAGGCCAGGCTCGAGACTGCAGAAGCCGGCCGTTCCGCGGACGTGCCGCGGTCGGTCGTCGGTTCTGGGCTTCAGCCGGCGGCGGATGCGCCCGCGCCGGCGCTAGTTCCGGCAGAGTGGGTACGTACATACTGCAACATGAGGCCCGTGGCATCCAGGTCTGCAGCCGTGCCTGTTGGTGACCGCCGTCTTGGCGGCCGAGGGGGGCAGTTTCCGGCAACACTTGAACATCACCTGCCGAGCTGAGCAGCATCTTCTCGGAACAAGGCCCTCCGATGAGGGTGGGCGCGCTGGCGGTACTTGACCCTACTCACGCAGCGTAAGTACAAGTCGAAGGTGCTGAAGCGGGGAGCCAACGCCGATGATCGCCGCCGGCGCGCTTGCCCCTGCGTAGGAGACGCAACGCCCAGCTTTTGCTTGTCGACCGCCCAACGAATGCAGCTTCAAACGTACCGCTAGACTGCGAAGTGTTGGCTTGCGCAAAGGAATCGTCGTCCATGGCCTCGCAGTCAACAGGTGACCGCGAAGACTTCAGGCAACCTCCTGCACTTCAGCAAGCGTGATGGGTGTCCTTCCTGCGAAGTCGTCCGCTGCTCATCCCGTCGGCGCTTGCGTCGCGCGCCACCCATGACTCCATCCTCGTACGCGCTCGATTCCTGTCACACCAAGACTCGTAGGAGCCCTGCACGCCTCCGAATCCGCCTCTCAATCCTCGCTTCCTGCTTGATCTGGCCGATACCGCGGAAGTTTCGAAGCCCGGCGACAATTTCCATTTCATGTCTGCCTAGACTGATGCACAGCTCAGCCCGCAGATACAACATCGCGACCGACATCGCGGCTTCCGGTGCCAAGGTCTTACATCGATGTCGCAGCAAAAACGCAAGGTGCAGTGCCGGTACACAAAGCCTCAGCTGGCATCACCCCGATCCTGCACAGGTCTCGTCTACCGTGGCCACGAGGCATACAGACACATATGTAGGTGCTCGAGGCGAGGCAAGACTGGCTACAGTAATTAGACAGTCACGGGGATGAGCGCGTTTTGGTCGTTCTCTACCGCACATCCTCCGACTCTCTATGGCCTGGCGCACTCGATCCGCTTCGCTTGCCATGATCGAGTCCTCCTTCCCACGGGGGAATCTGCTCGGTCAGGCTTCCTTCAGACCAGTCCCGGTTCACCTTTCTTCCATACCGCGCGCGTTTCTTCTGATTCCCGCTTCTTGACGGGTGGTTCAAGCGAGTGCCAACCAGAATTCCATCGACTCAATCGCTACGACCGCTCTGATTCGTTGTGCCTTGATGCATGGCGCTGCGCGTACGCCCGCTTCCGTCGCCGACTTCCCCGTCAACGCGCCCAGCAGCATGCGTATGTACGTAGTTCTCCGGCGGCATCGGCACGCCCGCTCCCCTTCCAACCTGGCCTGGCCTGTTGCGCATCAACAGCACCTGTCAACCGGGCGTCCGCGTGCAGAGGGACCCGTTTGCAGATCATCGCGCACCCAGGGAAGCAGCGTTAAGCTTGCTCCAGACAGATGAACCCGCCAAACGAGCTCCCCAGCCGCCTGCTTGTGCGATGAAGGCTGCCCAGCCCGCGTCGAGGTCTTCGCGCAGCGCTGCTCCGGTGCAGCGCCCCTAACGAGCGGCACAGCGACACGAAAGCCGGTACTGTACTCCCCCGCGCTCTGTGACCATCGACCATCACTGTGTTCTGTCTTCGGCCTACTTGCTAACCCCCGCGCCGAGGAAGGCCCGCCGTCGCTGTCGACGCAGTACAGCAGCGTCTTGGCCGACCGCGGCCGCCGTTGCCACCGATGCCGCCGAACGGCACGAGGACGTCCCAACGGCATCTGCCACCGCGCCGGTGCAGCCTTCGCGGCAAGTTTGCGCTGTGGCGGGATCCTGTCCATCCTCCTCGAGCCCCCACGGTCCATCTGCAGTCGGCCTGAGGGGCTTCGAAGGCACTCCTCAGCTAGCAAGCAAACGTATAAGAGGGCTCCTCCCAAGGCACATCATCGAGTCCTGTCTCCCCATCATCCTCTTCTCCAGCCAACATCACTGCAGCCTGGCGCTCATCCCAAAGCTCTCGAACGATTCGTTCAGCTCGATACCATACTCTCTGCTCCTTTCTCCAACATAACCTCCTCCGCTGCCCAAGATGGTCAAGCTCTCGCTCTCTTTCGTCTTCCTTGCCCTGTCGTCGTACGCCTACGCCGCCGGAACCACCTGCACCTTTAAGACGGTGGCGCAGGTCAACGCCGGTAAGGCCAAGTGCGACAAGATCGTGCTGGACAACATCGTCGTCCCCGCCAAGACGACGCTCGACCTCACCGGTCTTAGGGCGGGCACGCAGGTCGTGTTCTCCGGCAAGACCACCTTCGGCTTCGCCCCGTGGAGCAAGGACAACTTCCTCATCGCCATCGACGGCACCCGCATCACCGTCACCGAGACGCCCGGATCCGTCATTGACTGCGGCGGAGAGCGCTGGTGGGACGGCAAGGGCTCCAACGGCGGCACGGAAAAGCCCAAGTTCTTTTCGGCCCACAAGCTGACCGACAGCCACATCGGACCGCTCCACATCAAGAACACGCCGATCCAGGCTTTCAGCATCAACGGCGTCAACGGCCTCACCCTCGACGGCATCAACATGGACAACTCGCTCGGAGACGTCAAGGGCGGCCACAACACCGACGCCTTCGACATCGGCTCGTCGACCGGCGTCTTCATCACCAACGCCGTCGTCAAGAACCAGGACGACTGCCTCGCCGTCAACAGCGGCAAGAACATCCTCTTCTCCAACGGCGACTGCTCCGGCGGCCACGGCCTCTCGATCGGCAGCGTCGGCGGACGCTCGGACAACACCGTCGACGGCGTCCGCATCGAGCACTCCAGGATCAGCAACTCGGACAACGGCGTCCGCATCAAGAGCGTCGAGGGCGCTAAGGGTCTTATCAACAACGTCACCTACACCGACATCACCCTCTCCAACATCGCCAAGTACGGAATCGACATCCAACAGGACTACCAGAACGGCGGCCCGAGTGGCACCCCGACCAACGGCGTCAAGATCACCAACATCAACATCAACAACGTCAAGGGCAGCGTCGCGTCCAAGGCGACCCCGATCTACCTCCTTTGCGGCGAGGGAAGCTGCACCAACTGGAAGTGGAGCGGCAACAGCATCTCGGGCGGCGTCCCCAAGCCCAACAGCTGCAAGAACTTCCCGAAGCCCGCTTCGTGCTGATCGCCCGTTGCCGTCCCCAAAGGAGCTCCTCAGCTCTCCGAGACGGGAAGTGGCCGCAATTACCGAGAGCTTCCCGTCCGCGGACGGTCGCCGGCCGGAAGTTTTCGCCTTGTCTTCTCTATCACACCCACACTCGTTTGTCCTTGACCTTTCACTGATTTGCGGAACGGAGCCATTCTTCATCCTTTGAAAACGGAATCCACTCAATGTGGTTATGCATAGCCTCGCGGGGAGGCGGATTGTGCTTCCCCTCGTCGGCACGAAGGTGGTGCGGGCCGGTGTATATTCGGTGGCAGTGTCGCAGCTGACTGAACTGTAGGCTTGACCTGCAGATGCTCGAGCGGTGACCCTACTTGGAGGGAGAAGACGATAGGAGGGGAAGCCCATAGCCGGTGAGGAGGAAGCTGCGTGGCGGGATGCTCCAGACGCAGCCACGTGATCCAAGAATGTGGCCGAAGAACAAAGCTCGGGCAAAGAACGTGGGTGGGCGTTGCATCATTGAGATCATGTGCTCTGCCGATGTAGGGCTGCAGGCGTTGCAAATCCATGTCATGATCGTCAGGCGGTGGCGTTGTAGGACGGCAAAGAAGAAGCTGGTGTCAATCAGGCAAATATTATTGGTGGTCACCCCATCATGAAAAGCCACGCGAGGCGCCGTATCCGACCCGTGCAGTGCACTGCCTGGCCTAACCTGGCAGGACGGCGTGTCGACCGACACATCGCCTGCTCATTCTCCCGACCGCATGGCGCGCCCGATTAATTCTCGTCGGCGCCGATGACGCCGGCTGATCGCCCACCCACCCTTAATCCCCGACTCCGGCGTCCTCATCGGCCTCTTACCACCTGGCCACCTGGGGTCGAACCTGCCGTCCTCTCGATCGATCCCGCCATCATTATCTTGCCGCCGACATGCTTCCTTCAAACATGAGGTCGACGCTCACAAGGCGCTTGATGGCTTCGATCGCCGCACCGCCGAGGATATCGACTTCCCGCGCCACTGCCGTCTCCATCTCTGCACGCAACCATGCTGCCGTCTCTCAAGCACAACGGGCAGCCCTCCCTCGGTTTTTTCCCCACCGAATGAGCTATGCCACCGAGGCTCACAGCAGCGACGCACGCTCGACATGTGGGCCATCTTGCGATCAGGACCATCATCACGCCACTTCGCCCTCGCCCTCGTCTTCGGGTCCCGACGACACGCTGTCTCGTCTCCTCCCCAGCAACAGCCACGTCCATCTATCCATGCCTCTTGAGCTGGCCAGGGGCACGATCAGCACCACCCTCAACCACCTTCGCTCCGCTCCGGACATCTCCAACCTCCAAGAGCGCGTCGCGGCGCAGAGCAGAGTCGACGACGAAATCAAACGCTCCCTAATGGCCGCCGGACATACCGCTTCGGATCTCACCTCTCTCGCCAACGTGCTGCTTGCAGCATCGCAGGACCCTCGGCGGCAGCCCATCGCCTTCCGCCTCTTCGAAATCGCCTATGGACCTTCATCCCTTGTCGCCACCTTCCAGCTTCCCGCTGAACAAAGGCAGAGGATCAGGGAGGAGGCTCGGACACGCGCCCGGCCCGGAGATGCGCAGGACGCACAGGTCACCCAGCAGGGCTGGTGGGACGACGAGGCCGGATACAGCTGGGCTGGCATGATCCTCTCCAACGCGGCTCCCCCACCGCCCAACCCGGCCCACCTGCGCGAGCGGCATGAAGAGGCCATCGAGACTTACCGTCGCCTGGCCGAGCGCGGCAACGCCAACGGTAAACTCGGGCTGGGTCGCCTTCTCCAGGCCCAGGCCGTCAGCGGGCGGCTGGACGCACATACCAAAGACAAGGTGGTGCAGCGCGTCCTCCAGCTCTGGCGCGAAGCCGGCGAGGCGGGCAACGCAGAGGCATGGTACGAGCTGGGTACCGTTCACCTGGGCGGTGCATCGGTTGCGGTCGATGAGAGCGAGGCGGAGCGATGCTTCGTCAAGGGCGCTGATCTGGGTGAGTACGAAGTCGGCCGCCTTTCTACCTGAAGAAACATCGACTGACTCTCCGCACTGCTGATCTCCTCTCGCTCGATGATGCTGTCGGGACACAGGCCACGCTGGCTCGCACTACGCGCTGGGCGTGCTCTACATGCGCCTTGCAAAGCCCGTTCAGGCCCACGAGCATTTCCACGCCGCAGCGGAGCGAGGCGATGTTCAGTCGCAGTACAATCTGGGACTTCACTACCTGCTGCAACCTTCGCTCCATCTTCAGTCTGCCGCGCTCGTCGATGGAAGCAAGACGTTGCACCAGTTGCACGAGGAGCGATGGGGCGTCAAGCCAGACGACGTCCTCGCCCGCCTTTGGTTCGAAAGGGCCAGCGCCGCGCACTTTGCTCCGGCACTGATGAACCTAGCGGCGCTGCTGCACGAAGGTCGGGGCAATCCTCCGCCACCATCCACATCTTCGTCGTCGTCGAAGGACAGCGTGGCAGAGACGGCCAGCGGTGCGACTCACCTGACGCGCAGCCAGCAGCTGCAGTATTCCGCTGCTCTGTACGCCAAGGTGGTCTCGATGGGCAGCGTCTCTTCCTCGCTTCCAGGCAGCAATGCAGGAGGCGGCGGTCTCGCTCGATTCGGACTCGATCGAGAGAGTGCCGAGGCCATGGTCAAGCTTGCCAACGAGGAGATGGAGAAGGTCAACAAGGCTCTGCAGGAGATGCAGGGAGAGGCATAGCATGAGCGCATCGGCGATGTCGACGTCCACGCAGCGCGCAGACAAGGCGGGGCAGGTCAGCACGGCACGGCAGCTCACCAGCCTAGCGCACCTTCTTCGGATGGCTCGAGGCAACGACGGCGAGCACGCGCACGGCATTGAGAAGCATAGAGGGTATCGAACAAAGTCTTGCAAAGATGAATAGACATGGAAAAGAGGCCGAAAGCCGGGTTGCGACGAAAAGAAGGTGATCAGACACGCCTACAGCCTGGCCTCACCGTGGCCACCAGCTTCGCCGCGAAGCGGAAGCGACTCGACGGCTCCGATCTCGCGTGCAACGTTGCGGGCTACGCCGCGAGCGCCGGCCATGGTAGTGATCATCGGGTTGACGCCGCTGCTCTCGGGCATGATGCTGGCGTCTGCGACCCAGAGATTCTTGGTGCCCCAGACGCGACCCTCGGGGTCGAGGGCCGAAGACGAGGGCGAGGCGCCCATGCGGCACGACGCCATCTGGTGGGCGCTGCCAATCGAGAGGAGGTAGGGCTGCGCTCCGACGGCAATCACCTTCTTCTGCCACGCCTTGTACGCCGGGTCGTTGAGGTCGCGCGGCACCGTGTCAACGGGCGTGTAGGTGGCGGGAACCTGCGTGGTCTCTTTGAAGACATGGTCCGACGGCGGCACAACCGAGGCCGATGCGCTAGCGCTTGGCACAGAGGTCGTGTTTGCGACCTGACCCGTAAAGGCCGGCACGCCAACTTGGGCCGTCGAAATCTCGACGGCGCCTGCCGCCATGTGCGCATCGGCGCCCCGAAGGATGCCCTGCAGCAGGCTCCTCTGGTCGAACTTCGAGATGACATACTTGACGCGTGCGTTGCCCTGCTTGTCGAGCACGACCTGTCCCGCATCGCGGTCGCGGCAGATGATGACCATGGTGTAGGAGTGAGAGTAGCGGATCATTTTGGCCTTGTGTTCGGCGCCGCCCATGTAGTTGGAGAAGGCCGCATGGACCGAGGGCGAAGAGGCAATGACCTCGATCTTGCAGCCCCAACCCTCCGGGTCGACCATTTCTGCGCCGTTGGAGACCATGGTCAGCAAGCCGCCCTCCCATGGCTTGATCGGGAAGTTGTAGTAGCCGGTCACCACCGTGGCAGGGTGAAGACGGAGGTTCTTCCCGATCTGCTTGTTGTACTTGAGCTCGGGCGTGCGGAGCAGGAGAGCAGGCGTCTGGATCGAGCCGGCCGACACAACGACGCCCTTGCTGGCCAGGATCTTGACACGACGACCGTCGACGGTGGCCATGGCGCCAATGGCGCGCTTCTTGCCGTCAAAGAGGATGCGCTCGACGCGGCAGTTGGTCATGAAGGCGGCACCTGCCTCGGCAGCGTCCTTGAGCCACGAAACGACGCCCCCCTGCTTGTGGCCCGAGATGCAGCCCAACTGGCACTTTCCACAATAGTGAGTGTGGCCGCCGCTGTTCTGGGGGACGGGTTCGACGGGCTGGCCGGCGCGCTGAGAGCCGAGCGCCAGGAGCGAGTTGGAGACATTGTGTCGGATTGGCGCCACGGCGACGCCCATGCGGGTGCAGACGGCATTGAGGTCCGAGGTGAAGAAAGGGCTATTGTAGTAGGGTACGCCGTACTTTTCGGCCCAGGCGCGACGGACAAAGTGGCGCGGCTTGAGCGAGGCTGACCAGTTGATCGAGGTGCCGCCGCCAAAGGTGGAGCCCGCGAGAATGTTGATGGTGGCGTCCTCCGAGGGCATGATCCCCTGGCCTTCGTAGAGGAGCGAGTAACCCTGATCCTCGCGTCCGACAACCTGGTCGGGTCGGAGGTAGATGCCCTTGTCGACGATGAGGGTCCGCACGCCGCGCTGCGCCAGGTAACTACCTGCAACGCCGCCTCCAGAACCAGTACCGATGACGAGGACCTCGGTATCGACGATGAGCTCGGTGCCCTCCGGCTGGGCGGCGAGCTTGTCGTTTTCGAAGATGTACTCGTAGTGAGGCACCGCGGGCTCTTGCTGTGGGGCATTCTTCTGCCAGTCGTCTGCGGGGCCGTCCGGATAACCGATAGCCTCCCAAGCAGGCTGGTGGTTGCGGTAGAAGACGAGGAGGACGATGCCGCGCAGGCCCGACGCGGCTTTGCGCAGGAGCGAGATGGGCGAGGCGCTCCATTTTTTGAGCACGGCCTCGCGGTCCTGGCGGCTGAGGCTCTGATAGGGGCCGAGGTAGCCGGTAAGTGCGAGGCAGCCTGGGCGGGTGCCGATGAGGGAGAGGAGGAGCGCGATGTCGCCAAAGGAGCTGTCGGAGAGCGAGGCCTTCATCTGGGTGGCGGCGCAGTCGAGAAGGCGCGGGTCGCTGGCGAAACCGTCCGAGGCGTACCGCGGGGCGAGCTCGCGCTGCCGACTGGTAGCGGCCGCGGGGAGCTGGGAGAGGACGTTTGCGGCCTCCTCGCCCTCGAGGGCAGGTACGACGGCATCACCGAGCGCGCGGAGTACGTCGATCTGCAGCGGGGTGAAGACGTCCGACGCCTTCAGCAGTGTGGGCATCGGGTAGGACTTTGGTGATGAGGTAGCCATGGCGAAGGCGATCCGTGGTCGTTGTTGGGGGAATGAGGGGAGGTGGAAGAGTTGGTGGTGGACGAGGGGCCTGGGCGGGTGGCGAGAGAGCGCTGAAGGCGGGGTCTATAAGGAAGGCAGGCAAGGCAGGCAAGACAGGCAAGGCAGGCAGGCAGGCAGGCAGGCAGATTCAGAGACGGGTGCCCCGAGCGAGCCACCTCGAAAGTAGTGTGGGGAACATGCGCGAGGGGAAAGGCAGAGCGAGCCACATCCGCCGCAGCGGCTCGCGGCTCAGGAACCGACCGACCCCGCTCTCCCCCGCGGCGCCGCCCCTTTGCCAGCGCAGTCCTCCAACACGGCCGCCGCCACCCTGCACTCTGCAGTCCCTTCGTGGATCTGTTTTGGCCCAGCAGATGACCATGATGGGCCGCCATTCAGAGAAACCGTCTTTCCGTCGGTACACATACAGTAGGGGTAGGTAGCTGCACACGCAGGCCCGCATCGAGCCCGGACCATCAGAGTCAAGGCCGTATGATCGCGGCGAGATCCGAGGGGGGCCACGACGAGGTCAGAGCGGGGATCCGAGCACAACGGCGTTGGTCGTCGGCGGCTTCAACGCTTGCATGCAAACACGACCAGCAGGTCAAGCCACATCTGCAACGAGATCCTTACCAAAGCCGGTCAGCCAGCTCGCTGCCGCGGCCGAAGGCGGAGGCGCCTGCGACCCACGCCTCGGACTCGGTGCGCTCCCCACCTTTCCTGCAGCCCCACCTGCCACATCTTGTCGCGACAGCCAAAGGGTCGCGTGAAAAATTGGTCTCACCTTCGGCTCCGAGGCCAATGTCGCCCGCCACCCGCGCGATAGATCTGGGGGCATCAAACTGGCTGTGAATGTGCCCTTTATGCTGTCCCGAGCCCGAGATGACCAACAGGCCCGTCGATGTTACCACTACTACGCCCCCTTCTTGCTGTCCGCCAATCTTACCAGGCCTCGAGGGTCTGCTCTGCTTGCCACTGCCGTTTGCCAAATCGACCCGTTGGGCGCAAATCTGGTCAGCATGGCGAGTTTGTCTACTGCTGGGCGTGGCCACGATCACGCTGGCACTCACCTTTTGACCTTTGGCCAGTCGGAGGAAGCCCTGCACAGCACCCGGCTCCACGCACACGAACGACTTCCAATCGCCGCTCGCAAGGTCCTTGATCCCCTTCTCGCCTTCAGAGGCCGGGTTCCAGACCACCGTGTCAAGGAGGTTGGCGCTCCTCTTGACCTCGACCCCCTTGCCCATGCGGCCGAGCGGATCATCGACCAGGCTTGCGTTGTAGTGCAGCGAGACATCGCCTGGCTCGCGCCCCTCGTCGGCGAACCGGTGCGCTCGGTCCATGGCCTCGCCCGCCGGCCTCACCTCGGCATCTTGGACCTCGGACCTGGCAAAGTCCCTGAGCTTGTCCATGCACGTCTGCCCTTGCAAGCCGTGCACGCTCGCCTTGGTGCTGTCGGGAACCAGCAGGTAGTTGTGCAGCAGTGCCTGGAACGGCATCTCACCGCCCGTGCTCGTCGAAAGGTGCTCGACCGACAGCTGGCAACGAAGCGCGTTGGGAGTCAGCGTCACCTTGTACTCGAGCGCCGTTTCAAACGGCCACGACGAGGCCACCTCGGGCAGCTCAGAAGACCGCAGCGTCAGAGTGACCGAAACCCGGTCCTCGGAAGAAGACTCGCTGGTCGAGTCGTCCGACGAGAGGCTCCAGCGATGGGTGCGTGCGAATCCGTGCTTGGCCAGGTGCTCGACTGCTTTGGGAGCATCCTTGTGGTCCGAGGGTGCCCCGAATACGGGAAAGACGAGCGGGATGCCGCCGCGAATCGCCGCCGAGCCATCGAGGGCGCTGCCACGGGCGAGGCGGTCGAACCGGGACCGGCAGTCTGAAGTCAGCGAGCGCCTGTGCTGAGGTGGCTGAAACCATGATTCTCTCGACTCACGCCTTCTCGCTGAGAAAAAGACGCTCCTGACCGCCGTTGGACCTCCAGCTAGTGACCGTGGCTCCGTAGAGGTAGATTTCCACGCTGGCCTTGGAGGCGGGTAGGTCTAGTCGTACGGCCGCATTGTCGTGCACGAATGAAATGGGCATGGTCGGCGCAGGATGAAGTGAGAAGAGGGGCACAGGGCGTGTGTTGGTAGGATTGGTGGATGGCGATGGTGGTGGTGATGGTGGTGGGAGGGCGGCAAGAACCGATGGCACGGTCGGCAAGCACCTCGGTGATGATTGCGCTCGCAGTGGGGGGCTGGCTACGAAGTCGGCCAGTCTGCAGGGCTGCGTCGGCGCTTTGACTTCCTCCCCCTCGCCGACAACAGCCAGCACCACCATCATCCGTGGTCGACTCTTTGAGGCCAGACCTTGCCCCGGTCTGCGTGACTTACACTCCAGTCATCGAGTTGCGAACGGTCCGAACGTGGCCCCGGAGCTGCCTGTACCGGTAACAAGCGTTTCTCATACGGCAGCCCAGGGTCTGGGATACCGCCGGTCACCAGGCAGAGCTGGGTGAGGGGCGACAAACGGGGCTCGCCGAAGCCGCCGGAGTTACGGCCGGGGAGAAGGCCGAGGCAGGGTCCCCGGCCCAAACTACGGACAGGTCCACGCGCATGGGCTGGGCTTGCCGGCACCTACCACCACCCTCCGCTACTTACCACACCTTCACGATTCTTCTTGCGGACGTGTATCTGCCCGCCGCTGCCGAAACCTACCCGCCATCGCAACCCTCGCTCGTGTTCGCTTGCCTTTGCTCTGGCGCGGCCGCCTCCCGCAAGCCTCTGGCCCTGACACGCTACTTCCTCAAAACGCTCGAGGCCGGGCATGTTTCCCGTCGCGGTGGGCGCAAAGGCTCCTCCGCCAATCGACTCCATCGAGACGAGGCAGTGGATCAATGGACGAGTGGGTATTGCTTCCCATGACAAGGCTGGGGCGGCTCCTAGTTGCGAGCAACTGCAATGAATGGAGCTGGTGTCCGTCGGGGTCGTTTGACGTCGAGCGCAGCTGATGCCTTCGCTCGACTGCTTCCTCCCCTTCTGCTACCCCGGTGACTGACCTGCTCCGCTCAACCTCAACAGTACGTTGAGGCCTCGTCGGACGATACTATCCAGCTGTACAACCCGACCACCGAGGAGCCGTTGCTGAGGCTGCGGCCATCTTCGCAGCAAGACGTCGACGTGGCCGTACAGGCCGCGCTGGCGGCGCAACCACACTGGGAGTCGCTGGGTTCTCTGGCGTGGGCCGCCCTCTTCCGCAAGCTGGCCGGGTTGATCCGTCGCGATGCGGCCGCATTGGTCGCACTCGAATCGCTGAGCCAGGGCAAGCCAAACACTGCGCCGGATGCGATCCGAACGGCGGGCTACCTTGACATGATCAGTTCTCAGGCTTTCGTCTGCCATGGCGAGAGCACTATCACCACCCCTGGCCAGCTCGGCATCACGATCAACGTACCCTTTGGCGTGACGGCGGCGATAGTGCCTTGGAACACGCCGCTGTTGCTCTCGTTTGTCAAGATTGCACCAGCGCTGCTGGCCGGCAATACCATGATCCTCAAGCCCTCGGAGCGCTCGCCGCTCAGCCTCATTGCTGTTGCGTCGCTCTTCAAAGAGGCCGGCTTCCCCGATGGCGTCTTCAACGTGGTCAATGGCGGGGCCGACGTCGGGCAGATGATCTGCCGGCATCCGCTGATCCGTCGTCTCTCGTTTACGGGGTGCATCCGCACCGGAAAGCTCGTCTCGGCGGCCGCGGCGCAGAGCAACCTCAAGGCGGTGACGCTCGAGCTCGGGGGCAAGAACCCAAGCATCGTCTTCGACGATGCCGACGTAGGTGAGGCTGTGCGCGCTACCGAGTTCAGCATGGTCTACAACTGTGCCCAGGTCTGTATGGCCAACTCGCGGATTTACGTCCAGAGAGGCGTGTCCCAGCGGTTCATCGCGGCCTTCACCGAGAGGTATACCGCCCGTATTCCGGCCGATCCCTTCTCCGAGCCGACGCCGCCCATGGGACCTGTCGTCGATCGGCGGGCGTACGAAACCATCCAAGGGTACATCCAAGAGGCGCGAAGGAGCGGAGCGACGATCGTCGATGCTGGCCCCTCATCGCTCGACCACACTCGAGGCAAAGGCTTTTTCGTGCGGCCGACGGTCATCCTCGACCTGCCACGGGACAGCGCGGCGGCCAAGGACGAGATATTCGGGCCCGTGGTCTCGATTACGACGTTTGAGGACGACGACGAGGTGCTGGATATGGCCAACGACTCCGAGTACGGGTTGTACGCCTCCGTGTTCACGAGGGATCTGTCGAGGGCGATGCGGTTCGCGCGGAGGCTCGAGGCCGGCACCGTCGCCGTCAACCAGACGAGCCCGACGATCCTCCTCGACCTTCCCTTTGGCGGCATGAAGCAGTCCGGAAACGGGTACGAGTTTGGCGCGCAGGCCATCCGGGATTGGACGCATCAGAAGGGCCTGTTGATCAGGACGGGGTAGTGAGCGGCAGAAAGGCAATCCCCAGACGACCGATACCCCTCCTGGTGCGACTGTGATGCGTGGACGACATGACACGAGACCAAGAGGCTGGGATGCCCTCAAGGGTGACCATGGCCGAGCCGGCGACGTTGTGCGTCAGGTCACCGACCACGGGCGACGGGACAGGAGGGTGCTGTAGAAAGACCCTAGATGTGACTTTACCTACCCGCTGCCTGCACTTGTCCTCCTACGGTACCGTGACTTGTGCGCAGGTCGGTGCGGTAGCGAGGCTGAGGCTCGGACTGTCTCTACGGCAGGACAAGAGGGATCGACTGGGTAGAGCGGGACATGCTGGGTGAGTAGTATTCCCGCCGTGGGCCGCCATCGAGGGCGGGGCCGGTGAACGGGTCGACGATGCATACAGTAGGCATCCCGGGCGCCGCCTGGTGGGTGGTGTGTGTACCCTCGGCCTGTATCCATATGTAGGCGGGGGCGTGTGACGCTTCCGCGCAGACGGAAAAGCCGCGTAGACGCGGAGAGAAGCGGGCCAACTGACGGATGTCGAGAAGCGAGGAGGACATGAGAGCGCGCCAGGCCAGAGCCAGGGCGCGTCACGGCGGGCAAGAAGGCAGCCCAACAACCATGTCGGGTCGAGTGGCTGGACCATGCACGATGGCCCAGGATGTGCCATCGGTAGCGCACCGGGGAAGGTGCCAAGAGAGGGGCCCCCTTGGCAGGCTGACAGCGGCGGTGGCCCCTCGCTGTGGCCACACCCCCAGGGGCGGGGTACCGGCAGGAGATCAGCGTGTGGAGGCATCCGACTACACTTCTCTCTCTTCTGTTTAGAGAGCGGCAGGTTGCCGACAGCAACCTGCCGCACCAGCACCAGCAGCACCAGCGATCCCCGAAGGTAGCAGAGATCAGAGGTCGCCGTCATCTTCACCCCACCCACCGCCAAGCGGAAAGCTGAAATGGCAGGCCAGCCAGGCCAACACGCGCGGTCATCATCGCGGTGGGCGGGCCACCCTTCAGGCTTGGCTTATAGCCGCCTCCGCCGCCCGCCGCCAAGCGCACCGGGTGCTCCTCCCAGGCATCGGCGCGACCGCCCTCGCCTCTCGGCGGTCAGGCGTGGATCGAGACCGAACCTACTAGTCCCGCACTGCGCGGACGCTTCCATCCTCGCCGCTTTCCGCCGTGCCGACTCTCTCTCTCTCTCTTTCGCCTAGCTCGCCTCCTGCCTCGATCCATACCGCCTCGAACCCACATCACCACCACCACCACCTCCAGAGTACTTTCACACGGGCTCGGCCGACCTGCTTATCGCCGTCCTGCTGCCATCCTAGTCCACCTCGCGCACTGCTTGCAAAACCACTGCCCTTGCGACACACATCATCCGTCATGGCGCCCAGACTAGACCAGGCTGATGCTGCGGCACACTCAAAAAAGACCAGCAGCGGCCAGCCGGACAACGCCCAGGCAATCGAACAACAGACCAAGGGCAAGGATGCCGGCAAATCCGAGGGCCTCGGAGCGGGCAAGACGTTCGAGGGCCAGTCCAAGCTGCCCAAACTACCCATCCCCAAGCTCGAGGACTCCTGCCAGCGATACCTCAGCAGCCTCAAGGCGCTCCAGTCCCCCGAGGAGCACGCAAAGACCACAAAGGTCGTCGAAGCCTTCCTCAAGACCGACGGTCCAAAGATGCAGCGGGCTCTCGAGGACTATGCCAGCGGGCGCGCCAGCTACATCGAAGAGTTCTGGGACGAAAGCTACCTCATGGCCAGCGACAGCGTCGTCCTCAACCTCAATCCGTTCTTCATCCTGGAGTAAGCAAGCAGCACGCCCTCGATACGCTGCAGAGCCGTCTGTCTTCAGCACTCTGATCGCCGTCGCTGACAATCGTCTGACCCCCTCCCGCGCTCGGGTTGTGCGCCCTTTTCCCCGGCCCGCAGAGATGACCCAACTCCAACCCGCGGCAACCAGTTGATGCGAACCGCCAATCTGATCCTGGCCAGCCTTGCCTTCGTTCACGATCTCCGTACCGGCGTCCTCGAGCCGGACAACGTCCGAGGCACCCCCCTCGACATGTACCAGTATACCAAGCTCTTTGCGACCTCGCGCATCCCTACCACCAACGGCTGCCGCATGGAGACGTCTCCAGACAGCCGTCACGTCGTTGTCATGCGCCGCGGACAGATCTACTGGTTCGAGGCGCTCGACGAGGAGCACCGACCCCTGCTCACCGAGCGTGCCATGCTCGGCAACCTCCAGGCCATTGTGCGAGACGCCGAACAGATCGCACCCGGCCAGGTGGCGGACGGCGCTATGGGCATCCTCACCACCGAGAAGCGGCCGATCTGGAGCATGTATCGCGACCACCTCCAGGAGAATCCAAACAACCGCAAATGCCTTGAGGTCGTCGACAGTGCACTCTTTGTCGTCTGCATGGATGACAGCGAACCCACCGACGCCGCCGAGCTGAGCAACAATATGCTCTGCGGCACCTATCGTCTCGATGGCGGCAAGCAGGTTGGCACCTGCACCAACCGCTGGTACGACAAGCTGCAGATCATCGTGTGCGCCAACGGTGCTGCCGGCATCAACTTTGAGCACACGGGCGTCGACGGCCACACGGTTTTGCGCTACGTCGCCGACATCTACACGGAGCTCATCATGCGCTTTGCCAAATCCATCAACAGCGCCACAAAGAGCCTCTTCAAGGCCAAGACCAGCCCATGGGCCAAGGGCGCCGGCAAGCGGGCCCCGCCAGCGCCCTCGGCGAGCGGCGCCAGCCCGGACGAGAGCGAGGCCGATAAGCTCGAGGAGGTCGAGCAGGCCACCTCTCCGCGAAAGCTCGAGTGGACGCTGACGCCGAAGTTGGCCGCGGGTATCCGACATGGCGAGATGCGCCTGTCGGACCTCATCTGCCAGAACGAGTGCCAGGTGCTCGAGTTTGACAAGTATGGCAAGAACTTCATCACGCGGCACAAGTTTTCGCCCGATGCCTTCGTCCAGATGGCGTTCCAGGCGGCCTACTATTCGCTCTACGGACGATGCGAGACGACCTATGAGCCAGCGATGACCAAGGCCTTCCTGCACGGGCGTACCGAGGCGATCCGGACGGTGCAGCCGCACTCGCTCGACTTTGTCGAGTCGTACGTCTCGTCGGACACCAAGATCGAGGACAAGCTGGCCGCGCTGAAAAGGGCGTGCGACGGCCATTCAAAGCTGTCGCGTGCGTGCGCCACGGGCAACGGCCACGACCGGCACCTCTACGCCCTGCTGGCCGTGTTCAAGAAACAGCAGGCCGAAAACGGCGCCGACGAGCCCGTGCCGGAATTGTTCCGCGATCCTGGTTACGCGACGTTGAGCCACACTGTGCTCTCGACGTCAAACTGCGGCAATCCAGCCCTGCGCATCTTTGGCTTCGGACCCGTGGCTCCGGACGGCTTCGGCATTGGTTACATCATCAAGGATGACGGCATCACAGTGTGTGCCTCGTCCAAGCACCTGCAGACCAAGCGCTACCTCGAGGCGCTCGAGGGCTACCTGGTTCGGACGCAGCACATGATCGTTGAGCATTACAAGGCGGCCAACGTGCGCGCCAAGGACACCTACATCGACCACGCGGGCGTCGAGTGCTCAGTACGCACCGGCCTGCCGATCGGCTCCAAACCCAAGACTGGTAGCAACGGCTACTCGGATGACTGGGAAAACTACTCCAGGCACAACGTGGGCGAGAGCGGTTACAGCTTCTTTGGAGATGCCGGATCGACGCAGAACAAGGACGATGCGGAGAGGAAGGGCCACAACCGCCGCAACAGCCGGCTTTCCGGCGTCGGTCGCACGCTCATGTACAACGACTACAACTAAAGCCGAGGTCCCTTCCGTACGCGCTGTCTAGCCCCCTAAAAGGGCCATCCTATGCTTCTGTCCCAGGCTCCAATGAAAAGAGCTTGAAATATCTTCAGCGCCGGTCTGTGTCGTCGTCCTTCGCCGTGTGAGGCTGGAAAGAGGGGTGAAGCAATGCATTTCCAGCCTCGAAGCACATCGCATTAGCTTTTCTCGTGCGATAAAAACCACGGGTTCTTCGCAGCGCCCCCAGCCGTCAGCGTGCCGGGGGGGAAAAAGTGTCGCAGCCGGCCGACCTTTGACTAGCTCCCTCACACCACCACCACCGACCATCTCACGCCATCCTCATCTTCTCTATCTCAAACCATAACGCCATGATCCGCACAGCAGCCGCACAGATCCGCCGAGCTGCGCTTTCCTCACAGTCCTGCGCGGGCAGCGTCGGCTGCTCAGCAAGGCATCTCAGCACGAGCAGCGGGAACGGCACCACACGACTCCACATCTCTCTTGGTCGCTTCACATACATTCTCAACCTCAAGCTTCCCTCCTCCTTCATGACGCCACCACCAGCGCCTACTTGTGTACCGCAGCTCGCTATCGCCGGTCCTTCGACCTCCTCATTCGAAACAAACCACGGCCCCGAGGAGCACAGCGGGGAGAGCCTGGCAGGGGGATGGTGGAATGGACTGCTCCGCGCTGTTCCCAAGAAGAAGGTCTCGCACTCGAGAAAGAGCATGAGGAGCGCCAACAAGGGCCTCAAAGATCGAGTTGGTGCGTATCCGTCCCTGCGCACAGCGCCGCCATCGTCCAAGGGGGGATCCTTCGCTGACTGCCAGGACACCAGCGTCCTCCGCACGCGCCTTGTCCTGCTCTCGCGTCCTCGCCCCTGCACAGACATGGTGCACTGCCCGAGCTGTGCACGACCAAAGCTCCAACACCACCTCTGCGCCTACTGCTTCTCGGACATTAACCGCAAGATGAAGCAGCTGCAGCAGAACCAGGCACAGCAGAAGGAACTAGCATCCGTCGAGTCGCCGGCCTCTTCCACTTAGGAATCCCCGTCCGACGACGAGCGACGTGCAACGGGCGTTCAAGCAGCGCCGACTGCTTCTTGGAGCGACGCGCACCTCCTGCGTCGGAATCCAGGAGCTCTCGTCGATCTGCTGCACATGTCGCAGCGTCCAATCTCGGGCCACCGGGGCGAAGTCGGTGGTGGGGTGCATCGATTGGCACACAGCCTACGTTCGATGTGCGACTGGCAATGAGCCCTTGTATGGACAGCGTCGTCACGCCCCTTGCTACAGAGGACGATCTCGATTCCGAACACCTGTCACCATCGATCAGCGGACTCAGAAATCCTTGACGACGCCGCCGCCGCCACCCGTACCGCTGCTTGCCCCGGCCCTGAAGGACTGCGGCGGCGGGACAGTATCGAGCCTGACGAACAAGAACTGTCGCGGGGCGTGGAGCGTATCGAGGCTGAACATGCGGTCGAAGAGGAGCCGCACCCACGCCCGAGCGGTGCTCTGACACGCGCTCATGGCGAGGAATGGCGCCCCGTCGAGCTCGCGCAGGTGGCGGAAGATGGCGCTCGGCTGCGGCGGGCTGAAGCGGAAGGTGTTGGCATAGGCGGTCTGCCACTTTTCCTGGAGCAGCCGCGCGCAGCTGTGCGGATCGGGACAGTTGGCGTGGCACTCGTAGTCGCGCGCCGGACTGCACAGGCCCAGCTTGAGCATCCGCTCGAGGAACCAGGTGCGCTTGCGCTCCAACTTGAGCAGCGTCTCGCTGCTCAGGCTCTCGAGTTCTTCTGGGTACCACTCCGAGTAGTTGTCGAGCACGTGTCGGCTTGCCTCTTTGTACTGTTCCGGCAGGCCGTGCTCTTCGGCGATCCGCATCGCCTCGATCGGTCGACCAGGCAGCGCCGTCTTTAGAAAGGCGACACAGCACCGCCGCATGTAAGGCACCTGGAACTTGTCGGCGAAGCGCAGCAACGGACCGCAGTTGAACCACGTGACGTGCAGGTCGAGGTGTGGGTAGACGTGGAAGAGGAAGCTTTGGAACGTCGCAGCTGTCTCCTCTTCCAAGTCGACGACGGCGACCAGTCGCGCGACGCCGCCACCAGCGTTGATGCTCCGCCTTGGGGGTGCCAGCTTCGATGCATCAGAAGCCCGAGTCGATTGGTGTCCTTCGACGTCGCGCCGACGGCCCTTGGCCATGCGACGAAGCGGTGATTTCGGCGGGGATGATGATGGCGCCGGGGCTGGCAGGACGCCAATCGGGTTACTCGATCGCCGCCGCTGCTGCTGCTGTTGCTGCATGGTCGAATCAATGCCGCTTTCGCTTCTAAGAGCATTGCCACAGTCTCTGCTCATCGAGGCACGCGGCAGCGGTGAGCTTGGCGGCGTGGCCAGCGATTCAAACCGAGCCAATGGGCTGACAGGCTCTGATCCAGATTGAGCACCCTTGGGGCTGGCAGCAGCGGGAGCGGCAGACGGCGACGACGACGACGCCGGTGTCAGAGCCTTTGGCATGGCCGACAGGTCGAAGCTCTTGGATGACTTGCGCGTCGGTATCGCCGTCGATCCAAGGTCGTCAGCACTACCACTGCCTCCAGCGCCGCAGCCCAAGTGCCTCGAGATCTTGCGCTGTAGCGCGATGCTGCGCGCTTTGGGACGATGCTTGCTTGGATGCATCGCTGACTTGCGCGAGCTGTCAAGGCTGGCGCTACGACGTCGCGAGAGGCGGACAGCATAGGCAGTCTCGGACGCATTGTCGCGGGGCTCTGGCGTGCCGCCGCCCGTTAGATGCTCGAGAGAGCCTCGCCGCACGCTCCCCGCGGTCAACGCCATAGTAGGAGCGCCGTCAGCGCCAGCGGTAGGCTCAGACCGAGCAGTAGGTCTGCTCGACTTCGACGTCTGTTCGAGCTCTGATGCCAGCGATTGAGCAGACATGCGCCGAGAGACTCGGCGACTTTCCAACTTGCCCTCGAGCGCCCTCTCTGCATGCGCAATGCGTTCCTCCCTCGTCGCCTCGATGTCGTCGTGTGCGCCGTGTTCCGCCGTTCCGGCGATTGCCGCTCGAGCGTCGTCGCGAGGCTCGTCACTGCTCGAGTCGCTGGCGTCCTCGAAGTGATACTCGGCAGTGTAGAATGATGCGCGGACCGTGCTGTGCCGGGCGTGCGCATCCATGACACCACCACTATCTCGGTCATCATGGTCATGGTCAGAGTCACGTCCCTGCTCTTGGTCGTGGTCGTGGTCTTGGTCGCCGTCCTCACTCCTCGCGATGCGTGGAGTCTGCCGATGGCCGTCGTTGAGGAAGGAATATTCGGGAAACACAATGGAGCCGTGGCCAGTATCATTTTCGTCGGATCGAGGCTCGGGTTCCGCTGCGTCGCCTTGAGTGCTTGACCATCCGAGTGGCGTGCCGATCTGGCGCACAACGCCTTGTGTAGACGCCTCGGTCCGAACGGGCTGTTTGGCGTCGATTCGTGCCTCTGCCACATTGGCTGTACCGCTGTTGCCTCCTCCTCCGTTGTTACGATGTCGTTGCTCACGTCTTGCCCCGTCGTGGCCGTCGGCCAGCAGCTCGATCTCCTCGTTCAATGCGGAAGCGACGGGGACGAGTGCATTCTCGCGAACAGCTGGATGCAACGACAATGGCAATGGTGAGGACGAAGGTGGAGACGAAGATGAAGACGAGGAGCGCAGGCTGCCGCGGTCGGCGAGGGCGGAGGCGAGCTGCGACTCTTTCCATTCGCCCTCGAGCAGCGATGCGAAGAAGGGCGACGAGAACATGAGGATGTGTTTGTGGACGTAGAACTCGACGCCTTCGACGCGGACCAGGACGTCTCCGCGCTGATCGGCATCCTTGGCGAACGAGGGGTGCACAGCGAACTCCTCTGCCGCTTCCGAGCCCGCGGGTATTGGTGGTGGCGGTTTATTGCTGCTGCTTTGCTGCGGGCCGAAGGTGGTGGCGGTGGCGGTGGCGGTGATGCTCCAACCCTGTGAGGTCGAGATGTTTTCGCGGGTATAGACGGGAAGGGCTGCCGTCGGTGGAGACACGTTCTGCTGGAGGTCTGGACGCACAGATAGCTGCGAGGTACGGCCGGTGAGACGCTGTAGGCGGTCGCGGGAGCGACTGCCAGCGTGGGCGGCGTCGGAGTGGTTGACGGTGGAAAGGCTGGGAGGCGCGACGAGGGTGGCCCTGCCTGCGATTAGGGCCGATACGGGGTTGGAGTTGGTGCCGTATCCACTGCCGCTGACGCCGATAGTTGTACCGCTATGAGCGCCCGCCGGTAACGCGGACTGGGCGGCGGCCTGACTGGAAGGCGCCGTGCTCGGTCCGGGTGCGCCTGTGCCATCGCTGATGGTGGCATTGGCCGGCGCGACGTTGGCGGAGTGAGCGAGCGTAGCTGCGGAGCTCGAGGGCGTCATGACGGACATGATGGTCGAGAGCGGCATGACGGCTGGCTGGCTGGCGGCTTATGGCTGAGCGGCGTGCCGTTGTCGGGTCCTGAGGCCAGAATCAGCGGGAAGGGTGAGGGGGCCAAAAAGGTGGGCCCAGACGGGACCAGGGCTACGGGGATGTCAGGCCATCTGAGGATGAGGTAGGCGTTGTGCTCGTTGGCCTGGCTGGATCGCCGCGTGGTGATGGCGGAACGAGTAGTTGGTAGTAGGTAAGAGAAGCTTGCAAGGCAGGTGGCTGTGGCCCCCCACCTTGGTGGCCTGCCCGAGACCTGGCCTGCCAGCAACCAAAGCAAGGTGGTCCGCGCGCGTCGTTTCGGCTGGCAGAGGGCCGGCCGGCGGCTGGCCAGCCTGCCTGGTTTGGCCTGGCCTGACCGCTGTTGGCTACGCTGCCACGCAGCAGCACTCGACACTTCTGGCTGCCTAACCGCTTGCACCTCTTCGGCCTGTCCCTGTCCCAGCCTGCTGCTGCTTGCACCTCGCCAGCCCCCAAATACACGGCCTCGCTCCTCTTTGCAGCTCGTCCCGCCCCCAACTCTCCCCCCTCCCCCCCTCTCGACTAGAGTCTCGTCCATGGTCTCTGCCGCGCTTGCCATCTTTCTTTCGGCACGCCTCCGCTCGACCGCTCCTCGCACACCCCAAGCCTCTCTCTTCTCGACCACCACCGCCTCCTCTCTGCCCGGCCTCTCATCCCTCTGCCGCAGGCGCCTTATTGTCGCTGCCTCGACCCTCTCGTCGCTCGTCGCAGCGCGTTGCGCCCATCCTTCGCTGCCGCACCATCAGACCTACACCGTCCAGGTACCGCGCTACTTTAGCCTCTCGTGCCCACGCCCGCTGCCCACCATGCCTTCCGACACCAACGACCTCGCCGCCCCTGGCTGGACCGCCCATCCGAGTCCTTTCCCCGCAGCTCGCCGAGACGAGACCGCTTCCACCACCTACAACTCGGCCGCAAAGGGCAAGGTCACCGTCCCGGAACCCTACCTCTGGCTAGAGACGCCCCCCTCGCAGTCACAAGAGACCAAGCAGTGGGTCCACGCCCAGGCCCGCCTTACACAGTCCTACCTCGAAAGCTGCCAGCCGGATCTCGACATCCTCAAGAAGCGCCTCGAACGCAACCTCGATTTTGCGCGCGCCTCGAACCCCTCGCTCAAGGGCGACGACAATTACTACTACTCGTACAACTCCGGTCTCAGCCCCCAGAGCATCATCTACCGCGCATCCAAGGACCAGGTACAGCACCGCGCAGGCAACGACGACCAGGCTGGCTCCAACCCCACCGGCGAGATCTTCTTCGACGTCAATCTCCTCGACGCAAAGGGCACCGTCGCCCTGTCCCTCACCTCGTTCTCAAAGACTGGCCGCTACTTTGCCTACGGTGTCTCAAAGAGCGGCTCGGACTGGTTCAAGATCTACTTTCGCCAAACCGACAAGCCCTTCCGCCTGCCCGCAGAGCACTACAGCGAGAACGGCACCATTCGCATCTCGGGCGACCAGCTGGCCCCGTACATTGACGCGACCGGCGGCAAGGATCGCCTCGACGACGTCCTCGACGACATCAAGTTCAGCGGCGCCAGTTGGACCCACGACGACGCGGGCCTCTTCTACCAGCGGTTCCCTTCGCTCGTCGGCGTCCAGGACAAAGGCACCGAGACCGACGCCAACAAGGACGCCCAGCTCTGGTATCATCGCATTGGAACTTCGCAGGCTGACGACGTCCTCGTCATCCCCTCGGACACGAAGATCCCCGAGTCGATGTGGTCCACCAGCATCACTGACGATGGCCGCTACCTCTGTGTGCGCAACTCGCGCGACACTGACACAAAGTCGCGCTACTTTGTCGCATCGCTCCACGACCAGCAGATCGGCGATCAGATGCGCTGGGTGCCCCTCTCGCTCGGCTTCAAGTACGATCTCGACTACGTCGGCAACGTCGGCGACCGTTTCTACTTCCTGACCAACAAGGACGCGCCCAACTACCGCCTCGTCTACTGCGACATCGACTTCGGCCGGTCCCGCGCGGGCCCCGTCTGGTCGCTCGAGGGCGACGACGTCGAGCTGCGTGACCACATCGCCGAGGACGCCGGCGCGCTGCTCAGCAGCGTGTCGCTGGTGGCCCAGAACAAGCTCCTCGTTGTGTACTCGCGTGACGTCAAGGACGAGCTGTACCAGTACGACCTGGTCACGGGCAAGCGCATCGAACGCCTGTTACCGGACCTGGTCGGCACCATCAGCCAGATCTCGGGTCGCAAGGACGACGACCACGCTTTCGTGCAATTTGTGTCGTTCGTCAACCCGGGACAGATCGTGCGCCTCGACTGGACGGGCAAGACGGCTGGAAGCGACAAGGTCACCTCGCAGAAGCTCTATTCGAGCACGAGAGTGGCGGGAATCCGCAGCGAGGACTTTGTCAGCGAGCAGATCTTCATCACGTCCAAGGATGGCACGCGCGTGCCCATGTTTGTCACGCACCCAAAGTCGCTGGAGCGAAACGGCAGCGCGCCGGCGATCCTGTACTTCTACGGCGGCTTCAACATCCCCATCATGCCGTCGTTTGTGCCGACGATGATGACGTGGGCTGCTTCCTACAACGGCGTAATGGCCTTTGTCAACGCGCGCGGCGGCGGCGAGTACGGTGACAAGTGGCACGAGGCCGGATCGTTGCTTAACAAGCAGAATGTCTTTGACGACGTCCTCTCGGCCGCGCGCCACCTTCACGAGAGCGGTTACGCGCAGAAGGGCAAGATCATCCTTAGCGGCGGATCCAACGGCGGACTGGGCGTGGCCGCATGCGTCAACCAGTGCGCAGACGAGCACGGTGTCGGCGCAGGCATAGCCGACGTGGGGGTCATGGACATGCTCAAGTTCCACACCTGGACCATCGGCAAGGCCTGGACCGCGGACTACGGTAACCCCTCTGAGGACCCGGAGATCTTCGACTACAACTACAGGTACTCTCCCTTGCACAACGTCGATCCGAACAAGATCTACCCGTGAGTCTCTGCGGCGCGCAAATGTGGCTCTGCTCCGCTCGCGGCATTTCACGGAGCGGCCCCACAACCCTACTCACCTTTGCTGATCCTCGCCTTTGCTGATCCTTCCCTCGCATCGCTTCCTCTCGACGCCGAAACAGCACGACAATCCTGGCCTGTGCTGACCACGATGACCGGGTGGTCCCCGCGCACTCATTCAAGCTGATGGCCGAGATGCAGCACAAGCTGCCAAACAACCCCAACCCCCTTCTGCTCCGCGTCGAACTCGACGCCGGACACGGTGCAGGCAAGTCGACTCAGAAACGCATCCAAGAGGCAGCCGAGAAATATGCCATCACCGCTCGTGCGCTCGGACTCGAGATCCAACCTGAAGATGCAGAGGTGGTCGGGAAGCTGTGAAAACCGTACCTGCAGTCGGCTGCTGTCGGCCCCCTCTACAAACATAGCGATATGATTCATAGCTAGCTGCAGAATCCGGTCCAGAAGAATCGCACGTGTATACTGATCTGAAAATGCAGCTAACAAACATAGCTAGGGGCGGAGAGATAGCTACGGCCCTGGCAGTCGAAAATCTCCTTTGCACGCCCAGGGTCGTACTCAGCCGGTCTGCCACTTTAAATTTTGGGTTGTAGAAACCTTACACACCTCCATGGCCGTAGGCCACTCATAGCTAGCAGCAAAAGTAATTCCCGATTTTTCTTATCGCACAGGCTGTGCGATCCAGGATTTGAGAGTCGTTATACAAGTGCGATCTAAAATCCTGGCCACTATGAGTGGATTTCAGATGGCAGGCAGAAAAAATTCAGGATCTCAGATCGCAGCTGATTGCATGCCTGCTGCGATCTGAGAAATCGCACAAGCTGGCTGCAGCTGGATTTTCAAATCGTTATACAAGTGCGATTCTTTTTGACCAGATCCTGCTGCTAGCTATGACTGGCAATTCAAATGCACAGGCATGGCACACAGCCACAGCCATATCTCTTGTACAACTCATTTGCAGTACTATAGCTACAATTGTGGAAGTGCATGCAACAATGGCAGCAGCAGCCAGCCAATCATAGCTAGGGGCAAGCTTTGGGCCATGATTTCAGATATCGTAGATCTTGTACGATATCATAGTTAGGGGCAGGGTTTTGGCCTACAATTTCCGAAATTGTAGGTCTCCTACGAATTGGCACTGCCGTAAGATATCGTTACACCCCTACAATATTTGGCCGTAGATCACCTACGGCATTTTTTGCCGTAGGAGTTCCCTCGCAGCGCTTACCATAGGCCCACCTTTGCACCCACAGCCGTATGTACTCTACTGGCATTGTATTGCTTAAATCTACTACACTACTGCAGTACCAGCAGGCAGGCAAGGTGAGCAAAGGAGGGGCGCAGCAATGGCATTTGTGGGAGGCGGGGCAAGCAGGCAGGAAGGCAGGCAGCAGGGCAGCAGCAGCAACAATGGTAGAGCATTGTCAGCAGAAAGTAAGGCGGTGAGAGGGGGGCAGCAAAAGGAAGACAGGAGCAAAGGAGTCAGGAATGGCGCGCAGCAGAGCAGCAGAATGACAGAGCGGCAACAGTCAACTCACCATAGTGGCAGCAGACCAGCAGACAACGGTAAGGTGAGCTGTGCAGGTGCAGACGGAGTGGAAACAAGGTGGTCAGTGGTCTCAATCATTGGAGATGCCGGAGGAGACCTCTCTGAAGTCTCCGATGATTGACGGCGGCAGCGGGCGGAAGCAGCAGCAGAGCGGAAGCAGCGGCAAAGCGGATGCAGCGGCAAGGCAGCTGCTGGCAGGTGGCTGGCTGGCAGTCTTGCTGGCGGCTGGCGGCTAGCTGGCTGGCTGGCTTGGGTGACGGTCGGGCCAAGCGGCTGGCTGACCAGCTGCAAGCCATGGCTGCTGGCTGCTGGCTGGGCGGATGGCTGGCGGCTGGCTGGCCTGGGCTGACGGGTGGCTGGCGGCTGGCTGGCAGTTGCTGGCTGAGCCGGGCGGCTGGCGGCTGAATGGCTGGCTGGCTTGGGTGGCAGCAGTTGGGTGGCAGGTGGCGCTGGTGGTGGTGGTAGGTATTGGAACACCGGTTAGGGTACATGCTAGTCGGTATCGACGACAAACTACAAGTCTAGTTGTCTGGAACACCGAAGGACAATATGGAGTCAACTGTAGGAGTCGAGTTGTTATTCCTGGACTTGGAACGGCTTCAGGGCCAGGTCGAGGGTAGGCCAACAGACTAGTTGTCGGAGACGCAAGTCAGGCAACTGTAGTTGCTTGTAGAGATGTGGAAGAGTGTGTGAGGATAAGCTGAACCAATAGAAGGGGATGATGTGTGTATGATTTGATAAAGAAGCGGTCCTATCATCGGCCAGAAGCTGGTCCTATATATACGCTACAACTCTGCGCTACGGGTCACTATAGACCTCTAGAGTAGCGACCATGATCCTGTAGCTACAGGGGACCGTCATGCGTGTTGAGAAAATACGGTTGCCTCCGCCGTTGCAGACCCTCAGGTCCAAGCCAACGACCTTTGCCTAAGGTTGTTGAGACTCGGATCAGGGCCGCCAAGAGCCGAAGGGTCCAGGACCCTCCAATGCCGTCCCGGTGGGAATCGCCGAGCTAGACTCTCACAACACTGAGGGAGGGATGCACCACGGCGATGAGGCCAAAGCCGACGCGCCGAGGATGAGGGTCGGCTGAGCTCGAACATCACCGAGGGAGCGCAATCTGACTCGCCCCGTCGAGAACAAGTGACGCCTTGTTGAGACCTGATGAGAGCATGACAAGACATTGATGAAGGACATTGATGTCTGCGAGAGGAGTTGCTGTAGCTAGTAGGAGAGATGTGCCAAGTCACATCGAAGCTATAAGTAGAGACAGCAACTCTCAGTAGATAACCGTCTATCATCAAATCTTATTCTTTCCATCCTTCTACCTGGTTCAGCGCTACACTACTCCCACTTTGTTCTCCAGACAATCATCGTTGTTACTTCCTCCTGTGTCTACAAGACACATGCCAAGTTCTATCCCGCATGATTGAGGAGGCGTGCGCCGTTGTACTGAAATGTGACGCACTCTCATCAAGCTCGATGTGAGTTGATTTGGTACCGACGGTACTGGCTGACCTACCATGTGTTCCTAGTCCCAATTCTGTCCCTTTCTACAGACCGTACCGCCTTGTCTCTTTGGTTGAGTTGCTCGACTTGACTGTGAACTGCGGCTCTCTGGATGACTAGACCGTGTCTATCTAAAGGGTTAGGAATGGAGGGCTAGGAATGAAGGGGGATTGGCCATCAGTGAGGGTAGGATCAGGGGTAGGAGCTGCTCCTTACCGCTACCCTTGCCTTACCTGATGGCTCAGGTTGGGACTCACAGGAGTCGGACCCGAAAGGCGCGCCCAATGCTCTAGAATGTCCTCTCTGATCAAATCGGTTTCTCCTTTGCGTTTCTTTGTGCGAGATGGCAAGGTGTTCCAACAGTAGGGTGGCAGTAGAGATGGCGGGCAGGCGGATGAATTTTGCAAAGAGGCAGCAAAGGGGCCAGCGTGCGCGTGCCGGGCCTTCTGAGCTGACGTAAGCAGAAAGGGCCACTTTCTTGGCCATACAAAGTCTGCGGCCAGAAATAGCGCAGGGTAGGGCTGGCCCAGGGCCGTAGGGTGGCCACGGCCAAGAATGCTCTAGGCGCCCCACCGGAATTGGGCTGTAGGTAGCCCTACGGCCACAAAATGGCGCAGGAGATCGCCGATTTTGGCCGTAGGGCTGCCTACAGCTTTTTTCAGCATAGATGACCCCCGATTTCCCGATTTCGTATATGCATAGCTAGCAGCAGGATCCTGTCAAAAAAAACGCACATGATAACAATTTGGAAATCCAGCTGCAGACAGCTTGTGCAATTTTCCAGAAGCGCACAAAGTGTATGATCAGCTGCGATCTGAAATCCTGAATCTTTACTGCCTGCAATCATAGCTAGCAGCAGGGCCAACCTACGATTTTTCAGATCGTAGATAGGCGTAGCCAATATACGATTTTCAGATGGTAGATGATCATAGCTAGGGGCAGGCTTTTGGCCTACGATTTTGGAAATCGTAGGTCTCATACGATATGGCAGTGCCGTAGGAGATCGTTAATCCCCTACGGTACCCAGATGCCGTAGGACCACCTACGGCTTTTTTGGCCGTAGGCACCCTACGGCCTGCTTACCGTAGGTCTGTCCCCGAACCCACAGCCACATGTATCTACAGGCATTGTATTGCTAAATCTAACTACTAATGTGCGGCGGCGTGGCGATGGCATTGGTGAGTGGCAGGGCGAGCAGGCAGGAAGGCAGGGTGGCAGGGCGGCAGCAGGGCGGCAGCAGGGCGGCAGCAGGGCGGCAGCAGATCAGCAGCAGGGCGGCAGGGCGGCAGGGCGGCAGGGCGGCAGCAGGCAACAATGGTAGAGCGTCAGCAGCAATAAGGCGGTAAGGGAGGAGCAGGCAAAAGGAAGAGGGGAGCAAAGGAGTCAGCAACGTGCAGCGGAGCGGCAGAAGGACAAGAGTGGCAACAGTCAACTCACCAGAGCGGCAGCAGACCAGCAGGCAACGGCTAGGTGAGCGGTGCGGCAGGTGCAGGCGGAGCAGAGGCAATGCCGTCAATGGCCAAAATCATCGGAGACGCCGGAGAGGGCCTCTCCGGAGTCTCCGATGATTGACAGCGGCGGGGCGGAAGCAGCGGCGGCTGGCAACTCAC